TTAGATATATATTTATAAGTAAATTGGAAATATACAAAAAAAATAAAACATATATCTAATCGTATCGTATAAAATGTAAAATGAAAATCATCCTATAATCTCTTAAACGGATTGAATCATAATCCCTTTAACGAGAGCTTTGACAATTGAAAGCCTTATTAATATAGGAACGTTTATTTTATTTGTGCTTTTTTTAATAATATAGAGTTATTCTCTTAAAACACTTTTTAATATAAAAAAAACTTGTCTTTTTTCCACCAGTAGCGATGGTAATATTGCTCTTTTGATTAAGTTCTAAATAAACTAAAAATAAATTTATATCGTGTATATTTTTATTATGTAAAAAATAAGTACTCAACAATTGCAGATCGCTCATTCTATTACTTTAAAGTAAATGATACTTAAAATCATTTATAACTTGTATATTTCTTGTTAAAAATAACATTTTCTATTTGAAAATATCAAAATATAAAAATCTATTTATATAAAAAGTACATAATGAATCACCAAATACATGTCAACACAATAAAAGTAAGGGGTCGCAGCTCCCACATCACTTGGCAGTTTGACAAGGTGGATAATATTGGCAAAAGGTGTTACAGAAAACAGGAAACGCTATTTGAGTAACCATTACATAAATACAGGATATAAATGGGCCGTTAATGTTACACAATTCCGTTTTTTAGGTGAACATTGGATGTATGATATAAAGTTATTTTTATTACGTGAGTAAGCGCAAGTTACTTGTGTGGAGGTATAATAAAAAAGTATTTTTTTTTTAAGGTAACGTGTCAAAATATTATATTTTACCTATCATAAAATGTATCCCGATGCAACATTGTGTCGTCTCAAAATTTTATTTTATGACGAAAACAAACAAAAAAATTTAAACTTCTATAAATTGTTTAAAATTTCGCATTCAAACAGCGAAGTTGTTAATGGCATAAAAATATTTCAATTGTGCAGCACTTTACTTTGACTACAAACGAAAATATTAAAAATAGATCGACATCTGTATCTTTATTTTTTAATACTTTAAAAAATTCTGTTATCTCTCTGATTGATTTCAAATTAACCATTCCTTTGAATGTTCAATTCGCTAAAATTATTGTTCAATTTTTATTTGCTGACATAAAAAGTACTTTCATCCGACGTAATCCAGAAAGAGGCTTATGTTATTAACCTGCATATACGTTTAAATGAATTTATTTTGTAAATAAATATAATATTTCATAGAATGAGAAAAATTCTACAGAATTAGATTCATCTAAAATTTTGTACTCTGAGATTATTAATAAAACGAAATAGTGGGTTATGTGTGTAAATTTTTCAAGTTATACTCGCCTTCTCATGGGGTAGAATATGGGCTAAGAAAATATGTTTAACCACGATTTTAAGTGATGAAACAGAAAGTAATCGTTCGATTGTAATTCTACGTACTGTACATATGTAATACAAATTTCGTTATTTTTGTAGAAAATTTTTAATAAAATGTTTTGTTTTCTTAAAAAAATATATATTTTACAATTTTTTCGGTATTATTCTCTAAAAAAATGAGTTTTGTTACTTTGATAAAATCAAACATAGTAAATTTAAACTAAAATCCTCAAAAATTCTCCCAGGCAAGTGCCTCGAGCTTAAATGCCATGGCAGTCTCTTCCCTCCAATTTCCACGTCTGTGCAACTAAAAAAACGTAAAAAAACCAATGCATATTGTAGTCAGTGATGTAGTGTGAAGTAACCATAATTACAAAAAGTAAGGTGAATGTGTCTCATCGATGTCTTAAGTCAAGATTAAAGTCCATGTTATTGTTGTTGGAAATAAATATCCACTATACACTACGCATAAACAAAACTTGCCAAAAACGGTCCTTATGTGATCGTCAAATGTTTTGTTTTGGTTTCTTCCATTCCAAGCACACAAACTATTACTTCTATGTTGAGCCATGCTTTAAAAATGTTTAATATACATATCCAATGAGGTATTATAAAACTCATCGCTTACTTCCTCTTTGATCTTCTCAGATGGGTCAACTTCAGATCCAGGTTTGGTTCAAGTTAATTGTTCTATCATTTAATCCTGTCATTTAGCGTTCTAACCTTGTGAATGATTATTATCAACCTGGAAGGTAAGATCACATTTCTACTCTTGTTTTTATAACCACAAAGGATTCACGGAAGCACACTTGAAATTACCTTGACTCAAACGCGTTCTGCATACAGTTAAGATCATTATATGGTCCTTTTTCAAGCTTTTGTAAACTATTCCTATGCTCAAAAATCCCTCGGACGTTTGAAATGCCTATTTTATATTGCTAACATATAGATCTGGAGAGAGGGATGTCAGATGTTGTCATTGCTTGAGATCTTCTTGTGGTTGTCTTTTTGATCATAAAAATAGGCATGGGTAGCCAATTTTATACTGAGTAGTTCAAGTATTGGTGAGCTCTTGGTTTCAGTCAGATCACCTGACATATCACATTTCTTTTCGTTGCTTGTTTTCATGATTTGAGATGTAGATTAACCTAATTTATCTTGCGGCTTTAAACCTCATTTCGCAATCCGATATAATATCGTTATACATTATATTTTACAATACGCAAATTATAATAGATATATTTGCACAAATGTTTAAATTCTACTACATAGTTGAAATGAAAGAAGAAAAATATTTCTATGAAAAAAAATATTTATTCAGCTGAACAGTGCTTATCAAATATACGTGTTCAAAGTCAATATATGGTTTTAATTTTTAACGATCTGGTAAAACCTATTTCAGCGTTGAACCAGGCGTTTAAATAATAAAAATATATAAATTATTATCATCAGTCCAAAAGGTACTTTATAACATGTAAGTCTGTGTATACAATGCTTTGAGTTAATGTTCTTCTGGCTTGTGGCCCAAATCTTCAAGTTATCTGAAATTATTAAACTGTGTCCGTGCCAAAGCTTTTGTGCGACTGTCACAAACCAATTTACGATAAAATTTTCAATTGTAACAACTTAAAATAATTTATTCAGTAACTATAAAAATAGTGTATTAATCGTTATGTACGGGTTACAGGAAATAAATTTAATTGAATTACTTGTTTACGTCTTCTTCTACAAAGCAAATTGGAAAAGTCCACTTAATATTGATAATACTGATGATTATCTTAAGTTGCTATATATTTACTATATTTTAATATTACAGTCGCTTTTAGGTTTTACCATACCAACTTCAAGTAAAATTGAATTTACCACTAAATTGTTAGTCTCGTTTGAAAATCACAGTAAGGAAAGTCAGATATATTTTATTGTATGTAAACATTTAACTTTTAATGTACCCTTTTTAACTTTTTTAAATTCATTTGTAGTTTGAACAAGTTACGTGAAAGCAACTTTTATACAGCAAGTTAGCGGGTCCTGATTGTGACGGGAATCACTAATGCTGCAACTGAACTCAAATAATTGCCTCTTTAGACACGCAATTCGTAAAAATATAAATATTACAGACAACTTCCAATGTCTTTCATATTTTGTGAGCTATTTAAAAACTTTACATGGATTATTATATAATAAAAAAAGGTTTTAAAAATATTTCATTGTACTTATATGAAATTAGGTTAGCTGTGCGAAACGAATATTTTTTGTTGAAAACCACCATTCCATTTAAATTAGTCCCTTAAAAGGTCAAATATAAGGATTTAAAATGTAAAAATATCGGTAACAGAGCAAGTGTCACAAACTTGAGTACTGTTTGTACAAGGGTTCTCTCAATTCCTCCTTAATTGAAATCGCTTTAGATCTTTTTAATTTATTTGCGTTCACTCCAACACCCTGTATATATACAGTTTAATAAATAATCAATTATCTCGTTCTGATTTAATCCCGTACCGTCCGTAGCATATTTTACGAAATAAAAAATGTTTGTTTTGTTAGCTGGACGCTTGGTAAATAGCAATTAAGTTGTATTGCTTTTTTTTATTGTTTTTCATCATAATAAAATGTACAGCATTATAATTACAATGTGAATTCAGTTAATTTTGTTTAATTTATGAAAATTTTTGAACTAAATGGTTTAAAAATTGTCATGTAAAATATAATAACTATTTCTACTATATATACACATATGAATGTTAAATTAATAATAGTTTTCAATGATTATTTTTTTGTAACTCATGGTTTACTTTCGTAAATTCCAATTACAATAATTTTCAAAATTTTCAAATTTTAAAACCCCCAAAGTTATAAATCCAAAAGAAAATTGTATAGTACAGAAATATTTTTTTTATCGTAACTTAGGCGAGTTGTATCTCTATGAAATAATTGAGCTCATAATAGGAATTATAATTAATATCAAATGAAAGACCTACTTCTAATTAACAGAAGTCTATGTATATTTACATTTTTATTACAAGAAGATCCTTATAGCAATTAAGATTATTTCCAGGAGAAGTGTTCTAACTCAGTAGATTCAAAAAGTGTATAAACACTGCGATTGTATCCTTAGACTGTTTTATACGTAGATAGTGAAATGCAGCTCTGAACCTCAAACTGAATAAACTAGAAATAAATTTTATTCGGACGTACTGTTTTTATTCGTCTTCATATTATCACCAAACTATATTCGATCTATGTTATCTGACCCGCATCGTAATAAATTCAGCGCCCCTTTACATGATATATGTACTTTTTGCACATTAATTTCGTACAAAAGATTATAAATAGTAGGGAAATTTCAACATGTGTATCAATCCTACTAATATTATAATTGCGAAAGTTTGTGTGTGTGTATGTTTGTTACTTCTTCACGCTCAAACGGCTGAACCGATTTTGATAAAATTTTGTATACATTAAGCTGACGTCCAGGAATAACACATTGGCTACTTTATATCTCGGAAATCTTGAAAATCTGCGGGTAACACCTCGGGGCGCAGCTAGTTTCGTATAAAGATTACAAATAGTAGGGAAATTTCAGCATATGTATCAATATTACTATAAAACCTCTCTATCCTCAGCCATCTGGCGTCCAGGGGTGACAGTGAGTGAGGAGGCTCCGGCCAGGGTGGGGCCCCCTCCTCCCCCTCCGCCCCCTGTGTGGTCACCCAGCTCGACCCCGCAGGCTTCACGAAAATTCAAACCAGTCCACTTCGAACAGACCCCGCCGGAGAGAAGGAAGTTCTCGGTATGAAACCAATATAACACTACTACATCCATGGAAATTGTATTCGTTGAAATGTTTTCAACTACATATATACTCTCTGATTGTAATTGTAAAACAGAGTATTTTTGTTTTTGTCACTTTTAACAGGATAAAACCATTACATTTTCTCGTAGTATAAGTTCAACGATCATAGCTTTTATGTGTTATATTCTATTTTATACAAAGTCCTAAAAAATTTTTATTTTAAAACTTTCGAAAGTAAACATAAAAAGTCGTATATATTTCAAAAGTGGGTATATTTATCATATTTTAATGATATGTCAAATTAATTATTATAGTATGGCCGATTATCATAAAATAATTTTGCTATTAAAAGAGTCAAAATATTTCCCCGCATTTGTAAAATTTTGTTTCAGTCCAATTTGGGACATGAATTTATTACATGAGTGGCGAATGATTGAAGAAGCAAAACTTTTAATCAAAGGATGCTTCTGAATGAAAACGGTTTCCAAAAATTAAAAACATCGTTAAAAATTTAAATTTAAATTGGATGAAAAATATGTCATGGTCTAATAGACCAAAATATTATATTTAAAAGTATTTAATAGCTTATTTATAAAAGTACTATCATTATCTTTTCTAGTCTAGTCATCTATTTATCTAGTACTGCAACTAGATTTATAGACAGCTTCATAAAAAGTCATTATGGGCGTATTTATTACAAACTTTTTAAAAGTATCGTTAAAGTTAAAGCGGAACCGATGCTTACAAATCCCTTGTCATCTTCAGAAAATATATTCCCAAGGGCTTTATTACTTTATCGTTTGTTTGCATAATAACAACGGGATACAATTTATTGCAACATGATAATTTAATCATGATAATAAATCACTGATCAATTAATGGAATCACTTTAACAATATCATATCTACTTTTCAATTAACAATGAAATTGAAACTTCAGAAGTTATGTAAAATTAATATAAATGATAATGATTACCATCTAGCATCTAGCCCTAAACACCATATTTTTAAGAAATTAACTTTCTATAGAACACTCTAAATTTTATTATTAAAAAGATAGTAAAAAAGATTGTTTACATTTTTGTCATTTGTATCTTTATCCATCAATCAAAACAGATATTCATTTAACATAAAAATCTCAAACTGAGGCATCCATATTTTTTTCAAACATCATTAAACATGTACACGAAAGTATGACTTATAATAAGAACTTTTATTACAATCTAGCGATAATAAAAAGCTGTAACGATAGCATTTCTGTGCTATATTCCAGAGTTCTGATCAAAACGGCTGTACCAGTGGCTCCGAGAGTGAGGGTCGTCTTCGTACTTCCCTGAGTGCCCCAGCTTCAGGTCTCAACTCTTTAGGCTCCAACAACCGACTGCCAAGAGCTCAGAACCCTACTGTTACATTGTTGCAGAAAGCCAGAGGTAATTATCATGTCATATTTAATAGGGCAAAACAAATACATATGAAGTTGTTAAGATTATTTTTTCTATGAAGGTACACAATGTTATTTTTTATTGTATCGTCAAATATTCAAACTCATCAAGATATATTTTAGATTTCTACTTCATAACTATGTTAAAATTACACATTTTACTCTCTTTACTTTTTGTTTCGTTTCTCAAAAAATGTAGATAAACTTCGTGTTAGGTTAGGTTTGAAGCGTGTGATAAAATTAACCAAGTAATTTAGTTTGAAAAATTCAAGACTAAAATAAAATACTTCTTGAAATGTCATGAATAGATATAAAAAGAATATTCAAGCATTACGTTGTATTGTTTATAATGCACTTTTTAGACGTACGTATTGTTCAATTAAATTATATAATTTTCCGATGTTACGTCCACGAGAGGATAAATCTTTAATTTTTATTCCATTATGCCAAGCATGTTTCGAGTCTGTATTATTCATATGTGAGTCAGCCAAATAGTTGTTATTCAAGCGTCGAAGTATATTGTCTTAATATATAAGTAATTATTCTCAAAATTATATGAATAGGTTATTACTATATATATTATACTTTCACAAATTCCTTTAAACTTTTACATAAAAACCTGTAGAATAAAATATTAGCTAAATACTTGAAAACTAATTTCGATAGGTAGAAGGAACTTGATAATTTATTCACGTACTGTTGAAACAAGGGTTAATTGCGTTCAACTTTTATATATAGATGAAGTTTCCCCTTCATTATGAATTATGGGGCCGTTGATAACTCTCACAAATTACGTTGATAATTCAGTTTGTCTGAAAAATGTTTCGGGGAAGCGACAATCTGTTTACCTCTTAATTGGTTTCAATCTATTTAAAGTATAAATCTTAAACGCTTTGATTTTAATACATATTTTGATTGAAGTGTAAATTACGGTATTTACTTTTACGTAAAATAAACAAATAATAATTAAATGTTAAATATATTCATGGCTCGCTTGTTTAATTCATTGAAATGGAATTCAGAACTAGGTTGAATATTATAAAATCTTTGCTTTTAATTCTATGCAAATCTGTTCAGCTTTTCTTTGTGAGATTAATGACTACATGTTAGTTTTTACTTCAATTCTAAGAATTTATTTTCAAATAAAGACATCAATCCGGTTAATCAATATAAGTATCTATAGTCGATCGTATACGATGTAAAAATATTGTTATAAACATAACAAAATATCAATATTTTCCTATTTAAAGTTATAAATAAAAGCTGTTCATATATTTATATTAATACGCCGTATCATTGAATACACAATTCAAATAAACTAAATCCATTGGAGTGTAAAATTAAAATGATATCTCGTGGACTGAGTTCTACTAAAGCTGTCGGGCTGGCTGGGACCAGAGGCAATAATCTATATTGTGTTTTATATACGAGTTCATAACGATTTTATTATTATTTAATTTTATTCATATAACATATGTTTTTTTTATGAAAATGGTTTAATCGTAAGCGATTGTTATATTTAGGATTTAATATAAAATAAATATTTTTTAATTCTATGTAACTAATGCTTTTCAATTTTGCAAATAAATTATAATATAATTTTATAAATTCGAAAGTTACTCTGTTTGTTTGCTACAGTTTCAAGCCTAAACCGTTGAATCGATTTTGATGAACTATAGTATAGGGATAGATGGAACCATGGAGAAAGACATAGACTACCTTTTATCAAAATCTCGAATATCCGTCTCTAACTACACGGGTGGAATTATCAAGTGCATTTGGTTAGGACGTAGTGTTATTTTTTTTACTTTAATCCCGATCTAAAATCGAAAATCTTAATCCCAAGACCACACGGGTGGAAAAATGAAGTGCAGTTCAGGTTCAATGGCCGTAGTGGCAGGGAACAACTTTGATATTCACGCGGACGAAGTCGCAGGCAAAAGCTAGTATAATATTTATATATTATAGAGACGTTCTAAATATTTATTTCATTAAGTCACTTTTTTATAACGTTGTTTATTTCTGTTAAAATTTAGGGAAAATATATACAATTTTTTACTAATAAATATGTATATTTCTTTTTTTTTACAAGAATAGTTTTAATTTATATTCCCTTATATTCAAACCACGTCAGTACACTAACGATAAGATAGTGGAACCGGTAACTTACTTTCAGAATAAGAAGCTTAAAACAAAGCGGTGGTCTCTTACCTCACTGTAGATGCTCAGGAACGTTCTTCAAACTTATAATGATATACTAATTTATTAAACATTAAGTTTCCCCGTTGGTTTACTAAGTCTTCTCGTCTTCTTAAATAGCCAATGTTACTGGAAGTATTTACTATCACTTAGAGCTCAGTTCTGAGTAAAACGAAAGAATTTGCTTGCAAAAAATAAAAGCTAAATGGGAAAAGAATGTAAAAAAACCAAAGTCAAAATAGAGTTTGCTTTCAAGAAATGCCAAAAAATATAAAAATCAATTGTCCAAATAATATACTATAATAATTACTGTATTTACGAAATTATGTGCTAGTGAATTTATTACCGGTTTGTATAATCTTATTAAATACAATGTATTAATATATGATTTTATAATTTCCAGAAGGTCAACTCCAACGTAATATTCCGCAGGAAAGCGACCCTCGTCTTCCCAGGGACCGACCCTCTCCGCCTAGAGGGGACCCAGGTATAGTGGTTACAAACAATAAGTAATATAGCATTTACAAAGCTATACATATACACAACACAATTAACTTGATCCATATAATACATACATTGATTGGATTCCATTATAATATACATCTATATATTTTATAGAACATAAAATTATTCAATTGAATTTACGTATTTAAAAAAAGTATTTATATATTAATAGTTTAATAATTATATTTCTTTATTGTTTTCTAATCTAGAATATTCTAGAGTATAAGATTAATAACAATTGCTTTATATTTTTCCAGTGCATGCATTACGTAAGGAGTACGCCAGTGAGAGCGAGGCAGATAGAAGTGATCACGAGAGAGGTCAGAAAATGGCAGACGGAAAGAAAATAGATGGAATAGGACCGATTACTAAAGACGGAATGCCGGTAGCACTCAGATCTGTGAGTATATATACCAATAACAAAACGAATATAACTTAGAATCTAAGGAGTTCAGAACATAATTACACTTGGATAAATATATATTTAAATGAATTCTCCCATACAAAAATACTCATTTCGTCTGCCCGTGATCACGGTTGCTGCAAAGTAACCGAAACGTCGGAAGTGTGTAGTTAAAATAATAAAATATTCGTTTATGAATACTCTCGAAAGTTTTAAATCATTTTTTTTTTATTATAATTAATTTGTTCAAACAAGATATATATATATATACATATATAATTGCAAATAAGCTGAGAAATGGGACTATAATACAGACAGAGAATGTTTAATTTTATTACATATAAATAGGTTACTTATACTGAATATATGAAGGAGTTATTGATTTTAAAGTGGATTTCAATTGATACTATTGTAAAATGTACTTAATCTTATTAGAATAGAGTCGAATTTAGCTTGGTGTGGTAATATTCAAGAACTATTTATTTATTTCCAGGAAGTTAAAGACCCTTCGAGGTGGTACAAAAAGATGTATGACACGATACATAAAAACAAATACGACGGTACGTTTGTTTGTATTATTTTATTATATTTATATATGATTATATTTACAATATATATTTTCTTTTACAGAAGATTATGTGACAATACGATACAAAAACAATCGAGGTGATTATTATAAAAATATGTTTTGAATTTACTAACAAACTGTGGACGTCCGCTTTTGAATAACTTGCAATGATCACAAAATTATCGTTTAATAAATAAATCAGTACTAATTTTTCTAATTGAAGAAGTTAACTGGTCCTATATAAGAATATAAGAAAATTATATTCCACTATAAAATTACGATTAAAATAAAAACAAATTAAAATACAATTACGAAAAGATAAACTTATATTATTATTTTTTGTTACATAAGTATTATGTCAAATGTGACAGTTTTTAATCATTAAATGAAAAATTGCATCACAGTTTCAAAGCTCATGTCAATTTGTTTTACTAATATTACGATTATCGTAACCTTTTTGATACCCTTCTTAACAGTATTAAAAACCATTAATAGCTTTAAACATCTTCATATCGAATACATTCATAAGTTATTTTATTCACATGCTTAGTTACTAACAAATATAATTGCTAGTGTATCTTGTAATACCTCTATCATTTATTACTTCAAAAATTCATCCATGATTGTCCATTATAATAACATATATAAACAGAACTATAAATCAAATTCATTGTAACATCTGCCTGTCTTAGCTCACAATATATCTATCCCACGGGAAACATAATTCCCGGGAACAAAACACTGCCATAAAGATCACTATACGCCTTATGGTTAGAGTGTTAAGCATTTTATTCAATTGAATAGGAAGCATTATCATTCGAAATTTTAGTTCAATTGAGTAGTTAATGTTAATCTATCTCGATGAAAATGTAATATTAACCTTACCAAAATAATTCATTTAATATGGTTTATATATTAAAGGTGAAACTCTCCAAAGACCGAGCAGCAACAGATCTCAATACGCTTACTTCGACCCTCGTTCGGGTTATCTTAGTGAGCCCGAGGGAGGTCGCCCGACTACCGACACACGAAGAAGAACAGCCTCCGTACAAGACGACCGACATGAACTCACTCCTCATAAGTATGTATCTTGTAATGGTATAAAATGGGTATTGATCGCTTAAATGAAACTAATATATTTCGGATATACTACGAACGTCTGTCAGTTGGTCCTGTTATTTTACAATGATTTGTTTGTGACTATCTGACATGACAGACGATAACTGTTGCCGAAAAGTAGCTGAAATGTAGTTTTGACAATAATAAAATAGGCATAGTAATCCGAAAAATATTAGTTCCATTTAAATGAATAGTCGTGAAAGTCTTAGATCTCATTAAGAAATTGATCGCTTCTGCTAATTATTATCCATCTTTTTGCTATATGTTGCGTCTTTATCGTAATTGCTGTAACTGTTTTTCTTTAATGATTAAGTCATTAAATTATTTATTAACAAAACAAAACAATCATAATTTGACATTCACGTCTCGTCTGTTCGTGATTACGATTGCTGAAAGGTAACCGAAACGTCAGGAGTATATAGTTTTTTACAAAGCAGTATATCCGTAATATATAAGTTTCATTTAAATCATAATTTTGTTGAATGCGTCGTTACATATACATACTTTACAAATTTTTTGTGTGTAACTTGAGCTTAAACCAATTCTTGACGAAAATTTACGTTTTGCACTATTATTATACAAATATTATTTATGCTTAGGTACAGCACACTCGCCTCTTCGAGAGTACGTCAGGAGGTGTACAAGAATCAACCAGGGAGGATAGAGGACTACGTGCCTGGTAAATCATCAGTCATCGATACAGAAGCCAAGCAGGTAGTTTCTATTATAGAATATTATTTTGTGGGTTGGCAAGAACATCATATTCATCATAGATTTATTTAACTAACAATACGAGGTTGCATCAAAATTTGATTTTCCTTTTCCAGTGGTGGGACGAAGTCATGGACATTTTTGACGGGGTACGAACATTTATTTATCATTCCTTATATGTGTTTGTGATAACACTTGTCATTATAATTGGCTTAATAAATAAACTATATTAAATATTTATTATACTTTCAATATTAAACAGCTGCAAGAACTAAGATCGATCTGTATATACTTTAATTCTCATACAAACTGGCGCTACTCTTAGGTTTTTACATTAATCCGGCAAAAACGATCCACTTAATATATGAAGACAAAAAAGTGTGCACGTTCTATATATAGAAAACAAAAGGCCAAACAGTATTAAATACATATGATTCCTAAAAATATTAATTCTGTTTGTTTGATGTCCACCAAGTTATTTTTCACTAATTTTAACTCTTCTTTGTGAATTCCTTTTTCATCTAGCCCTTCCATCGGCAAGAAACTTTCAAAATTAAAATTCTGTGAATCGATTACTAAACACTTTATATAAACAGTTTGACGATGTCATTCTTTATAAGAAGCTACTTCATTTTTATTTCTAACATATTTAATACTGTTGGTGACTTACTTCAAAGTGCTTTTTAAGGATCGTTGTCGGTAATTTTCCATCTTTAATTTGACTAATTGTCGTAGTATAATAAATCAAATAGGAAGTTCGGTTGATGTTTATAATGATAATTCCCTTTAATTTCTATTCTAACACGGGCTGGTATCAGTGGTTAGACGAGAACTCCCCTCTGCCCCCCTACTCTACGTTACTCGCTCGCGCCATACAGAAGAGTGTAAGGTTCCTAACATATCGCATCTTGGTGTGACTTTATTGTTGCAGTGCTTCTCAAACTTTTATATGCAACCACCTGATAGCCTTTGTTTCAAAATCTTTAAACAAAAAGTTTGAGAATCGCTGTATTATTTGCTTTGCTTCATCTATTTGGGCGTGTAACTCCGCATTTGCTTTACTATTCGTGTAATAAAACTGTGATTTGTTTCGTGTTTTATGTATTAGGTGTGTATATATTTTTAACTTCCCGCTTTGCATGTGTCCATATAAATCTATCAATGTTTTATTTATCTCAAAATATTAAAATGTCTTTTAGAACTAACTGTCATCAACAAGATGGTAAAATGAGTAACATTTTGTTGATTATCACAAGTAAACTTATACTTGTGCATGTATTTCCTATGTAATAGGTGTCACAAAAGAAAGTTACATTCAGTATTTGGATTAAAATAGAATTTTATGAATTATTAAAACTTTGGTCTATTTTAATTGAAGAATAACTTAACATAAATTGTTAAGGTGAGTTCAACTTTAGATTTTGTGCAAAATTATGGTCTATATACATTGAAAGATTCAGGTTTGAAAGGTCCGGATGGTCACTAACAGTCCGATTATCGCTCTCTACTCAAATGTAGTTGTTTTAGTGTTCATCATTTATTTTGCAATAATTAGCAACGTGTGGTTTACTGGTACACAACTACGTTAGTAGGTATTTCAATCTATAAAGACCCCTATTTACGTTGTATTGCCGCAGTAAGCTATGAACTTTCTTTTGAGACATCGAATAAATAAATGTGAAATGAAATGTGAAATAATTCTTATATCTAAGACTGATAAATGTGACAATGTATGTATATTTGTGTACATGTTATGTATTTGTATATATTCTATGTGTATTTGTACATGTATATGTATATAATTTGTATGATCATCTATGTCATTTCTAATACTAACTTACCACTAGTTTAATAGTAACAGAAAAATACAAACCCGCAAGACTCCGAATTCTCAAAAAACAGTAATGAGAATTTTTCAAATCATTCATAGAATAATGTATCTCCTCTTAAATGTAATATTTTCAGAACTTTAGCTTCAATAGTTTTAATGGATGTTGTTGAAAATAGCATGATACCAATTTACATATTACAATTTCTTTCTCTCTAAATGTACTTACTAACTTTGTATTCCTCTTTAGCAATTTTATTGTATAATACAATATATTACAATTGTATCTTTATATATATATATATATATATAATTACTCAAATTAAAAAGGTTTATCATATAAGTTAAATTATCGTAATTATTTCAGCAAAACGAATCCAATACGCAAGCACAATCTCAGCCTTCCCCCAAAGAGAAGAAAGATCTAACATCTGCTATACTATCCAAATCTAACATGGCGAGGTAAGTTAAACATAATATCATAATAATTAAGTATTTAGGACATCTTTAAAGAAATTCAAGACAATAATATCTTAATTTATATCAGAGCGTTAAAGGAATCCGGCTACGAATCAGATTCTACAATAGTATTCCGACGTCAAGCCGCCCCTTTGTCGCCGAGTGAACGAAGAGCGGCCTATCGTGATTTACAAGCAGGGGGTGAACCGCCAAGAGGGGGATTCCGCTCCCCCGCACCAAATAGACAAGGTATGTAATATTCATAAGAAAAAATACATAAACATTTTAGCCATATCATCAAAACTAACGTATCAGTCTTAGACTTGAAGTCTAGACTATAAAAAACATAACCATAGAAAACAATAGCCATTATAACCGAGAGTTTATTATAGCGAAATATATAAAGATAATATTTTTTCTATAGATATAAACTAACTATGGATATTGAAGCAATGGGCATATACTGAAAATATATATTTTTATATTATTTATTTTATCAAAAAGACTGTTGGTTTATATTTACAACAGACCTTCTTATTCATACTTCTATTTGATTATTAAACTTTAATGTACGAAAATTAGTAACTTGAGAGTCCAAAAAACTTTTCCATATGTTCAATAATAAAGAGGTTTTAAAAAATATATTAGAAATAAGCATGTACTATCTATTTTAAAATTTTCTATAAACTTATTTTTGGCATTTTTATATTTTTAAATGTTATGCTTATATTGTTAAAAAAAATGTTAAGGATTATTATCAAATCAAGTGCTTACCTTTGGTTAAGCTATATACATATATTACCAATAGATTATTTCTTCTTGCGTTTCAACCCTACATATTTCTTGTACAAATATATCCACCTGACATGGGACATATTTTGAAGCATGTTCGCATTTGGTGTAGGTGTTAAATTACTTATTTCTTACATTAATAAGCTTTTTTCTTTGCGTGTTTTGTTTAAAAACACAATATTACATATACTAATTTTAAGGTTGGTAGTATTCAGTGATTTAGAGGTCACTGCATCACTGTGACAGATGTGTTTTACAGTTTGAAACGTTGACAAACAAGGTCACGCTATTGTAATGATATATGGTGCTCACTAACCGTGATAGATTTAGTTACTCTCGTCAATCACTTCAGGTAAGTATTGTATTTACAATCTGCATGGCTTTATAATAACCGAGGTGCTGGTCGGAGACTGCGTTAATAAGGTAATTCCACTTGCATGAGTAGACTCCAAAATTAAACACACATGATATTAGTTTAATACCACGGTATTTAAGTGCGGCACGTTTGTTACCACAGGTAGACAAAGCTTTACACAAAACATGGAAAAGCACAAACACGTTTTACTTACGTGACTCATTACGAACATCTGAGGATGCTGATTGAGAGTTGATTGGAATCCCACAGACGAAACAGAAATAGAATACATTCCTATATCTCCGACGTTGACGAAAATAAGGATACATAAAAAGACGCCTCAGATGCATGAAGTTATATGCTATCCTGTTACAAGCAATCCTATTGAACAACAATATTTGAAAAGTAGACCAGGTAGCGATTCAAAGTTCCGAAAATATGAGATTGATGAAGAAGGGGCACCAATTCCTCCAACAAGAATCTCTTCAAGAAATAGTCAAACCCTAAAGTTTATGACGTCTAAGACACCAACTTTCGAGTCTTCCACTAAACTTTCAAAGGAACAATCGAATGTAGAATTTCTAAAAGACAAAATATCTAATAAGTTGAACAGGCAGAATACCCACATTATAATAAAACCAAAATCACTTCAAAACAGCCATAGACGAATCATGTCTACGTCCGCTCCACCAGTTTTAAATAGAAATAAAACTAATGGTACTTTACCTAAAAATAATGTGAAAACTTCAAAACCACTTGGGACCAGTAGTTTCAGTTCAGAAAGAAGGATAATACTGCCCATAAACTATCCTACTGGTAGAAGTAAGAGTGGAGATACTTCTTCAGTAATTATTGAAGGTGGCGTCGGTAGACGAACACCTATAACAAATATTTTGGATAAAGTGACCCAAATAGATAAATTATGGGGTTCTCAGAAAAGAAATGAAAGAATCGATGTCTCGAAAATAAAACCAAAAAGTATAATCAAATCTCCTTCAAAACCGCTATCTCCTAAAACTCCTAACTTAAGTCCCAGATACGAAGGAACAGTTACTCATAAAAGCCGAGACATGATACGAACCGCAGAGAAAATTCAAAATATGAAAGTACAAGCAAAATCGACTCCTTGTTTGGCCAAACAATACAATAAGTCCGTAAAATCGAATTCTCTACAAGTAATGTCAAATATGTCAAAATCGTCTTCTAGTATACAACCACTTTCAAAAAAACAACATCCAGTGAAGACAGCAACAGTTACAAGTCTAAAAAAGAAAAAGTCTTTAGAAAGTATACCTCTTAAACCCCGACATACATTGACAAATGAACAAAACATCAAGAAAGTAAAATATGCAAGTAACCATAAAAAGTTACAAAAAAGTAATAAAACCCTGAATAAAAAACAGCAAAAAGATTTGCATTCTGAAAGCGACACTTGTAATCAATTTGGAGAAAATTTAGATAAATTGTCTAATAAAGGTTCTGTTGAATTTTTAGATCAACTAACTTCGAACGATTTAAGAGAAGCGAGAAATAATATTGTGTCCGACTCATTTTTCCAACACCTGTTTTTAAGAGATGCCGTAATACCGCCTGATATGCAGAATTATGAAAATGCGCGTACGTCAGTATTGCAAAAAGCTAAATACTTTCAATCGCTGCCAGATACGAATGTTAACTTTTCAAATTCATTAAATACTTATTTAGTACATCGCAAGCCGGTGTCTCTTTCTCGTTTTAAATTGTGGGATAGTCATTCGAATGTGTCACCTATTTCAAGTTCAAGGTCTATATCTTGGCCGGGCAAGATGGATGGCCGGATTCGAAAATTTGAAAGTTTGACAAAAAGCAACAATGAATTTGGATCTTCGTCTTCTTTATCGACAGTCAGAAGTAAAAGTGAACCTCCTTGTAGCAAATTATATTTTTCTCAAACGTCTCGACCTGTATCTCCAACGGTAACATTTCACAAAAAACAAGAATCTTCAGTCAAGGAATCACCTTCACCCGTAAGATTTTTTGTGTCGCATAGATCATTGTCTCCGAATGTTATGAATAAAACACAATACTTGGAAAAGTTGTCACGATCGCCGACCAAGATTATTTTTTCAAAAACTAAACACTCAAAATCAAATGATGAAGACTATTATTCAAAGAGACCACTGAGCGAGGATTTTGATAAAAAGGCAACAACATTTTTTTTCTCTGAAACGTCACTGCCAGTTTCACCTCAAGTCAGAAGTCCCCACAACAGAAGTCAATCGACGTCACCAGCACCAGTTCGATCTCCATCTTATCGTCGAATACATAATGTTAGGGCTCAAAATAAACTTGAACTTACCAACAAAAAATATCGCACTTTAAGCGCCGATAACGCCGTTGAAAAGAAACTTGAAACGAAAATCTATTGTAGGCCAAAGAGTGATTCGAATTTACATAAGAATGATCCTGAATATGAAGAGTATATAAATGATATTCAAAATGTGACGAACCGGTCCATAAGGTTTCGTGAACTAAATCGATATTATTCATATTTAGAGAGAGTTGCTGAGCTTGAAAAAGCTACCAACAATCAAAATACGTGTTATAGGAAAAGGGATGAAGAAATTATAGATTTCGATAGGTGGAAAAAAATTCGAACTATAGAAAGAGCAGAAGAGGAACTGGACAATCTGTATAAAAAACTAAGAAAAGCTCAAAATGAAAATGATGTGTTATTCTATCCTAAGGATGTGAACGATTTACGATGGAATTTTAATAAAGAAAGAGGGTTAAGAATGAAAGAAAAATCTGTGGAGGATTTAAAAGAGGAATTGGAACAAAAAACTAGTGATGTAGATAATGAATTAGACTGTTTACATGGTAAGGATACTTACAAACCTCTCTGGAGAGGTACAAGTGTGGCTGAAACAGCATTCACTATAAATAGAAAAAATGAAATAGAAAACAAGAAGATAAGTAATGCTAGAAACACAACACTTAACAATTTACATGCCAATCATTTAAGTGATTTAAGAAGAAAAATAGGTCTTGGTAGTCGTTTATGGAGTAGTCTATCTATGGATCAAGTAAATGCTCTTAAAAATCAGTTAAATGCTATATACAGCAGAGAATTAGAAACAAAACTTGAAAACAACGAAAATTATACCATAACAGTAAAAGACGCAAAATCTGCCAAGCAACCTGACCTTCACGTACGATGTAATTCTTTAACTTCCCCTAAAACGGACATAATAATACCAGAAATCAATAAATCAGAATCAATTGCAGCTATAAGTTGTCAATTGTCTTCCGAAAAAGAAATAAAAAATAATGTAAATAAAATGCAAATGTCTCTCACTGAAAGTGAAAAGAAAAAGTTATCACAATCTCTAAGTAAAGAACTATTAAAACGGATAAATAAATTTGACACGCCATTACAAAAACCAGAACCGGAAAAGCCAGTTCAAGTAAAAATAGACACAAACAAAATTCATGAAAGTAAATGTTCTGATATAGATCATAAATTAAGTGAAGAAATTAATAAACCTACAAATGAAAACATTAGACACCTTATTTTTCCCGTTCCAAAACAGGATACTTCAAATCAATCATCCGCAAGTGAAACAGATACTTTAAGCTCCGATATATCAGGAAAAACGGTTATATATAAAGGACCTGTAAAAGAAGTACAAAAAAAGGTTCAATATTTTGAATCAGTAAAAGATGAGAAAGAATCGCCAGTCACAGTTCACCTTGCGAAAGATACTCTAAATGAAAAAAATCAACACATAACGGAACCAGTTAAACCCCCGGAGAAAATAGAAAATAAATCAGGGTATAACTCTATTGTTCAATCCCAATCCTGTTCAAATTTAAAAGAACTATTCGGAGAGAGTGAAGCAAATAAATTTTTATCTTTACCAGCTAAGTCTGACCTATATTCAAGAACCCCATCGCCCCAATCGGAAGTACAAGTCGATCGAAGAACGCCTGACACGCTACGTTTCTCTAGTGACGAGACAATCTGGCGTAGTCGAACACCGTCCCCCGATGCAGAGCGGTACTGGCGTGCATACCTCAAACTGGCACGCGAGGGGGAAGTTCGCCGTCTCGCGCGACGTTTTGATTCGCCGTCCGCAGCCGGTGCAGTACTGCGGCGGTATCGTAGCGACCCCGAAATTATAAGAAACGATATAAAAAATAACTGGCCCACAGACAAGACATTCAGGCGGGGAAAATGTAGATCTTTGTTACCGGTGGCTCGTATGCCGCTCCGTCCTAACAACCGTTTCATGCCACACATTGATGTTATATCTAAATTGGCGGCACTCAGAAAAAGAAACACGGCTAGGTCTCGGTCTGCTGAAGAAGTTTTAGAATGTCGACCCGGCGAAGTAGAACGTATACGACGAAGATTCGAAGCTATGTCGCTGCTCGGACAGATGTATACCTCAACCCCAGATGTTTGCGAACTTCAAAATATTACATCTTATTTGGCCGGACCATGGATCGCACATCGGTATCCAAAGCCAGAAGATAATAAGAAGCCTATTAGAGATTCAGATAATTCGTTACGGGGTCGGACGACGTTAAACAAGAAAGATAAAACAAAACCTAAGGGATCCGTAAATTTAAACTCTATCCTTAAAAGCGATTCATTAGCTAAACAAGCCTTCAATCCCTTGGTTCACCAACCGGCAAGCCGTTATGAGCCGCCGCGCACACCGCCTCGGCCGCCGCCGGCCGCGTGGCCGTACCGTCTTGCGCCCTATGTTACACCGTCGCGGCACACAGTCACATTCAAAGGTTAATATTTTATAATTATACTGAAATGATATGTTTAATCTTGGAGCTACTTCAGCAATAGTTTCCTTAAGGTTAATTGAAGGTCATATTTTATCGCATACTCGCTGTATATAGTAATGGACTTTCAATGTATCTTTCACCATTTTCATATTCATTTAGTTTCCTTAGTTTACCATTGTGTTTCATTGTATCCTGATAGAAGGCGACACAGCACCGGAGCCTCCTCGCAGAGCATCACACAGCTACTCAGATTCAGGCAAGTATATAATTTATAAAGTGTTCCACAAATTGAATTTGATGTTTTGACTAAAACTATTTAACATATGATGTGAAGGCAATCAATTACTTAATTTTTGTATGTAACATATCTTTGTTAGCCTCAAGCCATTATTATGTTATGGTCTGTGAGAACTGTGAATAAATTATGACAAGAATTGATAAAATAAACAATGAATTTTGTTGATTTTAACCATAAAAAACTTACATACATATATGTGCATATATACTCGTATATAATTCTGATTGCTGTAAAATGTATAAGAAATATACTAAGTACTACAATTTTATTTCGCGTCTAAAGGTCGTCAAGATTTACGTCACCCAAATTGATTGAACCAGTCGGATCAGTTTTTACGGCATTGTAAACAGTGTGTTGTTCTCAGTGCTCGGAAATAGAGTGTTTCTTAATATTATTGAACGCAAAAACAATGTACTCGAATATATCGACAATATCTTTTATGTCATTCGCAGTCGCTGATACAATATCTTATCACACGCCTAACCTATGGATACTTTGAATTAGTTAGTATACAATGAGCAGATTATCCTTATAGTCGTTTAAATATCACAAAATGAATCAAAACCGCTTAAGCGACCCAGTTTTAAAAAGTTCTGTGTCGGATTATTATTATAATGACGAAATAAATTTTCGAGATCTTCGACTATCTGGCTCTATGTCCAGATCGTTAAAGGCATTGAATAATTATGTGAAAAAAAACATTTTCTACGATGAGAGTGAAGACCCGGAAAATGACCACGATAGTGATTATTATTCTAAAGAAACAAGCCCGAACGATTCGGTCTCTTTAGTGAAAAGTGACTCGGAAAGTGTTTTAAGTGAAGTGTCCAGTTTAAAAGATAAAACAAGTAACATCCCTCATACAACAGAGGACTCTCATTCCAAAACATATAACGATCCCACAACTTTAACCGATGATTATAAATTCAATAAGCTGATTGAAAACGCTTCAAAAACTGAACCACCTCTTGTGATAGACAATTCAAATCATATAAATAATGACAAAGAACTAAAACAACCTCCCGTGCCTAGTACGCGGCATTCAATATCAACTCCTCTCATAGAAGAATTTGAGGCGAAAGAAATAGATGTTGACCTTGAAAAAGTTACACTAAGGACAAAAAATATATCAAGAGATAATCGACACACTGTTCACGATGTATCTGAATGGGTTAATAGGACTGATATTTACCCGGATGTTTACGCGCCGCTGCCGTATAGTAAGTTATAATACATACATTAAAAGAAACAATTATATTACTTCTAAGTAAAATTTGTGATATAAAACGCTATCAACTACTTACGTCACTAATCTTATCTTTATGAAAAGAAATGTTAGTGATACAGAAATATATTTAAATAATATTAGAAAATAGATAAAGTGCGTTCAACTGTACATAGTTTTGGTTTATACTATGAGATGTTTGGCGGGAGTAGTGAATGAAAGGTGTAGTTCAGATATTACGAGGAACGCGCGGAGACGGACGGGTTTGTTTGTGTTGTGAATATTTTGTGAAGTGATTCAGAAATGGGAATATTGAAACAAATCAAGAAAATAACTAGCAACGGTTTGTTATATTATAAAAAAAATGATTATTGTTAAAGAAAATATAATACAGAATAAGCTATAAAAATATATCTATACATATTTTAATCCTATGATGAATTTATCATATCGAATGCATTTATTTGTACTTATCCCTGATTAATTTCTGACGTAAACAATTTTATAAATAAGTATTACATAAAAAAATATTACTAATAATAGAAATAGTAAGTAACACTTACTTTTCCGATAAAATATAAGTTGACAAATGAAATAGCGCAAGAAGTTTCGTAATAGTACACCGGCTACTTGTATTGCGCTGATCAAATTCACGTGATTGTATCAAATTAACTTATTACGATAGAATATTACAGCAACGGTTAATAAAGATGCATTTCATAAATTACTTCTTACATTTTTTTCATAATTTTAACCCATTACAACATTGGAGCGTATATTGTTAAGATTCAGTATACTTTTAGAAAATAAAAAATTCTTTTGTAATTTTTATTTATATATGGTGCAATTATAAATGGAATATTAAAAATATAAAAAGATACGAAGTCCATACAAATGCCTGGTGATTTTTTTCTATTGAATTTAATTGAAAAGTGAAAAGCACATATATAAGTGTTTTATATACTTGAATTTCTAGGGAAAGTTGTCCGTTTATGCTGGTCACGTAGCTTTAGAACAAAAAGTTGGGATTGTACTATAACTCTTAATTTTGTTTCTGTATTTCGAGACTATTTTTATTCGTAAAAAAAGTCATTTATTTTGGGTGTAAAAATGACCTACATATCAAAATTATATAAGCATCTTCTTATTTATGTGTGTACAAAATTTTAATTTTAAATATGTTCTTTAAATATGTCGAAATATTACATTTATTTACACAAACAAAATCGTGAAACAATGCTCGTTGTATTCATATAACCGTGATATTTTGGTGACAATATTCACAAACCGTGTTTTAATAGTGTTTACGCTTACCGGGCACGTGCTCAGAATGCTTAATAAAGTGAAAGTCACCATTAGTGCCCGCAAAAGGGCTTTCTTTCTGCCATTTTCCAATGTTTGTTTATTTATCGGAAACATGTTTTCACTTTTCAATGACATTTCCATAGTGACCTTAATGTGATTTACTACATCAGAGATTTTTGCTTTCTCTGAAATATCTGAGACTTAAAATTATTTTAATTAACTTAATTTAAATTTCTTACGAAGTTTTATTTTATGTATTTGAATATAAAGAATTATGAACATTCATAGAGGGATAATCATGTAATAAACTGCATATAAATTGGACGTCCAAACGACCAGACGTCCTTTTATCATCAAATCATCATTTCCGTCCACAGATCTTTAACCGTTAGATGAGAATTATTGCTTATATCCACCGCGTCCGCTCTAAAAATTATCTTGTACCTAATCTATGATTTTTATAACGCAATCTTCATTTTAAATTTTACCTCTTTTAGTAAGCTAATATTTTGTACCTGATGATATTTGTCTTGTAATTATTATTATTATTTAATAGTAGTCATCTCTATATATATTAATATAAGTTATTATATGTAGTAACCGGTTATGTGTCTTCACGCTCCGTCACGCAACAAACTCCCGAAATATTACCGATGATGATATTACATCACTCTTCCGTAACTTTCACTTTTTCTATAAAATTCCTCGCATACTTCACCTAGTTTTGCTATTGACATTTTGTAATAGATTGTTAGGTAACTAACTATCTTTATAGAAATTAATTAAAGTTTGTAAATATATTTATATTACAAAAATATCTTCACCTATATATCCTTCTATATCTATATCTAATATAAGTTATCTATTCTTATTATCAAATAGAATCTCCTAACCGGCGTTACATTGAGAGCGACGTGAACATCCATTATCGTTGTCCGGTCAGACACGACCCACTGCCGCTGGTCCCAGAACGAGAGCTGGCGAGGCAGCAGGCCGATCATATGAAGAGGCTGTACAGAGAGCAGCGCAGAAATAAATACCTACAGGTAAGGAATCCTTAGCGTGACATACGAAACCTTTGGGATAGGATGTCATAATTGACAAATAATTTCATCAAATTAAAAGACAAAAACAAAATTGCTAGCAATAATAAAACATTTGTTTAGCACCATATTATTATAGATATATAAAAAAATACTGATCTGTGGAGCTAATTGCGTATGAAATGTTTTGAAAACGACTTCCCCTTAAACTTTTATATAAAATAATGCTATTTATTTATTAATATACAAATAATGAATTAATTCTGAATTAAAAGCAACTAAAGCGGTATTCGTGACTTATATCGGGAAGTCAGATCAAAAACATTGTTGTCACTCAACGTTAACTGATAGCTGGGTATGGCACGCCAGAATGATTAATAGTAAACTTAAAACGTTAAAAACAATGAAAAAAAAACCTCCATTCTATTTAATATTGCCTAAAATTTTCGCACTGAACGACCACCTTATTCGAGAATTGCAACATTCATACCAAAAAAATTCTATGTAAATAATATATATTCAAAATCATAACAATTAAAATAGTCATTAAAACAATGCTTCACGTTACTTGATATATGGAAAGCTTGCTTCACAGATCGTTTGTTTGCGGTTTTCATAGTATAATATCGTGTTCATCTGCATACAGCGACAGTATGCGCGCGCGCACCATACCGGTACAATACTGAATACGTTACTTATATTTACATATAAAATATATTAAAATGCATATCTCAGACTTAGTTGTTAAGGTGAGCTGTTCTGTGTTCTGTTGTGTGTTTTTTAAGATAATCTTTATTTAAGATAATTGGTATGTTATTTATTTTTATTCGTATTTAAATTATAATATTATCAATACTCAATTAATATTGTATGTTAATTGGTTATATGAAGATACTTTAATTGATAAAATAATTAAGTAAATTTATCAGTAAGAGATCATTAGGTCAATAACATTAAACTTTTAATTACTCTCTCGAAATAATTAAATAACTATAAGTATATAATTAGAGTGAATAAAATTTTTAGATTTTTTTTTATTAGCAGAAAGTTCTTGAATCTTATTACTTTTAAATGTAATATAACTCTCACTAGACAATTTCATTTATCGATTTCACGTAATTAAAAACTTATAAAATATCAGAAGTAGCATAAATAAAAATAAGATTGCTTCAAATTATTGTCCAATCAATATTTTAATTAAATCTAATTAACTCTAAGCCTAGATAATAATCTCGCGAAAGCGTAAAAAACGTATAAAAACATAGAAAGTTGTTTTTTATTGCCTGTTAGATAAATAGCAAACGATCATATTATGTAATAGCAAAATAATAAAATATTATATCGTTCGATAAAATTGCGCATAAATCATTAGATATTAGGCTGTAAATTTAGAATGATAGTTATTAAAGCGAATATATTTGTTATAATGCTAGCAGCAATGTCTAAAGTCATAAGACTTATTAACCGAACATTCCATTCGGTCAAGATAACCTCTCATTAACGACAACGCTTCTCAAATATCCTGCATACCGATGTATGATAATCGCGCAGCAAATTACACAATACATCCTTGAACTTTAAATTCTTTCGACGAATAACTTAACATGTTTTTTTGTTAAATGAGATCGAAGATTTTTCGAGTATTCATTTAAATGAAACTGATATTTTTCGGATGTACTACACGATTTTTAGTTTTGATTATAAACTACAAACTCCCGACGTTTCGGTTACTTTACAGAAATCCTGATCAGACGACAGAGCAGACGAGATTTCATTTTTTTTTGTTATTTTTCTTTTTCTTGTTCGACGTAAAAAAAATTACAATCATCAATTCTTAAAAACAAATGTAGAATCATTTTATTTAAATACTCTCCTAGAGAATAAAATTACTTATGATATCATCTATGTAGATTTGATGGACACAAAGCGCTTTATTTGCAGGAAAACTCGATACATCCACTCGACATAGAAGCATTCGATGCTTCTATCAAGGTGACGCATGAAAGACCGATGAGTGCTCTTTAACAGATTTCGTTATTTGAACACGCTGTATAACATTTGGCTAAAATCTTAATATCAAAATTTACTTCAATACATTCTGTTAATCGAGTTTTTCTTTTGTTATTTTTGGTATCCCATCTTTAAAATGAGTCTAAACTCTAACATCCATAAAAGAGCTGTATAATGAAGTGTTTAAACATCATTGTGTTGCTAACGAAGTATTTGATAAATGAAAAAACTTTTTATGTTGTGTTTTAAGCCGTAATATTTGTAATCCTACAAGCTTGATTACAAAGTAACAAACTTAAAAACAGTAAAGATTTTAATGATGAATCAATAATTTTTCAGGAGCTACAAGATATGCAAAATAGGCGTCATCAAGACAACTTTATGCCTTCACAAAAAACTATAGTACCACTAAATAGATACGACGAAGCAGAAAGGATAGTCGCTAAGGCGCTCTATACGTTTAATGGTCAGACCTCGAGAGAATTGAGTTTCAGGAAAGGAGATATTATAAATGTTAGGCGACAGATCGATTCTAATTGGTACGAAGGAGAGGTGCACGGAAAAGTCGGATTATTCCCGTACAATTACGTAGAAGTGAGTAATACATATATTGACCAAACAAAAATATATTCTCTGGCAAAACATTAATGATGGCCTATGTTTCAGTTAATGAAAGGGGATGGAGTACAGACTTTGAAGAAGACGGCGATAGTCGAGGGTCGAGCCAAAGCTAAGTTCGATTTCACTGCCCAGACCAATTTAGAGCTGCCTCTGAAGAAAGGGGAGGTCGTGGTGTTGACGAGACGAATCGATCATAACTGGTGGGAAGGAAGAACTGGCAATAAGACCGGTATCTTCCCTGACAGCTACGTCACCATACTACAGGAACCGAGTCAAAGTAGGCAGGGTGAGTGACCCTAAAACATGTATGAGACGAAATTTCTCATCATTCCATGTATTTACTATGCGGGTGTCGGGTCCATCGTTGTAGTGAGAGGAGCTTCAACATTGAGTGGGACTTGTGACCCAGGTGTAGGTATAAGGGACCCTATATAAGACGCGTTAAACGCTCACCTCCACTGTCCAAGCTCCTCTCTCTATAATTAAATATCATTAACGATAATTATTACCAAATGGCTTACTTGTGAAACGTTATTTGGTGTCAGTCATTTAAAGCGAATACTTTTTATATTATGCAAGGATATCTCCAATTCTGTTAACCTGGTTAACACACTCAGGAAATTTACGTTTACAGAAATATTTATTTCCTTTTCATGCTTTCAAGACTAGTATTTATTTTCCATTTCACAATTTTATCCACATTAACATTCTTAATGCAACATTTTTATCTATTTCAAAACAAAACATTGAAATAGTACACTTAAACGACTCAATATTTCTACTTATTATACATTCATCTCCGATTTTATTTAAAAATGACGAAAAGCATATTATATACGTTTCAAGTAATGATTTCGACATTTAATTTTATTGGCTGCTACATTCTTAGACCAAAATTTTTTGCAGACATGAAATTGCTTACCTACTACTTACTTATATGAAAATAACTCAATTGTATTTCCGTATCAGAGCCTGAGAAGCCGGCCGGTACACCAGCAGCCCACGGCCTCATGAACGGTGACCGGCCCACCTCTCACCGATACACTCCTCAACATAACAGCCCCGCGCTCTCTAACGCTCCTCCAGCCACCGCGCCGCTACCGTCACAAGGTAAGACAACACTAGATAAAACTTATAAAGTATATCATTATACATTTATTCAGTCCTTTCAATGTGCCCAAGAGATTGCAAAAAGAAGTTACATAATAATTTGTATAGCACAAATCTATATAGATCTCACAGAAACCTATACATACTCGTATGTTTGTAGCAAAAGAGCAAATTATTAAAACAAAAAATAATTTAAAACAAGTTAAATGTTTGAACAATGCTCACGTGACGTTAATATGGAACCTTTATAACCGGTTTAAAATTATCCAATGATGCAAATCGTATAATTTCAAGAGAGAAACAGACAGAGCCACATATATTTTCCGTACTCAATGTTTATCTCTACATAATGGACGTATGAAAATGATTTTTTTGTTGTATAATTTCCAGGCTACATTCGCAAGTCTTCATCTACCCGCAGCGCTGATCTTAACAACACCGAGCCACTTTACGTTGACACCAACGCCGAAGCTGTTCCGTGAGTTAATTAAAATTAACTTCATAGTCTTTTTATTGCATACAAATCTTCTTCTTCTACCTGGCAATTTCCCAGCTATAGCCAGGGTCTGCCTTACATGTTGTAAATAATTTTACGACCGGCCGCCTGCCTGACATCAAACCTCTTTTGGGAATAAAGTTATTTATTTAGTATTATAGTTATATGTAGTTATTACATACAAGTCTTATTTAGTACTGTAAACACAGTTACATATAATTTGTGCATTATTGTTCCTTTCGCTGTGTATACTAAAGTTTAATATCAATCATATAGAATAAACAAATGTAGTATTTCATAAATGACGATATTTTTGACTATAGATTCCGTACCTAACTGAAATTTTTTACATAATAAAATGCCTATCTTTGATTTAAACAAAATAAACCATCACAAGATAGATTGGGGAATATTTTATATATCTATACTAGAAGACCCGGCGAACTTCGTATCGCCATATAATCAAAAAATATCTATTACGTTTTTTTATTTACATTTTTGGGGTTTACCTATTAAAGCCATAAATCTCCGTGTTTTGAAGTGCGACAGAATGATTAACATATTAGTTAGTTGTCAAATCTAATGTCAAAAAAAAAAGTTTGTATCATCAACTACTAATAAATTAAAAATTAATTAAAAAAATATTGTCCAGCGAACAAAATGGTGAATCTAAACCATTCCCAGATCCCCTTGAACACACACAAAAAATTTCATTAAAATCGGTCCAGTCGTTTGAGAGAACTTCTGTGACATACACACTCACAGAAGAATTATATATATAAAGATATTTAATATAACATTGTTAGTAACGTGTTTTTCTTATATCAGTTACCGCGCCATGTACAAGTACCGTCCCCAAAACCCTGATGAGTTGGAATTAATGGAAGGAGAGACGGTGTACGTGCTTGAGAAGTGTGATGATGGATGGTACGTGGGCTCCAGTCAAAGGACCGGACGATTCGGGACCTTCCCTGGTGAGTACTCAATAATGATAGACACTTATAGTTCTTCTTCCTGTCAATTTCCCAGCTTTAGCCAGGGTCTGCCAAAGGAACTTTTACTTATTTTATTAGAAAGATGCCAAAGAGATGGCTTACTTGATGGGCAGTAATCACAATCACCTATGAGCCTTTGCAATATAAGAGATGTTGCCTTCATTGCCAACCTTGCTACTCAATAATGGTAGGAACTTATACTTATTTTACGAGAAAGATGCCAAAGAGATGGCTTACTTGATAGGCAGTAGTCACCGTCTCCCATGGACATTTGCAATATAAGAGATGTTGCCTGAATTTCCGATTTTGCTTGTTGAATAAGAGGGAGGGGTGGGAATAAAGAAATAACAGCAAGTAGTGCAAATAGGGAAAGACAACCGATTCTGTCACTCATTGGACGGAACGCTGAATAGAATTAAGATTGATTAGATGCAATGAAGCTATCAGTTTTGATATATTGTCTTAAATGACTGTATTTTTTTTTATTTATCAGTCTATAAATATGTTTTTTACTGACAAATAAATTCTTGTTAAAAAATCAGTAGCTATCCCAGTTCAGATGTATTCCTAAAGTAGATGGAATTCAAAATCATATGCAAACAATATACATAATAATAGTATCCTGTATAATGTCAAGTCACTGTCAAAATTCAAGTTTAATTACGAAATACTAAACATAATTGAAGTTAAACTGATTAAATTGTGCTATTTTCTGTAAATAAATTCGGAATATAATATATATGTAATATGTTCAATTTCCAGGCAACTACGTAGAGCGTATATGATAGCGCCAGACTTTGCTGCGGCGCCTGCGACGAGCGGCGCTCTGCACGCGACGCACACGATGAAGCTCTATCCCGCTTTCACGACGAACGACAGAGCGAGATAGATATAGAGCTTCGATATATCTAATATAAAAAAATAAAACTAGATAGTAGCTAATTGATCGGTTGTAACCAACGATCGTTTTGAATTGTGTACTAATTTTTACGTTTACCGTTATATGAACCATGACTTTTGTATCCTTTTATAAATCTAACCGTACTTTTGAGTGTACGAGTGGTCTTCGTTAATTTCAAGTCTTCTCACATATCACTCCACGTCTCCAAAACCATCCCAAAGTCTTTTAGAGATCCCAAAGAGTACTTTAACTGAATATTAATGTGTTGTATAATTGTATAAACATTAACGTGTAAAGTGGTTTACTAGTTATAGTTATTTATTGAATGTGTAGCTGGGGATGGACGCTCGCCTTTTAAAATACATTTTAAAAGTACGAAGCCGAACGCGTGTTCATTTACACCTGATAAGTACTAATATATCATTAATATCACTACTACTATAAAAAAAATCGTATATATTATAAACAGTTCGAGCAAAAGTCAAACTTTGAATTTGTAACTGTTTATATACAAAGTTTGTATGTTTTGTGTTGGCAGCACTGAATCGCTAACATGAGTTACCGGTGTACAAAATAAAATACTCACATATATAAATAGGGCGAGTACGAAAATGGACAATACTTTTGTATGCTTAAAATTAGATGTAATTAATTATACACTTAAATGTTTGGCTTGGCGTCTAGTCATGGAAGTACAGATTTATTTATGCAGTTTATTTATTACCTTCTTGTAATTAGCTTACCAAAGTGACAACTCTCGCCCTATATCGCTTGGGACGTCGTCCTTTTAACATTGTTGTAGTTTTGTTAATTTATTTTTAGAGCACAAACTTTTATTTGTTGTTGACACCTCGACTTGCGATGTAACGTTTACTGCTATTGTTCAATGTCATCACATCTAATAATAAAAACTTTTTATTAAAAATACACAATTGCGTTTTATTTATGAACTTATAAATCAATGACTTTTATGACTTTGTTATAGCTTGGTTGCTTGTTTTAAATATGGCCATCCGTGCATAGACGTGCACAATTTATTCTGCCAGTGTCGAGTAGAATGGAAGAGACACGATCCGCGATTAACTTAGAAATAAAATTTAACAGATTCTACTGAAGTCACAGTAAGGAACTTTTTGAGTATATATCAAACAACAAAAATTGAATTAGATGCAAACATAGGAGATATATATTGTATAAAAATGTAAAACCAAAACTAATGTTATATAAAGGAAAAACAATTTATTACAACTTAATTCTATTGAGTTTAATATATATTTTGTTATAGCATAGAGATATTATTATTTTATCTCATTTTTTATTTATACATCTATACAAATAAAATGGGAGTGTCTGTTTGTACTGTGGAAATAACATTTTTTTTAAACATGCATATGAGTATGTATACGGTACATACACCAAAATAACATTTTTACAATGTTTGTCTGTCTGTTTTTTACTTAGGCTACTTTTTATACCGATCCTGAAATTAAGTGTTATCACGCGTTATAAAAATTTTTCATTTTTTATATTTCTTTTTAGACGCAGACGTAGACGAAGGTAATAACTAGTATTCAAATACAGACGAATTTTTAAACAATGTTGCAATATGTGATTAAAACAACATTATTTTTTAGACATTATTCTGGCAACTATATGTCCGTTGCTAGGCAACCGTGAATAACCAAACATTTGCCGCCAAAGATGCGTCATCGGGCAGAGTATTGTGTAAATTGTTCATTTACGAAGTAATTTAAATAATCTTATACACTTACTTAAAGTTAAACATCCAAATTTTAACCATGGCGATGGATTGGCGAGAGATATTAAGGTTCTCTGAAAAAGAATTGAAAGAAAGCGAAAAAGATAAGCTATGTGAAGGTTTGTCTTGGATGGAAATTGACGATATAGAACTTAGTTTCACTGACTTGAAGATACTTTTTAAACTGGCGCAAGATGTTCTGAAATATAAAAACGAACAAGTGAGAATCAAAACGTCTTAAGCTTTATATATATTATATATACAGACATATTTAAGATACATTTATGATTATGAGACTATGCTTTTAGTTTTACGTTGCTTGTTTAGATTTTATTTCAATAGCTAACCGATTTCATGGACACGTAATGAAATCAAAATTAAGTTTAAATTAATAAACTAAACTCGCACTAAGTTATATTACCGAAAACATAGGACTAATTTTAGATTATTGTTAAAGGTTAATAGTGCTATGGACAAACTTAATAAAACGAAAAAGAAAATCAGGACAAAGGAAAGGGGAACACTCACGGGTGAGATTTTAAAGATTTATAGTCTTAGCTTTCACATAGATAACTTCTAGAATCTTCTTAAATATTACAATATTGATACAGAGTCACCTGCAAAGAGTTCTGATAGCGTACTCGAAACTATAGAACATCAGGAAGAAATAATAAAAGCTAATAAACATATACTCGAACAGCTGTATATAGATATAGCTGAATTAGAAGAAAAGAAAAATAAACATGAGAAAGATAATGATGTTGAACCTGAAAGTAATTCAAGCAGAGCCACGCTATCAGAAATGAATGCTATTGCGACTTTAGAGAACGAATTATCAAAGAAGAATAGACATATCAAAAAACTATTAACCGATGTGAAGGTGGGAAATATCTTTATATATATAATTCTTCTGTGAGTGTGTATGTCACTAAAGTTCTCTCAAACAACTGGACCGATTTTGATGAAATTTTTTGTGTGTGTTCAAGGGGATCTGGGAATGGTTTAGAGTCACAATTTTGTCCGCTGGACAATGTTTTTTTGATTAATTTTTAATTTATTAGTAGTTGTTGATACAAACGTGTTTTTTTGACATTAGATTTGACAACTAACTAATATGTCAATCATTCTGTCGCACTTCAAAACACGGAGATTTATGGCTTACAGGTAAACTCCAAAAATATAAATAAAAAAACGTAACAGATATTTCTTGATTATAGGGCGATACGAAGTTCGCCGGGTCTTCTAGTTTATTATATAAGAAATTGAATTCAAGGAATTTAATGTAAGATATTTTTAGATACTCGAAGAAGAGAATTCAACGTTGAAGGAAAAGTTAGTAGTTTTTAAGGATAAATTAAAAGAGTCTACTTTATTGATTGAGAATTTAACTGAACAATTATTCAATCTCAACAATGAAAACTCAAAGATGAAAGGTATATAATTAAATCTAATACTTACGTGAATATTCATTTAAATGAAACTAATATTTTCGTATTATTACGCGTATTTTATTATTTGTAAAACTACATACTTTCGACGATTCGGTTATTTTTCAGCAACCGTAATCACGGGCAGACGAGATTTTAAAACTAGTGAAATAACGCGTATTAATCTTGAAATATTAGTGTCATTTAAATCAAAAGTATATATTACTTGATAGATTATAAACTAATAATCCAATTATATTTAGATTCGCTCGGTAAGTCAGAAGAAGAAAAAGCGAATATGCTCGTAGAAATAGAAACATTGAATAGTGAAATAAAAAACAAACGAAACAAAACGGAAAGAAACGAAGAAGATATTAAGATGAAACTTCAACACTTTAAGGTATTTAGACATAATATTTAAAGTTTAATAAACCCCTAAAATAATATATAACTCTGTTTCAGAACCTAGTAAAGACACAAAAACAAGAAATTACTCAAAAAACTAAAGACAATAATCATTTGAAAGAAGAATTGGAACGTATTTCGAAATGTCTAAACTCTCCGAAAGTAAGTTTATTGAGGCTAAATTTAATAAAAAAAAACATTTTTATATCTCATTTATTATAATTTCTTTATCAGGAACGAACTAAAAAACAAGATGACAGCAACATTATACAGACTTTGAAGGAAGAAAATAGAAGATTGAAAATAATGATAGAAGATGTTCCAGAACATTCTATAAGTGAACAAAAGAACGAGAGTGATGACGGAAAAGAACGGAATATGATAAATAAATTGAAAAGAAAAATAAAATGTATGAACATAGCCTTACAAGGAAGCGAAGAAATGTTGGCGGTTAGAGAGAAAGAGGTAATAATAATAATAATATATTTAATTCCAAAGAAAATGAATTAAATTAATATAATGAGTGCGAAGATTTTTGCGATTATTCAATTAATAGTATCGGATTATTAAGCATATTTTATTATTTTTAAACAACATACTACCAATCTTTCAGTAACTTTGTAGCAACCGTGATCATGGGTTGACGAGATTTGGTTGCTGTAAAGTAACTGAAACGTCGTGTTTAGTTTTGAAAAATAATAAAATAAGCATAATAATTGGAAAATATATTAGTTTTATTTAAATTAATTTAATATACAGATAACAGAAATAACAGCACAACTACAACTATTAAGAACGGACGAAGGTATAAACGCGTTGATAGATAGTATTAAAAATAAAAATAAACATTTGAGAGTTAGGGATGAAGGTATCAAATCATTGGTGCAAGAAGTTAATAAGCTTAATGACGTCATCAACGAATTGCAGTTAGAAAATGAAGCTATGAGGTAAAAATCATAATTATCATATATTTATATACAAAAAGTACTGATTTTTAGTATAATTTTGTTGTTTTATACATTATATACATTAGTAGAAAGTTTGATAGTTTCCTTGTCCAAGTACAAGTCCAACTTGTAAATGTCACTAAGTTTAATTTATATATAAATTTGTAAGTGAAGAAAATTTACTATCACATAAAGTCAATTAGAATTCTGCTTATACTGTTAGTGTATTAAAGTATACATTTTATTGATATAGGGAAAAGTTGAATATACCAGATAATACGAAAATTGATACTCACGGTATAATGAAAAAATATAAAGATATAGAAACACAAAATATAGAATTAATTAAAAAGGTACGAGATTATGAAGATAGGTTGATTAATATAGAATTGGATAATCGAGAAAAAAAGGCTAAAAGATCTAAAATTAAAAGCGTCGCTAAAACACAGACGTGTGACGAAATACACGAACATGATCATATTAATAAAGAAAATATATCTGAATACAATTTAAAAATGAAAGATCTTTTGGAAGAAAACGAAGGACTAAGAAACGGTCTAACAGATATACTGAATTTGTTAAAAGATAATAGTAAGTTAAATCATTTATCAATAAATTCATAAAAGAATACTAATAATAATAATGTTAATTATAATTCTAGGATCTACAGCGGGGGTTTTATTACTAGAATGTCCGAGTCTTGAAGCGCTTTTAAATAATATGGAAGCAAGAAAATCTTCGGGATGGTTTTCACCTCACATGAAAACTGTAATGGAGCTTAAATCTGCTTTAGGTGGAAAAGATGCGCTATTGACTGCTCTACATGAATCAAGGTAATTATTATTTAATAAATTAATTAAACGTACTATTAGGTAAATATTTTATTACAACAAAATTTTAGACAAGAAACTTTTGATGTATTAAAGAAATTAGAAAAAGAAAAACAGAGATATTCAGATCTAGAAGCAAAGTTAAAGGAAAATAATAAAATAGATAAAATTAATCAAACTGCACTCGATTTAAATAAATTTGGATCTTGGATGACTGATGATGAGTTTAAAGATATAGATATCAATAATACGAAACAGGTCGCGGGATTAATTGATAAAGGAAATGCTTTGTTTGAGAATGATTTGAAACAAACATTAAGATATTTTCAAGAAAAATTCTGTCAGCTTTTTGATAATTTTACTTCTCTATCAATAAGTGCTTCAGATGATTCTAGCAAGTGGGATATACAAGAAGAAAAATATAAGGCTGAGATAGAAAATCTGAAATCTCATATTGATGAGCACGAAGATGATAGTAATCTCTCCCCTGGATTATTAACTATAACCAACGATAGTATAGAAAGAAAATATACTTACTTGGAAGATCTATATAAAAAAATGCGCACTGACAAGGAGAATATAAAAAACGAATATTTAGAATCGAAGAGAGAAAGATTGATAGAGACTTCTGAGTATGAAAGAAAAATACAGAATTTACTATTAACAGTTCTGAATCTAACTGATAGATTACGTAATACTGTACCAATGGAAATATTTCTCAAACAACGCGAAGATCACAATAAGTTTGTTATTAAATATAGAAATGTATTAGAAACCAATATAAGTAGAGCTATCAGGGAAGAGGAATTATTGCAGCACTTGGATGATATGAAAATGGATATTTTAAACAATTTCTACAAAGGTTTGATAACACTGTATACTTAAATATATACAATATATGAAGTATTATAATTATTAAATAATTTCCAGAAGGTGATCAATATATTACTCCAGTAAAAATTCAAGAAGCCGAACAGAACATTAATCAAGAACAACTAAGGAAGCTATGTTTAGAAGTGACGGAGAAAAATAATGAAATAGAAAAATTACAAAATAAAATATCAGAATTGCAACTCGTAGAATCACAGTTAACGTGAGTTTGATAAAATTACATTAGAACTGAAATACATAAATAAAATATCTTATTTTGCTTCAGAGATAAAATATTGAATTGTGATTCAAATCAATCCGACTATTACAAAAATGAACTAGACAAACGTAATGAAGAAAATCTCATGATGAAGGAAAAGTATCAAGATACGAAAATGGCATTAGATAAAGTATATTTAGAGGTAAATATAAATACACACACATACACACACACACACATAAATACATACATATACATGTTTATGCTGCTTGTGACGTCATATTTTTTTTCAATATCTTAGCTTCAATCATATAAAAATAAACAACTAGCAAATGACATAGAAATCAATATGTTGAGACATCAGATTTTGGACTTACAGTCTTTGGGAGATAACAAGGCAATTATAGCAAGGTAATGAATGAAATTGCTTTCATGTATTTTTTGTAAGAACTTAAAAAACTTTAGTACTTATTTTAGATTGAGCGGCGAAGTTTTGCTAGCTCAACTGCAAGTTACAGAGAGCTATGAAAAAATTGATTCTCTCAAAATAGCTCTGAACAATGAGAAACAACTCAGAGCCGAAACTGAAGACGTGCTTATGAGTAGACAAAAAGTCTTCGAGATTTACTCAAAAAGAAATGATAATAAATTTAGGTAATTAAGTGTTTTCTCTTATAAGACGCATATATCTTTATATATAAAAGAATCGTTTAGTTACACTATTTTTAACTCGAGAACGGCTGAACAGATTTGGTTGAAAAATGGTAAAGAAATAGTTTAGATCTAGAAAAAAATCATACGATAATTTTCATCGGATCGAAAATAATAAAAAAAAAGTTGATAAAATCCAAAATCTTCCTATTTATTACCTTTAAGTAGGAAGACATTTTGTCCGGATAGCTTGACATTAATATTTCTAAAACTAATGCAGACGAAGTCGCGGGCAAAAACTAATATTTATTATTTATTTTTTAAAGGAATATGTCACAACTGATAGACACTTTGAGAGAACAATATCAGGGACACTTGCCGCTAGTCTCAGTGGAAACATTCCTTCATAAATTGGAAGATATAAAACATAAATCTAACGAAGTTAACGAAAAACTTAACGAAATCAATGATTTACAAACAAATTTACTTACAAAATATAGTATTTACAATAATATATTGGAGTTAATAGAAAAGAAATGTCCAGATGACACTTGCTGCCATAAGTTGAAGAATATTATAACAGTGAGTGTAATTAATTCTTATATCATATTTAATTAAAAATTAATTGTTATTTTTTTGTTTTTATTTAGGAAAACATGCAAAAACGTGAAACGGAACTCTGTAAGAAGAAATTATTATCAGCAGATGAAGCATATAAAAATGTTTTAGAAAGATGCGATTATCTCGAAAAAACACTTATATTGGTAAATCAAGGTTTCAAAATTGTGGATAATGTAGAAAAAAATATTCCACGCGTTGCAGAATGTAATAATGATTTGAAAGTTGAAAATGTTCCCTCTGAAGACGAAATGAGCAGTATAAGCAGTTGCAGTAGAAGTAAGTATTGACAAATGTAAAGAAAAATTGATTTTCATTGACTAATATTACAAAACATGCATTTTTCCTCAGAGAGTCGTACTTTTACATTATCCCCACCAAAAGTGAATAATGAAGGAAAAGCCGGTAAAAGTGTGGTAACCACTAACGAACCCAAAAAATTCTTACATGAGCAAACTCAAACGAATTTCACACATTTGAAAAAATCTTCTATCACACAAACAGATGACGATCAATATATAAATGAACTCAAAACAGAATTAAACAACTCAATAGTGAGAGGAAATGAGAAAGACAAAATAATTGAAGAAATAGAAGCGATAGCTAAACAAAAAGGTCGTGATGCAGCTATCATGAATAAAAAATACCTCGAACAAGAAAAAGCCTATGAACTTCTATCAAACATAAACATTCAAAAAGATGAGCTTATTAAAAATCTTCAAGAAACTATTCAGACATTAAAAAAAGATATCGTACATATTAAATCGGCTCACATAAAACAAATTAATAAAATCAAAGACACAGCTGACGTTGAAAACAAAATGGTCACAGACACATTGAAGAAAATCGAAACTGACAAAAATAATGTTATAGCAGAATATAAAGAACTACTACAAAAAGAAAGAGATGAATATTCAAAAACAATTAAACAATTACAAGGAAAAGCTAGAGATTTACAAATGAAATTGGATCAGTAAGTATTCACGTACAGAGAATGCATCAATCACTTTTGTCTCAGAAATAAACATCGTCTTATCTATGTTAATCTCAAATCGTTACGTAATCTAATTAATATTATCTATGATAGGAGAGATTTAGCGAACACTTCCAAGAATGCCATAATGGATACCAACAAATATTATAACAGAATAAGTGATCTGGAAACGAAAATATTCAAACTGCAAAGTGATTTTGAAGGCAGTCAGGCTGAACTGTAAGTTTTATCATATAATAACTTCTTATGGATGTAAAGTGAATAAAAAATTACCTTCAATTTCAGAATTAGCCAAAAAAGCGAATTAGATCGTTGGAAAGTATTAGCCTCCGAAAGATTAACAAAGATGGAACAGTTAAGTACGCAATTAAAAGAAAGACATAACGACGAAGTAAGTCACGCTTTTGGTTATATCTAATATATAAAATTCTCGTGTCACAGTTTTCGTGCCCATACTCCTCCGAAACAACCTGACCGATTTTGATGAAATTTTTTGTGCTTATTCGGTAGCTATGAGAATCGGCCAACATCTATTTTTCATCCCCCTAAATGTTAGGGGTAATCCACCCCTAAATTTTTTTTTTTATTTTTTAGACAAAATTTTTAATTACTATTTTTTTATGATACAAAGTACAAAAATACATACAATCCTAAATTTTCACCCTTCTACGATCAACCCTTATTTTTTAATAGCTATTTTAGTAATTTAATCATTTTTCATCTCCGGTCGATAACTGATCAATCGTCATTTAATAAGTTATCCCCGCCAGATATCTACAGGTGTCACTTCTGACCCAGTAAACAGCACGGAGTAGGGATGAGAACGAAGCCGGTCTTCTGTTTCTCTCACACAATTAGACTTCTCTCACTCCCTACACAGTTGTCGGCCATCGTTATTGTTTGTGCATCAAGTGTAGTAGTAACGTTGACAATTATTATTTTGCTAGCTCAGTGTAACTCTCATATTAACTATTAATCATTCCTAATCACTTCAAAACACGGAGATTTATGGCTTTAATAGGTAAACTCCAAAAATATAAATAAAAAAACGTAACAGATATTTCTTGATTATAGGGCGAAACGAAGTTCGCCGGGTCTTCTAGTTTATATATAATGTTAACTCTTCTTCTACCTAGAAATTTCCCAGCTTTAGCCAGGGTCTGCCTATATATAATATTTATTCTTTTATCCAATCATAATTTTTTTAGATATATTTGTAATAAATAAAATTTCAGTGGATAGTGCTCGAATATCAATAAAAACGAAACTGTTTTAAATATTAACGGCCTGATTATATTTTCTATATTATAAGTCATACTTTATCACGAGTAGACGAGATGTGGATGATATTCGTAGCTCGAAAGTAACTTACTCGAAAACGTCGTGAATATGTTGTTTAAAAATAATACGAATATTAATCCAATAACATTAGTTCCATTTAAATTCATACTGGCAAACTTAGATCTAATAAAAAATTATAACTTACATTCACAGATGGAATCATACAAAGCGGAGAATCAACATTGGCTCTCACAACTAAACGAAAATCAACGAGAACATATGGAGTTAAGACAAAGATTGACTGAACAGAAGACATCACACGTGAGACAGATAGCAGAAAAAGACGCGCTCATAGATAGACTGAGAAGTGTTGTTAATAATTTGAAGGTAAATTACGGTTTTTGATTGAATTTATCTTGTTTTGCTGACTGTATTCTTTGTTAGATTAATACAACGAATTTGAAGGTAACTTATTGTACATTTACAGTTTTTGTTAGAATTTACCTTGTATTGCTGACTGTATTCTTTGTTAGATGAATACAACGTATTTGAAGGTTTTGCTAAGTTAGTTTTTGCTAACATTATTCTTTTTTGTTGACTGTATTCTCTATGAGACTACCCCTTATACTTACATTTACAGTTTTTGTTAGAATTTACCTTGTATTGCTGACTGTATTCTTTGTTAGATGAATACAACGTATTTGAAGGTTTTGCTAAGTTAGTTTTTGCTAACATTATTCTTTTTTGTTGACTGTATTCTCTATGAGACTACCCCTTATACTTACATTTACAGTTTTTGTTAGAATTTACCTTGTATTGCTGACTGTATTCTTTGTTAGATGAATACAACGTATTTGAAGGTTTTGCTAAGTTAGTTTTTGCTAACATTATTCTTTTTTGTTGACTGTATTCTCTATGAGGCTACCCCTTATACTTACATTTACAGTTTTTGTTAGAATTTACCTTGTATTGCTGACTGTATTCTTTGTTAGATGAATACAACGTATTTGAAGGTTTTGCTAAGTTAGTTTTTGCTAACATTATTCTTTTTTGTTGACTGTATTCTCTATGAGACTACCCCTTATACTTACATTTACAGTTTTTGCTAACATTTTTCATTTTTGCTGACTGTATTGTCTATTAAAGTCCCACTTATCACTAATTGTCCTTAACAAACTGTACAAATTGCAATTTATATCCACACCTTAGTTGTTAACCCAAAAATTACCTGCATTTAGTTTGATATACAAAAAATTCCGTTAAAAAAATTCCAGGGTCAGTTACTTAATATGCAAACAATGCTGACTGTGAACGATCCTAGCTTCGATCTGTCCGCTATAGTTGAAGTGGATGAAGTTAGTGAGACAGTATCTCAACACGAATCAGACAGACTTGAACTAAAGTTTGAATCCACGGTCGACTTGACGGAGAATGAAGACGAAATGAAGATGCCGATCAGCTCAACAGCTATATGGTGAAAATTAAAACTATATACAGTACAAAACTAACCAAATTTCGGTTTAATCATCGCTTTTAGCAAAAGTCTTCATAGATTTCAATTGCCGTATTAAATAAATTTCGGTTTAATCATCGCTTTTAGCAAAAATCATCATAGATTTCAATTGCCGTATTAACCATAACTATAAAGCAATCGAAATTTTAGCTTAAATGCAAATATTCTTGTCACGTCCAAAAAATTACATTAAATTTAAACCTATATTATCAAAGTCCAACTACAATATTACCTTTACATTTCTTTGAAGTACTTATTACTGTAACAATAATCCTAACCACTAGAATATTAAGGTATTCTAGAATAACATTAATTTGCAGGCAAGAGCCGTTAATAGATCGTCTACGTAGAGAGAAACAGATGATCCACAAACAGAATTTAGCGCTCCGGAGACAAGTTAAAGTACTCGCGGCTCGAGAGAGAAGAGCCAGGCTTGACTCACAGAACTTGAAGAACCAAGTGTTCCGCATGTAAATATGTATAATAATTATATATAATTATGTGTGTGTGTGTGTGTACGTGCGTGTTTGTGTATGTCGCAGGCAATTCGTATTATATGTCACTTTAAACTATCCACGTGAAACAAAATTTATGACAAGATTCATTAAAATACATTTATGAAGGAAAGTTTCTTATTGAAACCAAATTTTCTATCATCTTATAAACTAAGGAAATAATAACATTACATACTTGAAATTAAAGTAACATTGAATATCTAAGAAATATCTAAGAAGACCACTAGATCAATATGATAATATAGATAAATTTAAAGTGTTTTCTCCATAATAACCAAGGCAAAACCATAAAATTAACTGCAAAAAAGTTAAATCATGGCATAATGTACTTCTTAATCATGGCATCATATATTTCTTATAAGGAAATTTACTGAAGTAAATTTAATACATGGTCTTAAATATTATTTCTAGTAGCACAAGTGGTGCGAAGACTCCGTCCGTAGAATCGCGAGCTTTACAGAGTAAAGTCGCTTCTTTACAAGCGCAATTATCAGGAGTGAAGCGAGATGCTGCCTCAACACTCGCACTATGGGATAAATGGAAGAGGTTTGTATATTAATGACGAAAATTTAACAGTTCTAATGATAATCAGTTAACATAATTATATTAAAATCCCTACTAATATTATAAATGCGAAAGTTACTCTGTCTGTCTGTTTGTTACGCTTTCACGCTTAAACCGCTGAACTGATTTTAATGAAATTCGGTACAGAGATAGAGTTGACCTTGAGAATGAAAATAGTATAGTTTTTATAGCTGAGTTTTGAAAAGTTCTCTTGGAAACGCGATATAACCGAACTCCACGCGGGCGGAAAACTAGTATGCCCATATTTCAGTAAAATATACCTACATTTAATTCTTCTCAACATTATATGCATTAATTAATTGTTTTATATCAAATTTTCTTTTATTATATATATGAACAGAGCACAACAGTCTTCCGATCGCTGGCAAATGCGTTACGAAGAAAAATGTCAAGAGACTAACAAGTTGGATATGAGCTTGAATCTCATGAAATCAGCTGTCACCAGACTCGAGAAGGAAAAAAGAGTTTTATTACTCAGATTGAGCGAAACTAAACGTAAGATGAATCTTCTAATTTATAGATGCTAATATATGACACAGGCGTTTAATCGTAGTGCCTACTTTGTTCTGAAATATCTCGTCTTTGTAGGAATTACAATTTCAGTTTTGTAAGCTATTTACTCATGCATTTGTCTTTTGAAAACTGTTATCAATATGTTTTTTTCATTCAGTTTACAAAATTGAAAACTTATATTATTAGCGCTTTCTGTATGAGTAAATCCTAATAAACATAATATGTATATTATTTGTGACGTATGTAATGCTTTTGCAACCGTTAAATTTTTATTAAACATAATGTAAAATAAAGTGCCGTCAGCCATTCCCGGACTAATCTTTGTCATATCTAATGCTTAATCTTCAAAGAACTGATTTATAATTACTATTACTCCGTAATAACCACGTCACCAAGCATACATTAGCAGTAACAGCCATATACGAGTATAAATTTCTATATTCAATGCTAATTTAAACCAGACCAAATATTAGCCCGAAACATGAACAATTATTTCAATTTACCCTGGGTTTCTCTTGAGAAGTTTTATTTGGTAAATTCCAGAAGAAAAACAGCTATCTATTGAAAAACAAGACAGCGAGTGTCCCGAAAAGGCATTGGTTCATTGTTCAGTGATGTCTGTATCTAGTCGAGCTTTACTTGAACGTGTTGAAGCACAACAGAGACGAATAGTAGCCTTGGAACTAGCTGAGAAGGTACATTAATATCTCCTTCTACCTGGCAATTTCCCAGCTATAGCCAGGGTCTGCCTTACATGTTGTGAATAGTTTTGGCTAATTGTTTTTACGACCGGCCACCTGCCTGACATCAACCCTCTTTGGGAATAATATACTATTTAGATTGAATAACATTAAGATTAATTTTTGTGCATAAAGACGACTATATATCTGATTTTCATCGTTATATTTTCTTCTTATAAAATTCTATTCTAAATTTAACAAAACCTAGAATATATTACAATATTTCTTATTAATTATATCTTCTTATACTTTTGTTAGTAATTTTTTTAATATATATTAATTCCTAGGGTAACGAGACGTTAGTATCAGAATATGAACGAGCTCTGGCTGAGATAACGTCTTTGAAGGGACAAGTTTTAAAACTGGAGTCAACTATACTAGAAGCTCAAATCAGATCTCCTCTCAACACACAAACAAACACACAACCAGAAGTTGACTATTGGAAAAGGTATTAACAAAAGTATCTTGAATAATTAGGATTTCGTAAGAGAAAATACTATATTTATCACTATACAAAATTAATAAAGTATTAAAAATATGTTATTTATAGTGAGAAATTAAAAAAAAGTATTTTATTCCATCAATTATTAATTAACTTTTCAATGAAATATATGATTTCTCAGTATAAAATACTGATTACGAAATGTTTTTTCTAGTTACTGCGACATGCTCAAAGAAGAGAACTTACAATTAACAATGAAAGTAAATAGTATGGAGAGTGTACCGACAACAGATTCACAACACAGAGTTAATGATCTAGAACAAACAGTGCTTACATTGAGAGGTTCGATACATACATATAATCATTATTGCTTGTCATGATGTCATTGTCATTTTTAATGTTAATGTCATTATCATTTTTTATGTCATTGTCATTATCATGATAAATGTAATCTTCGACGTTTACTAATGGATGTCCCGTACGCGTATAATCTGCAGTAATTTTTTTGGTTGAAAAGAGTGAGAGAGATGGCCTATGCTTTCGGTCTAGCACTATCTCTTTCTTGTCTTAAGTACGCTACTATTTTGAGAGAAATAAAGATAGACCGTAACATCGTTTCCTCTCTTTCTTTTGGAGTGCCACAATTCTCATATCTAAGGCATATCCCTTAGTATAAGTCGATGCACATAATTATCAATACTTTACTTCGTCTCATAATATCATTTTCATTGCCATTGTCATTGTCATTTTTAATATGAATGTCATTGTCATGGCAAATGGAATTGTCATTTGTATTTTAATTATTTGTTCATACTTTATTTTTTATCACAGTCGTTGATCAAGTTAGAATTTTCTTATAATATACCAACAAAACACATTTAGAGTTTGTATGAAAATTAAAGTTAAAACTATGAAAATCGTCGTGTTAATCTACAGACATAAAAATTAACAAAAATTTGTTCAAGTTTTTAGCACATTATACAATAATAACGTATGTCATTAAAATTCATTTTCAGTAAAATTCATATGTATGTTGGTATTTATATATTTTTTAATGTTTTAAGGCTTAGTAAGTAAATTGCAAGCAGAAAAATGTTCGAGTACGAATATTCGGAAAAATGACTCTCGTCCGTCCAGCGGGCAAAGAAGTGATAAGGTATTTATTTTGTTTTTATTTACAATTACTTGAAAACTGTTTCAATATCTTCGTTTGTGAAAGTAAATGACGTTGAAGACTTATTTAACTTACTGTCCCAGTAAATATACACTTATACATTCTTTCCTCTATGTATTCAAAACATATAGTACATATATGGTACTTTCTTAATAATAAATAAATTTCTTACTAGTTTTGATGATTTACATTCAAACTGTTCCTCGTGCTAATGTATTATTTATGATATTAAAATCAATTTGTATAAGCAGATTTTTATATGTTTACTTTAAAGTAATTAAAATTATGTATGTTTTCTTAAAATAATTTCCTCAGGATGTAGTCAAAATAGTTATATTTCACATAGTCACGTGACAGACATACTATCCACATTTCTCTTTGAGTCTATTTCAAAGCACAAGCAGACGAAGTCGGGTCCAAAAACTAGTTATGATATAACATATTTATTTCTTATGTATTCAGATACGTATACAGTCGGAGTGTTATCGTACAGAGATATCAAATTTAAAGCGTACCATACTTGAGAAGGATTCTTTGTTAGAGAGATCGAGAGATATGCTTAGAATAGCTGCTGAGAGAGAGGAGGAATTACTTAGAGAGGTTTGTATATTAAAATATTTAAAAATAAAAATAAAATAATTAATAGAAAAGCGTTATATTTCCATTATTAACAATTTTTAACTCAATTGAGTTTATAGATTTTGTTTACTACCTATAACACACTAATATAAGTCATAAACATATTTGAAACTTATCTTCTGTTTCAATAAATGGGAATTGTTTTGCTTTTTTATTCGCGCTTAATGAAATTTAATACTTTGATACTTTCATTATATGTTCATGAAATCGGTTAATCTGTTTTTGAGTTTTAGTGGCTGTAAAGATAGAGTTCCACAATAATAGTATTTTTTATATATCTTTGAAGTATCTATAAAATATATAATTTTAATTACTCGTTAACATGTGTCATATTAAAAAGGGTCTTTAAAATATTGTTATTTTAAATATTACCATTAACAAACTTTTCATATACTCTATTATAGTGGATAAAATCGGAATAGATTTTATCGAATTTAACATATAATTTACTTCTACTATGCTTAATGTCTACAGAAAGAATGACTACACTTAAAAATATTAAATAAGTAACTTATACTTCGTATTCATTTATTCTCATTTTGTTTTCAGCTGTAAAGCCAATATCCTTATCACTATTTAACTAAAAAAGTTTTCATGTATATAAATCGGTAAACAATTTCATTAAATTTTGACCACTCAAATATGACCATTAAATAGATTTTTTTTTTCAGAACACACAATTACGTCGTCGTTTACAACAACTTTCTGAAAACAAAGATGGCCGTCGCTCCGCCTGACATATGTTCACTATATTTAATAAGGAAAAATATATTTAGAATTAAGGATAAATAAAACAAACATGAACGAGGAACTTCTTATTAACAAACACGTTACATCATTACAATAAACTATTTTATATAAACAGCGTTTTATTAACACTCAGTCGAATTACACACAGAATTATACTTCAGAACATACTTTTATAATAAAGAATACAGTATTGTATTAAGTAATAAAACAAGTAAAATTGATTAAAATATAATATTTACTTCATAATTCACTGTTTAGATTATAACTTTTGGTTACAATGCGCTTATTTTAATGTTTTTTGAGTTATTATATGCACAAATTGACGCGTTGTTATCAAGTGCTGAACGATCAAATCTTTTAACACACTCACTAACACATTATGTGTGTGTGTGTGTGTGTGTGTGTGTGTGTGTGTGTATGTGTGTGTGTAACTGTGTGGTTTACAGATTGCAAGCTATTGTTTAACTGGCAGTGACATTTCCTTACCAAATGTGAGAAACTAAAATAATACTATTAAATTCAAACGTTATAATTAAGTACTAATTTATATAAGTAGTTACTATCTCCACTACGTGAAGGCGTTTTGGAAGATACGTTTTGCGATATCACAGTTTTAAATCGAATATTTTTCTAGTATATTGAGTTAAGCAGTGTCGAATATACGTATATTTTATATAAATGAAAATAAAATTTATTACACTGCTTCTTCTAATAAGAAAATGATTTAAAAAATATATTGGTCCGGTAAAAATATTTATTATTTTTATTTTTTAATTCGATTTCTAGGAATGTTTTAAATTGTTTTTACTTCAGTAATGCTGTACAGCTATTAAATTATAAACGGCGTATCAAAACCATTTATTGCTATTATTCGAATAATTTTCTACATTTTTATTTTCTATGATATAAATATATTATTTCGTGGAGTGTCAATCTTCAAAGTTTTTCATGAGTTGATTCTGAAATTATATGAAAAATAACATTATAATGTCTTATTTGTACATAATAATACATTTTTTAAGCAAATTAATGCAACTCCTATTAAAACATATATACAACATATTCAGACCAAAATTAAAAAATAATAAATATATAAAAATTAAGAATAAAATCACACACTATATTTTAGTATTCTCCATATAAAAAAATAAAAGCAACTTACCTTATAAGAAATAAAAAAGAATCCATATTTCGTGCAAAGAAGCGTTTGTGTTATCATTGAGGAAAAGATGATCCCATCTACAAAAAAAACTCAAACAATATATCTACATGCATCTGGTGCTAGTGAATGGAAAACCTTGTGAAAAAATGATAATGAGATGTTTAAAATAAATATATGGTAAAAAAAAATACAAGCTAAATACCCCAAATGATTATCAAAAATATAAATAAATAAAAAAATATATAGAGCACTCCAAGAGAAAAGTAGAAATCAAAAAAGTATATTTTATTGCCCAGTGATAGTTAATAAAATGATTGAATTTGTTATAATGGTGATTTCTAATTAAAGTCAGTTTAATTCCTAGAAGTCATAACTTGCATATTCGTAGCACCCTCTACTTCAGCTGTACTCTGTATTTAGCCTACGCTATAACTTCCCCGTGCCCTTCAAATCCCCCGTACCCTTCAAATTCCCCCGTACCCTTCAAATCCCCCGTACCCTTCAAACCCCGTTACCCTTAACCCCATAACCCCATACCTCTTGTTTCTTTTGTGCCAGCCTGTGAGCAAGAGGCGGCGTGAACAACGCTGGGTCCGGCCCCGACCGTCCCGCACGCTCCCAAGGCTGCTGTTGTTTCCATAATAACGACAACACAGAACCTACCACCATCACCCATACAAAACCGATCTGAAATATTAAGTCTTCATTAATACGTAATTATCATCATAAGCCTATCAGAGCCCACTACTGAGCAAAAATGTATTCTCAGAAGAGACCTTATACGTAATATCATTTTTATATCAATTATATTCTTTTACTTTTTCACATTTACTATGGATTATCTGGTTGAAATTGTGTCTTATTTATGACCAAAAACAACCTAACTAATTCTGTATTTAAATATGAATACAATTTATATTTGGTCGTGAACTCACCGGACTAGTCCACATATAGGACACCCTGTATAAATAGAAGTACTCTTTAGATGTATCTGCTACGGGTAACGTAAAGTTATTCGCACAGCCTTCAACACTGAGAGGTAGTTTGACTGGCGCGGGTCGCGGACCACCAAAACTAATCCATAGAGTCATCGCCATACCACTCAGAAGAGCTATCGACGCGCCCTGGGTAACAGTAAACAGTAGATAGAATTTACCCCACTTAAATAAAATTTACCCCGGTGGAAATAATATAAGACATTATAATATGGCTTAATTTGACTATTTTAAACATATATTATTCATATCACTCAATTAATGACTATTATAAAGCTTATCGACGAAAATTTCATGGATTCAGTAGACTGAAAGTAGTAAAATTTCAATTAAAATCTGCTTCTTTATCTCAACGAAACACGAGCTATTACTGATAAGGAAACATTAAACACTTGGATTGTAAAATATGAGATTTCTCTTTTTAAAGTCCGTTAAACAAATTAAGCAGTTGATTTATTACCAGATATACCTACCAATAACAGGATTAACTCAAATTTTCTTCTTTTTAACTTATTACGAAAATAGTTACAATGTTAAAAATAAAGAATTTCCTAAATATCAATACAGAAGCATACATTAAGTTTATCAAATATAAATAAGTGAAAAGAATAATGTGTATTCTCTAAAATAATTTATACATAAATTACTTACCCTTTCATTAGCGTAAGTAGTGAACATGCCCAGTGTGAAAAGACCCAAGAGAGGTCCTCCAACCGCACCGAAAATTGTCAAAGCAGCTTGCAAAACACCCCCCAAGTGTTCTGCTACAAAAGCCAAGGCGAGGAAAACCAGGCCATAAACACAAGCTGCCAGCTTCGTCAACCATGGAATGTATGACGGCGATATTTTGCACCATCTGCAATCAAAACAAACATTTTCATATTACTATATGAAAACGCAATCATGATTTGATTCAACTAACTTATTTAAGATCATAAAAGTAAAGTAAAAATTACCAAGCTGCCATTTAACGTAATAACAAATAGTAATAATTGAAACAAAGCAAAAACATTTACACATTAACTTTTACATTCATATAAAAAATTTACACATTTCATGGATCTTATCAACTGTTTGAAGTATTTCACTAGTTTGTTTTGATTAATTTTTTAACATCTTTAAGGCGTACAATAAAATACTACTATTATTACTATTATTACATACTACACTTGTTTTATTATTTTAAAACAGGAGATGTTTGTCTGCTGAAAAGTAACCGTAACGTCCGGAGTATGTAGTTTTTTAAAGAAATAAAATACGTAAGTAATCCTAATAATATTATTTTCATTTAAAACATATAAAGATATATCTACGTATATATATCTACAAACCTGCTAACATAATCGGTGAGTGTGACAGCGGCGAGTGCGTTACAAGACGCTGATATGGTCGATAGAGACGCACTGAATATACCAGCGACGAATAGTCCGGCCAGTCCTGGGACGGACTGCATGGACTGAACCACGTAGTAAGGCATGAGCTGGTCGATCTGGAGGTATGACGGTCATTAGTAACAGGAATAGTCCAATTGATAAGAATGTGATGCTTAAACTATCGGTACATTCATAAGTATGGTCTTATAGTCTCTCTCTAGAAAATCTAGTTTACTCATGATAATTTTTCGTTGAGCTGCAATTAGATTGTACTATAATCTCTCCCAAGAAAAATTTTGTTTTCTTAACATCTTTCGCTATCAAATTAAGACAATAATAAGTTTTCATTATAATTCTATTCACTTATACGGGAATTCATATTGTAAATCTTTGTATCAGATTCGTAAGTAAGTATTTTTCATCCCCCAAATACGAACGATCCACTTGCGTATATGATGAAGTGCAATTTTAATATCCAAAACATCAATTATACAATCAAATAAAGGTTCCTTTATTTAATAAGCTTTAAATAATTCATTCAAACCGTGTTACGAGATCCGATTCGGCCGATTCGAATCCGATTGTCAATCATCATAGCGAACCAAAACGTCACAATTTTAATAGCATAGCTTCTGACATATCATATCATTATCATAACTGCATCTTGCTTATCATATCCTACCTTAAGTAGGATCACTCACGATATGAGTGTTAAGATTACATTATTGACATACATTATGTTGTTCAAATAACTGTTACAATATTTCTCCCTTCAAGGAAAGAATATATATATATAGATTAAATATATCCATATGTTCATAGTTGATGTAAATGTATATTTGTATTATAATTACGTTATTTATAGTATTGAAATATGATGAGCATATTGTTATCATGTTGCTGTAATAAATCTTAATACCGTTAGAGGAAAACCTTTTGACAGAATGTTTTCAATAATTTGTTAAATCTAAGACCAGGATGTAGTAAATATTCTCTATAACTTACGTTACTTTACCCTAAGGTTACTTAAAACACAGATTAAATGGACCATATATATAAACGCGTATTTTTTCTAAAGAAACTTATATGTTAGAAAATACATTATGAAATATTTACATTGTAAGATTATTGCATTTGTATCAAGATAACTCGTTAGATAAGATGAGATAGAAAGCATGCAACTGGGAGATGATGTTTAATAAATATTTATACACTAGCTTCCCGCCCGCAGCTTAACCCGCGTGGAGTTCAGTTATATCGCATTTTCAAGAGAACCTTTCAAAAGTCTGGGATAAAAACTATTCTATGTTCTTTCTCGAGGTCAACTCTATCTTTGTACCAAATTTCATTAAAATCAGTTCAGTAGTTTAGGCGTGAAAGCGTAACAGACAGACAGACAGTTACTTTCGCATTTATAATATTAGTAGGGATACTAACAGCACTGATGCTTTTGGCACTCCATGGATCACAATCACGGAAAACAGCGTATATACTGAGCCCGCTGATACATGTGATCAAACTTAGCACAGACAGCACAGGCCAGCTCCACCACAGACACTGCTGGGACCGCTCCAGGGAACTCACTGTGAGGAGCCGCTGCACCTGTGTATCAATTAATCTATGTCACATGGATTCCGTTTCATGGAATTGTATGAAGATGATATTACCTGTGTGTGATTAACAGCATAGAGCGACAGATACGTGGTTAGACCTCCGATTATCAATGACCACCAAGTATGCCTCTCTGTAGGATCCAAGCTTACGCTGCAATCATATTAAACCTAATTATAACCACATAAAGTTCAATATCAAACAACAATTCATTGATTGATTAATACCAACTTCGAAAAATCCAATCTGCCGCCTTCTTTCGATATGATAAATATTTGTTCAAAACCGCCAAGTTGTACGGACGCGAATATGACGACGCTGAACACGGCAGCGAACATCAGGAAGGATTGAAGTAAATCCGTGAACAAAACCGCTTTCATACCGCCCAGAGTTGAATAAAACGTGCATACTAAACCTACTACCAAGATCGAAACCAGTCTATCAAGACCCGTCACTGATTCCAAAACTATCGCTGGCGCATACAAAACTATCCCATTATATAGAATCATTTGTAAAGTATAGGTCAATGAAGCCAACATCCTCACGTGAGGTCCGAAGCGTAACTCTAAATACTCATATGTACTAGTTTTCTGCAGGTTAAAGAATACTGGCAAATATAATCTAGACGCTATAGGGGTGGCGATTCCATAGGATATGTTGATAACAACGAACTGCATCCCATAGTAATAATTTTCTGCTGACACCCCTAACAAGGTTATGGCTGACATAAACGATGCCATAAGTGATACCGCCACTGGGAATATCGACATATTTCTATCAGCTAGCAGATATTCCTGTAAAATAAAATCATTTTAGATAATTATAACATATATTTATTTTATTTTTAGTGTGACGTCACTCGCCTCGTTGGTTTTCTGTTTCCCGCCACTAAATCTAAAGTAGACGCCTATAGCTATAGATGCTACCATGGTAGCAACCATTATAATGTAGTCCCATACTCCGAATATAGTTTGAACCATTTTGCCTGTAATTAATAATAATTTGTTAGTAGTATCAAAGTTGTTCAGTCGTATAACTATGAATATAAGTATCCGTATTCGTCATTCGTACGTATTCGTCATTCGTACGTATTCGTCATTCGTACGTATTCGTATTCTTGTTTGTATTCGAATAAAACTGTTTAGTAATAGTGATAAATCAGCCAGTGTAAAATCGATAAACAAAATCATAAATTAGAATCGTAATTGTTAGATAAAAAAAAGGATTTGGTTTTTTTTTATGTAGTGTAAGTTTATATATTGCATATGTATTTTATTTATTAAATAAACTTTTATTATTAAAAATACATGGTTTTTTATTATTCTTTTTAATATTTATATATTTATGTATACACGATTAATAATGCATTAAATCAGCACGTATTGGTAATTTATCAAATGTATGAAATTTTTGTGTTTAATTAAACAAGTGATAAATAATCAACTGAGGTTTTGTTAAGTTATATAATACATAAGCCATATAATGATTCTAAGGTTCATGTTTCTTAGTGTTTTGTAATTGATTGGAATCAAATCTTTTATTACGTAGTGTTTAGTATTTACTCAGGTTACATTAATACCATTTATGTTTGGTTTCGTCAAACGGCATTTTGTAGATATTAAATTGTATATTCATTTGTTTATGTATTTGAGCGCAATGAAGGTTTTAGTGGCGTTCAGATGAAGAGAATTCTTTTAGCCGAATGATTCTTACATTCTAAAAAAGAAACTAATATAAGGGCGAGTATATAGCTACATTGATGTTGATAAATATACCTACAACTTGTTAGTTCTAACACAAAGATGCACACACGAAATTTCAAAGAAACTTGATATTCATAAAGTAACTGGAAGTTACAAGAAGAAACGAAGATGTCAATAAAATTCTAAGTATCCAATAAATACAAAATAATAACCATCTTAGTATATGTTACTTCGCATGATTTATTTTTAGCGGCTGTCCAAAATTTAACATGTACAAAAAAGAAACGAGCGGAGAGTCTTTTTGAATTCTTTGTAAGACGGACAAGTTTTGGACTCAAGGTCAGGATACAAAACATTGATGTATCGTAACAAAAAGACAGTAAATATACATACACTCACATGCAGCGTGTATTAAAATTTGTATTCTTACTTCTGAGATCTTTAAAAGCATCTCTTTCATTTAAACTCTTCGCAATGTATAAATTATATATTTATATAGCATCGTCACCAATTAATCGGTTACTATCGACGTAACTAATTTTAAAACATTTTTTCTAAACGGTAATACAAATTGTAAAAAAAATTACTTCTAATCATGACATCAGTGAAATGCAAGATATTTCGTCATGTATTTTGAGACTCATTGCATCAATTGCTCTTGTGGTCAATTGAAATACGTAACTTTAATTGTCTTGGTTATGTGACATATAAATGCTTTGTTTATTTTTTTATAAACTAAATGTAGAGTTACAAATCACGAGACTCGTAAATACTTATAATATATTGATAATAACTTAAGATATGTTAGGCGGGTCAAGTCTAAAACATAATGTAATACTTCCGTACATTAAACGATAACATTTTAAGTAGTTGAATGTTTACCTCAAGTTAACATCGTCACACTACACGTAGCTTTAACAGTTTTTTATTTATAGTCACATATTTACTAAGTGTGAACGTAGTTTGTTGAGTGAAAAACGGAAAACGTTACGTATGTAGTATGATGATGGAAACTAGTATTAAGCATACAATACAAAGTGCAAGTCTAATATTCTATAATAATAAGTAATAATTCAATAAGTCCGCGTCTAAATGACATACAAATTAATATTTTTTTGCAAGTTATGATTTATTAGTTACCTAGTTGAAAATAGGTGCAATGTAATAGAAAAAGTAATCATCACTTTAATAAGCTTTTTAATTAATAACAACACAATTTATTTCAATAGCATCAAATTCTTTAATGTCAGCTATAACATAAACACAACATCATTGGTGACTAATTACTTGGAAAAACGCACAAATCGATTCTTTTAGGCTTTTTAAAACAAAATATAGAACCATAACATACATATAATAAAATCTATACATATAATAAAATTGTAGAAAAGTGCTGTCTGTACATTGAAAATAAAAATAAAAAAATAGCAGGGGTTATTGTTATGTCGATGTCGAACCCAAAAATGTAATTAACTTTTTTTTTGACTGTTTGTCTGTTCACGCTAATCTCAGAAACGGCTGATCCGAGTTGGATGCGGTTTTCACGAATATATTGTGGTATGCTTCAGTTATGCTTTAGTGTTTGTTTCATGTCAATCGGTTCATAAATAAAAAAGTTATGTCAAATTAAAGAATCACGTCGAACGAAGTCGCGGGCACAGCTAGTCATACAATAAAATATAGTAGAAATCGGATAATGACACTAGAAAATAATATAGTTTTTATAAGTATAAATAAGATGATGTAATCACTAACATCTACTTATCAAATAAAGTTACGTGAAACATAATAATATTGATAAAACAGTACTCGACGCGGTAAGCTTACTTCCTATTGACATGTGATAAAAAAAAACATTTAACTGACGAAGGAGAATAGATTTAATATTAGCATTCAAATTAATAAAATATTTTTCCTGCAAAGAGTTCCAATCAAAAAGTTTTTTATTATTTTTTCATTTATGTAAACTAAACAAAATTGTAAGCTCCTTTTAAATATTGCGCTTAATTAAATATACTACAATCAATTAAATACTTTTTACTGCTCTTCATTATAATTCGTACATTTATTAATTTTTTTGCAATCTTGTCTATAATTTTAATTCTCAGTAATTAATATACTCAGCCTCAAAGTATTCCTTTATATCTGAATGATTTAATTCATTGTATTATTTATAGTTTTGATAACATTTGACCCTACAAAGACGGGCGTTTATATGATTTATATGACATTTATTAATACGACGAATATAGAACAGAACTATTGGAGTAGGTTGTTGAAGGGGTCAATGTAGTTTTGTCAAGTAGTTTATTCTAGAAATACCTTAATATATTCTAGTAGTAGGATACTATGTTGTCGAAACTAAACTCGTATATACATTATCAAACTTTGATTCAATAACCTACGATAATACTATATAAAGTAGCGAAGTTGTGTACTAAAAACTACAAACCCCGTGTTTAGTGTGACGATTGAAACTTGTGGTAAACATACTGACTGTAAGAAGTCTAACGAGACTTAATTAACGATTTAGGTTAGTTAGGACTTAAATTTAATAATAAAATAACTATAATAAAGTAATTACTCCAACTGACAGACACGTTACGAATTTGATATCCTCAAACTCAATCTAATATTTTTACGTAAATAGAAATAGTGCTTTAAAAAAATCTTTTTAGAGTGCAATTATAATATATGTGTATGTTAAATATATACGTATTATATATGTATTTATTGTATTGCCGAAAATCACGCGCTTGATATTCAAAGGCCACGTGCTTGTAAAATGATGCATTTATAATTTTTATTCCTTCAGGTCATGTAATAAACCATGGTCATGAAGTGTCCTTGAAATCATTAATAAGAATAGAATTTATTGATATAGAAGTTATTTATATGTAATATGAGTGTTCCTTGACAGACGTGTTAAATAAATTACAATCAATAGAAAAATTAAACCTAGAAGGTTGAAACAAATATATTGTTTTATTTAAATTTGTTCCATGAATTAAGAAATAAGGATTAAGTTTTCTTTAACACTAATGTAAACTATTTGACATTTCAATTTAATTAAAATTTAAAAAACTAAGGTCTTAGACGATACTGCTTGAGAAATATTCTTTTAAAATTAATCTTTAAAAGTGACAAACCTGACTCAATAATTAAGTATTAAGTAAAAATAACTTGGAATTAATATATAAATATTTTTATAACAAATACCTATTTAATAAAATAGAAAAATATATACGGCACCGCGCTATGGTCAGGTGATTTGAGTTCAAAAATCTTGAGGTCAAACACCTGAATATTAATATATTTCAAATTTTGAGGAATAGTTTTAACTATATAGGAATCGTTTTTAAATATTATTCCCATTATTTATTTATTTTTATACTTAATACTATATACTAATTTTAAATAAAATACTAATATATTTATTTTTCACTTACCAATTTTAATATACTTTTTTTAATATTTATATAACGATGAAAATTTCATGTAACGTTTTTCTTCTTAGCAATCTTTGTCGCTACATGGTTTTTATAGTTGATAAAATAACAGAGAGTTTTGTAAATAAATAATTTTCTCTCTTGAATTGTTAAGTTGACTATATTATTTCCTTATTTTGATATCATTTTTATTTTAAATAACACTTAAGCGTCCACACTATTCGATCCCCTCCACCGGAATGAGCCATAAACGTCAGGCGATGTTAATTTGTTCGAGTAATTCATTTTTTACAAAACATTAAGGTTATTTCTTCAATTCTTTGAACGACTGTCGAGTACGAATATTGACGATATTAGACGAATGACAGACCGTTCCTGCTGTCACGCGATTTTGAAGTAAAAAAGCGTATTCAGCGCTTTTAAATGCTTTAACGCCAAAAAATCTATATATAGAACTGTCTCTACATATTTTATATGGGCAACATTCAATTAAATAATATTATTATTTAGTTTTTTATTATATAAGTTTTTTCCGTTGTAATTTAGGATCATCTATTTAATATAATTTGTTTTAGATGTTATCTTACTTAATTTTATCCTTTCATTTTAGCACCATCTAGCGTTCAGATACAAAGTTTGTATTTTCTTTTGTTAAAGCGCCATCTCTTATGTCGTACATAAACCTTAGTAGTGGCAGAATAATAGAGCAGATGGTATAAACTTGTTAATCCCTTTTATGCACTAAATGCAAAGTAAAAATAAATCGTTGTACTACCTATTTTGATCTGATTAAATTGTAAGAGATTGGAATTGAATTTTTGTGTTTATATTTTATTTGGTGAAAATTAAGTATAAAAATAAAATGGTAGTTTTTCTGAAAAGTATAGGTAGTATGCCATTCTATCCATCATTATGTAGTTAGTATAAGTACATAATACATTAGATCATCTTGTTTGATTGAACATGAATAATTTAATAAATAATATGTAATACAAAACATTTAACTGCTCTATTGACTTTGGAGTTTGGACGAGTAATATTTAATAATAAAATTAAATAAGCAGAGAAAATGATCGGTCTTTAATATTTTAATATGACAAAAGGGTTTTACTATATATACAAATATACATATGATTATATATTTGATATTAATTAGTTTTTAAGTAAGTATCTCGTTGTTGGATACTCTAATCATATTGAATACTCAAATATTGCTCATAAAGTTTTTAGTTAAAGTTTGTAGGATTTTAAAATCAAATATATGTTTAATGGACAGCATTACAAAGCCTTTTATGTTTACTATTTAACAAACTTAATATCTTAGAATAATAAAAAGAGATCAAATAATGAAAAATAATCTGAAATAAACTTCCGTAATATAAGCCGAGTATATAATTGATTGTAACCAAGAAAGATAATAAATATTCAATCCAAATAATACCCTTCGAGTTGACAGTTCCAACCTATGTTTGTAATATTAAATAACAAAGACTAATTCTATATATTTTAATCAATGTAGAATTAAAAATAAGTATCACCACTTTCCTCATGACAAAATATAGGAATAAATATTACAAAACATAATTTATATCTTTTATAATAACTTAACACGACTATTTTCAATATTCCAATGTTTGCATGCTTCTATTATTTGTTTAGTTCGCAATATTTTGTATGAACTAAACAAACAAATAGGAATCAATCAATTGCTTGCATGACACACCATTCGATCGAGTTTTTCTGGTGCTGATGGTGAAAATACGTTTTAAAACAATACAATAATATATTTTAAAATTCTCCCTACTATATATGAAATTAATGTCCTTTGATTCGTTTTATAACATGTTATTATAAGTCAATTGGTGACACCTACCAATTCTCTGACGTATAATTAAAGTGTTACTTATTGACGTGTTACTTTATAATATAATCGAAAGTTTAAAGCTATATAAAGTGTTGTAAATCTTAATAAATTCGAGGTGTTGGAAGTGTGACGTCATGCCGGAATCAGGTGCAGCAAAAGGCAGGCGATTCTTCGCGGTTCATTATTTTCTGCTTAGGTTTCTTGGTTTGGGTTGGTGGCATTTACCAGAAGAGAACAATACTAATAACTTCCCAGGGATATATCTGTACTATTCTATTCTAACTGAGCTTGTATGGGTCGCTGGTTTCGTGGGCTTGGAGTCGGTGGATCCCTTCATCGGTCATAAAGACCTCGATCGTTTAATGTTCAGTCTATCTTTCGTAGTCACTCACGACCTAACAATAATTAAGTTATACATATTCTTCTTTAAGAATCAAGAGATCCAAGACATTGTGCGTACATTAGAAATAGATTTACACCAGTTCTATCAGAACGATGAGAAAAATCGTAGAACTGTTCGCATTACAAGGATTTTTACGGCTTTGTTTATATTTTTCGGTTGGATGACTATAGGGAACGGTAATGTATATGGAATAGTACAGGATCTGCGTTGGAAGGCTGAAGTTGCCCAATTGAATGATACTTCATTAAGACCTCTTCGTACTCTGCCCCAACCGATTTACATCCCCTGGTACTATCAAGACGATTCATCGTTTATTCCAACCTTTCTTTTAGAAACTATAGGCTTGCTCTGGACGGGGCATATAGTGATGACTATCGATACATTCATCGGTTCCTTAATTCTCCACATGAGCACTCAGTTTTCCATCATGCAAGAAGCCATATCCACAGCCTATGATCGCACTATGGATAAATTAATTAATGGTATAATCGAGAGCAACGACCCGGTGACCTTAAACTACTATGAAGCCTCACTCGGTGAGAACAGGCGTGAGATGATTGTGAGAACTTATTGTACGGAACAAGAAATAGAGATCGCTTTAGAGAACACATTGAAAAGTTGTTTCCGTCAGCACCAAATGTTAATAAGGTAATATTTAACTATCGCTAGTTATTCAAACATGATTAGAATGATACTTGTATATAAAAACATTATATCAGGTCTAGGCTGAACCTTCTTATATACTATCTATTTAACAAATGAGTAATTAAACCTTCAAAAGATTATAGAAAATTTTGTATTATCTATAGAAGGATGTGTCTTTATACCTAATCAAATAGCCTTCCTGTAAATCTTCTTGAAAAAATATCGAAATGAATGAAACCTGTATGTCGTTAAAAATGTGAATAATTCAATAAATTAATCCCGTTTTCATTCCTTCTTCATAAATATTCATAGAGTTTTATTAAAAAAATTCCGGTGAGATGCATTCTTTAATCTCCTTCCTATGTGTATTGTATGTTTTAAATATACAACGGGAATATATAAATTACATAAATAGTACTTTTGTATTGTTTTATTTGACGAATAAGAAAGATATTGTCGTGATGAAGCTCATGAAAACAATTATTTCATTACTCTTCGAGCTAACTATCAACTTATTTACCAGAAATTATCTCTTTACACCTGAAGATGTTTTAAATAACGTATCTATCTGTCAAACATCATTACTTATTATAAAGCGCTTAAAACAGCTATACGCGAGCAATGTTTGTTTTAATCGTAGGTACTTGAGAACAGTAAAATATGCAACTTCAACAAAACTTCTGGCAAACAAGTGACTAAAAGTGAACGACCTATAAATTACTGTAAAGTACGATGTAAATTAACTTAAAACGTAACCCGCGCCAGACAAACTTTGTTTCCATAATATATTACTTTTTCTCAATTGCTCACAGACGATGAAAATTGGAAGGATTGAAGCTTATATTAGAGAGAGTTTTATTAACAATTTGTCATAGCCATAGTGATATGATATTGAGAAAAATTACAACAAAAACCCCGCTGTAATAATCCCGATATTAGCAAAGGGGAGTCGAATAAAACACGACTCAATATCAAAGGATTACCACTTCAATATTGTCACTCCGTTACATTTTTCAAGTCAGAATCAACATAATCTACCCTACCTTTGAGGAATTCGATATGTCTGCTGGTGAAAGATGTTTTTTAAGTAACATAATTCAGCTTTTTCATTTCAGTTGCGTTGATAAATTCGCATCGACCTACTACTACGGTTTTATGACCCAACTGTTATCTAGCATGGCGGCGATTTGTTCTGTAATGGTCCAAGTTTCGGTGAGATTATTAATTAACATTATAAACGACGCCTCTCTAATTTACAATAATGGTTGGCGTGTTTTGTTTCTGTTAATCGAGAAAACAGTTATCTCACGAAATTATTTTGTAATTAGTCAAAGTTATAGAATGAAATTTAGATTTTCAGTCAAGGTTTTAAGCCGTTTTATTAATTTTATTTTGAGACAACATAAACCTCTTTGGAGTGTTTTAAATTGTTTTTTTTTCTAGCGGGACGCATCAAGTTTAAAGTCATTCAGCTTAGTGACGTCACTAGCATTTTTTGCAGCTATGATCATTCAGCTCGCCCTGCAGTGTTTCACCAGCAGCGAACTGACTTATCAAGTACATATTCCAGTTAAATATACAATAATTTTATATAAATACTCTTTTATATTAATAATAATAATGAAATATCTACGTTATGATAACTTTCTTTAAAGTTTATAATCTATGTGTACAACAGACGACAATCGTTTACAAAATGTAGTTGTAGCGTCGCCAATAATTGGCTTGGCTACATTCGCACTAACAAAAACTTGGATTCAGTTGCTATTTAGTGTAATAAAGATTGTATAATGGATAATTCTATGTACATACTTTAACTTTATCTGGAAAATTTTATATTCAGAGATATTTTGGCCTTTTGATTCTCAAATAATAATGTTTATATAACTAAATTTTTGATATATTTCCTTATTAATAAAGAATCTATTGTTCAGGCAGAGCGTGTATCTGAAGCAGTGATGAGCTGTAAATGGGAACGTATGCCGGTCAGGTTGAGAAGATATCTTATATTGATGATAGCCCGCTCTCAAAGACCATTGCAGCTCTCTGCCGGGGGCTTCGCTACTATGAACAACGACTGTTTCCTAGCTGTAAGTTGTAAAGAAGTCAATAACATTATTAGAATAAGATTATCAAAAGATAAGCTGTATAACTCTTTGCCTCTAAGTGGTGTCAATTCAAAATCTCTAAATATACATATTTAAAAAACGATTAAGAACCCATATATTAGATGATTTCACTGATCTTGTTTAATATCACTAGATACTGTTTATTATTTGTAATCTTACTTGTAGTTATAATTTTTAAAATCTCCTTTGTAAGCGAACTTTGTTCTTTTTGGAAATAAACTTCTTTAAACCCTTAAAGATGTGTATATTGAACATTGTCTGATACTTGGTAGGTTTACTTATATGAAAATTCCCTTTTTTTTACCGCCAGCTGTATTTGAAAGTAGTTTCATACTTACCTAACACTTCTAGTCAATCTAGTTTTAGTTTAGCTGAGGTAAATGTTATGTGAAAGTGAATTAAACACTACTTGTAACTAGCGTCAGATAAATAATGATAACTCTGAACCCATCTTAACAGTGTCGTCCTACATAGTTAATTTATTTTTAATTGTTACAATTGATTCTCAATCAGCTGCGGTATGCTTAACTGTGCTTCTGAGAAAAAGTATGAATGTTATTATTTTACGTACATATGTACGTACAATAGGTAGCAAATGCTCGTTTATTATGTGTACTATGTGACTCTATCACTAAAAGTTATTTTTATAGACCATTCTTACATTCACCGCAATAGTAATAATGAAATAACATTCATATTTAAAAGTATTAAACGAAACGACGGGTTTATTGGAATAATACATAAAATGAATAACTTAATAGTATTTGAAAATAAAGCTACTTTCAATTCTGTATTCCTGAAAAACGTTCTTGTAATGGGTAATATTTCGGAATTTATACAATTATCGTAGGGCGCCATGTAAGGAAATGTTTAGCATAGAGATTTGTTGAACTTGACAAGGCATAGAAAGGTTCTTTAACAATAATAACAGTTTTTTTTTATTATTTATTTATTATTATTATTTTAAAAAATGTTTTTACGGCTCTGGATAAGTCTTTTTAGCTGTTTTTTTTATTTATCGTAAAGGTATTGCCATTTCAAAAGAATATACAATACATCCATAAGACAAACATTTTCTATAGAAAACCATATTTCGATTGTTTTTCGGTTATATTAAAAATATTCTTCGAATACAAGTACCTAGTCTACAGTTATAAATGAAAGACCTTGAACATCCGATGTTTAGGTTAAGGAAGCAATCTTGTAGACACAATGATAGATTATTTTGTCGTCTGCATAATAATCTATCTTATGAATGTATCTATATGTACTTATATATCATCTCTTCATAATTTAATAAATAAAATCTATCCTATTCCCCTTTACTAAATATTTAATTGATATAGGTACAGCAGCTAAAATTTTTTTTACCTCGAATTCTTTATCTTTCACACATTTTATCAATACTTACTCAGTGCTCTTAAAATGATTTATTAATATTAATTTTTCATTCATAAATCTTCATATATATTAGATTTACTTGAATTTATGTTTTGAAGGCTTGAGTTACACATCAGAAAAAGTATACAATATTGTAATACAAGTATAAGTACATTACATACGTATCGTTTTCCGTTTCTTCAATAACCTACATTAATACTGTAACGTGCGTAGATCTATGAATGACTAGCTACGCCCCGCGGCGTTATTTTTCGGGATTTTCGGGATGTAAAGTAGCCTATGTGTTATTCCTGGACGTCAGCTTCTTGCATACAAAATTTTATCAAAATCGGTTCAGCCGTTTGATCGTGAAGAAGTAACAAACATACACACACACACTCACAAACTTTCGCAATTATGATAGTATAGGACAAACTTTTAACGCTCAGTATGTAGTATAGTGTGACAATTAACTAAGACTAGGGTCTAAACATACTTTTCTTGTTGTTTTCAGATCCTGAAAGCCGCCTACTCGTATTATGCTGTACTAAGCCAGAGACAGGGTTAGGAAATAAAAGAGAATAAGCATCAGATATATGTTTAATATAACACATACAGTAATGTATAGAATATCTAGATATTAAATAAACACTATCACAGCTTGTAGGGATCGAAATAAATGGATTAATTAATTTGATAATCCCTTACAAATATAATTTATAATCTAAGTACTTATCAGTTCGTATTTATAAATAATTAAACACTTTAATTTTTTATTTCTAACGTCAGAGTAATACTGGCGACATCTCATTCGAGCAATCCTCGTATAAAATTTATCAAACAGAACCAACGAAAACACTTGTTGTCTTAACACAAGTTTGCATAACTAAACCGAGTTTTCATATTATCATATTAAAAAAACTCTTAACTTTCTGTATTGTAGTCGAGAACTCGTATTAGGGTTGTCGTAATGCGTAATGAATAAAAAGTTCGCGGTATGCCAGTACACGGTATTTAACGTAATCCTTTGACGTTTGTTAAATTTCCGCCGTACGGAGTATGTTCCCATATAAATTCCCCAAACTTCGTTTTTGTTTCTCACTCATAGCTCCAGTAACTTAGGGTCGGGTGTGTGTGACCGCCTGCCATGAGTTTTAATATCAAGTACTGTCATTTCTTCGGATCTGTAAATGAGAATATTTTTAGTTGCACACAAAAGATGACCCAGTTGTGTTTACTGTATTGCCATTGTTCTTCCTTAGATTCTGTATAGACGGCAAGAGGCTACAAGTCTGAATGGACCTACAGAATGTACTTAACCTATATATAAATAAAAACACTAGCAAGATTCGGCTTAATGAAAGAAATATATACATCTACATATACAGGGTGACTGGTGAATTACTATTAATATTTAAGGAGAATACTTGGTACATGATTCTCATTCGAATTATGTAAAAAAATAGGTACTTAATTTTTGACCAAATTTCCGTATAAATAAATAAAGTGTGGACACGTTCCAAGTGTTCCAAGTGTGAACGCGTGCGGCGGCGTGCTGATACAACACCACGCCGCCGCACGCGTGTGTGTGTGTGTGTATACCTAATCTGTAGGGTGTTCACAAGATGCGTAATTAATTACATAACTTTTGGTTAACTTTACCTAGAAGTTTATTAATATTTATGTTATATTAATTTTTATTTTGTCATATATGATCGTCAAATATCACGTCCTCAACTATCGATAGTAATTCACCAGTCACCCTGTATACTTGGGCTTTGTAATGTTTGTTGCCTTCATACTCAAAAACCAGTACCCAGATTTTGCTAAAACCTTTCAGTTACACACATTAAATATCAGAACAAAATATAGACTACAAAGGATAAAAAAATTATGCAAAATTCCCACGGAATCAGCACATAACAGTTGTATTACGATTAGTTTCATAAGTTAGATCATAGATGGCGCTGTTATTATATTTATTTGTACCTACCTTTCCTCTGCTGCTTGAACAGCGTTGTAATACACATCAGGTACATTGCTGTCATGCTGACTGAGCAGCGTGCTGCCGGCTCGAGGTGAGTGTGGGCCGTGACTCGCATATGGAGAAAACGGAACAGTGGCTCGTAATGCTGCTAGTACTAGCAGCATGCCGCCTACAAAAATACTATTACATTGAGAAATATCCAAATAATTATAGATATATTATACCCTATATACTTATATTTAGTGGAAAAATATACTTAAAGATGCGGACTAAAAGTATCACAATAAGAATTCTGTACTATTCAGAACCTTATCAAAAAGATTTTTAAAATTTTGTCCACGTAATATCTAAATAAAGTATTATGTGTGTAACAGCAAAACACAAAATGGGTTTTTATTTTGATCTAATTCTGTTAGTGACAGAATTCACGTTATGACTAGAAATGTAACAATTTTTGACCGGTTGAGTACCATAAGAGGGGTTCTGTTTAACCTGGAAGCGAGTGTGCTTATGGAGACATAATTATCTCTAGTTAGACTTGTTGATACTTCAAAAGGAACTTGTCCCATTTCGTTAGTCTATACACACTTGAATTATTTTTCCTTATAGAAGATACAAAGACTTTGTTTAATTTGAAAGATTTATTTATTTATTCATATAAAAAATTTATTTCTTCTGAAATAACAGCTATTCGTAGTATTACTATTAATAAGTAAAGTTTAGACCCAGTTTCACCAATCAATGTTTGTTTAGTCTAATCACAGCATTTACTAACCAAACTGCAAAATTATAAATGTCTTTTAAAATATTTACGTCCCACGATGACAAAATAACAACGCATTATTAAACGTCATGTCAAATGACCGACTACCAAATTATTCGTTCTTGTTATAAGACGACCAAATGGAAACTATAGCGTTTAACGCGATGTTACTTATTTAACATTGATTGGTGAAACTGGGTCTTAAAATATCACTATATAATACCGAAATACATCCAATACAACTAAGAAATGTATAATACAATAACATATACACTAAGTCATGAACGAAATTTTGCAACAAAAACATGTTTCAGGTAGAAATATATCGCTTGAAAATTTTGTGCAAATGTTGTAATAAATATCAAAGGTGTATTTTACGCCACGGCTTACGTGACGCTATGACGGACGTGAGACGAATGAAGAATTGTATGAAAATGAAAGTTTAAGCGAGATACATGAGAATTTGGGCTAAGTAGCACTCGAGAACACACGGAAATACTTTTACAGTTTTCAGTATAAAACATTCAAAGAAATTATTAATGAATGGAAGAAATAAATACAAATGAAAATCATAACTGTGGTTAATGGAAATCGGAAATAATAGAAATTTGTTTTAGATCAGATGAATAGTTTTCTTGCATAATGCATTAATTTATGCAACCTAGTTTTGATTAGATGCAAGTTTCATAAAATAAAATCAACTAAGGAAAATACTCCATACATATTTTGGTATAACTTCACTTAACCAAAAAAATAAAACAAAGAAAAATAATATGAATTTCCTATTCGGTAAGTTAAGATACTAAAAGCAAGAAGGGCATAGATAATAAAGGAAATTAATATATTTATAACTAGCTTTCCGCCCGCAGCTTCGCCCGCGTGGAGTTCGGTTATATCGCGTTTCCAAGAGAACCTTTCAAAAGTCTGGGATAAAAACTATCCTATGTTCTTTCTCAAGGTCAACTCTATCTCTGTACCAAATTTAATTAAAATCAGTTTAGTGGTTTAGGCGTGAAAGCGTAACAGACAGACAGAGATAATTTCGCATTTATAATATTAGTACTGATTCTATGTCATACCTGAAACAGTGGCTAGTATTGTAAGGTTTGCAAACAAAATCGCGGTCGCAGCACAAGCGTAGAACGGCGCCCGAGCTCGCCCGCATGACCACCTCATGAAGTCCCAACATCTTAACTTCATAGAATACTCTCCTCGCCGACAGAGAAGGTCCACGAATAAAGCAACCACCCACATTGTCTCAAGCAAGAACACTAATATAGCACCTGCACTAGGAAGGAAAACATTAAAAAAAGGTTTTATATAATTATATATGACGCGTTCCATTTTCAAAATCTATAAGCAAGTAGCAACTAAAAAATTATGAAATTAAAATTAGAACATCATTGATTTTATAATTGAATTATTATGTAATTAGGATTAGTTTAGAAGGTTATTATATATTTTAAACTCTAAAATAGTTAAATTCTTGTTATATTAAACTTAAGATCTATTTTAAGACGCGTATACTACAACAGTTGACTACGCAGATTATCTTTGGATAATGATAAGAATTCTAATTCAGTCATTCATTTCAAGGTTGTAGTTACGTCAATTTAAAAAAAAACTTTTACAAATATTATGCCAGCCAAGAAAATAAACACAAATTGAGTAAAACAGAAAAAAAGCATAATCTAAGTCTTGTAAAAATAAATATAAAAACAGCGAGCTCTTAAAGGAAGTAATAAGAATATCGTAAAAGACGCGAAGAGGACGCTTCACGTTTTGGCGGTTTTTCGTCAGGTAAAATCTTATTTCAGTTTTTTATTATGTCAGGATTTTATCTTAAAAATATTCCTTTTTCATTGTTTCAAGATTTCAAACAAAACATAATTTCGAGATGGAGGCGTAAATATTTTTCATGATTAAAATTTTTATCATCTATAGGGGAGCGGGGGGCACGTTGTTACAATTTTTAGATAATTATTAATATCACAAAAGCTACCAAAAAATGTATACATTTGATTGCTTTTACCATTAGTGTGTCTATTCAGCTAGTAGAATAGAATTGGAAAAATATTAAAATTTACGTAATTTTTCCCAAAATAGAGAATTAATGAAATAACTCGATTGCAACAACTTACCCCTAACTTGGGGCAAGTTGTTACAGCTTCGGGGCACGATCCAGGTTCTGGCGGAGGTTTACCACCAGCGCGCGCGAGATCGATCCCGGGGAACGAGTCCGGACAGGGATCGGGTGGATAGTTGGCGACGATCTGCGCGGTCGTCCTTGTTCCATCGGTGGAGGCAAAGGCTCTCTGAGCCAGTGGCCGGGTTGCGAACCGTGGAGGCTATTCGCCCGCTCCTCATGGAGTGGGTGGACCGCCGACACGGATCCTTGACCTTCCGGCTGTTGCAGATCCTCTCGGGGCACGGTTGCTTCGGGAGGTATTTGTGCCATATAGTCGGGAGAGAGCCGACAGCGACGTGTCACCACTGCAGTCGCGTGGAAGACACCGCTGACCACACCTTGATGGAATGTCCAGCGTGGATATCCGAGCGTAGCCAACTCATCCGCGTGGTTGGCGCAGACCTTTCGTTGCCGGCAGTGGTCCAGGCCATGGTCGGCAGCGAGAGGGCATGGCAGGCGGTGGCCGACTTCAGCGAGAGAGTCATCTTGCAGAAGGAGGCTGCTGAACGAGTGAGGGAAGACGACCCCTCCTCGGCGCCGCTGCGCCGACGAAGGCTGGGTCGAAGGCAGCGGGCTTATGCTCGCGACCTGCCTCCCCAGTGAGGAAGCCTCCGGGCGTCGGTGGGGAACCGGCGCCCGGGTAACATAGGCTAGAGGAAGAGCGGCGTGTTTGGCGTTCCCGGCACGCTGCTCTTGAGTCGGAGGGGTGGTGTGGTCAGCCACTGATGCCCCTGCCGATGGCGGAGTCCCTTTCGGGACTCGTGCGTAGTGAGCGGAAGTATGGCTTGCCGTTCCCGCTCACTAGTCTACGCACAGCGCAGAGAACGTCGAGGTGGTTTAGTGGGTGGAAATCCCACATGCCCCTGTCGCGTTTCCCCCGCGGCAGGAAGTCTTTAAAAGATTCCCCTCGTAGAAAAAAAAAAAAAAAAAGCTTCGGGGCACGATGTTACAGTAGGTAAATAAACAAAATGAACAATAATAAATCATTTATTTTTTATTATTTCAAAACGTTATGAATAAAAAAAAAACTATTTTGATCAGTCTTATAACATTTAGGAGCAATTATAATATCTATATCGTAATTTTCCAACTTTTTAACAGTAATAATCACATAACTTTTGGCAGGAACTTTCTTAAATCTTATATATCGTTTATTTTAGTTATTTTGGTTTATCGGTTAATACAGCGGTTATGGATGGATTGTTTTTGAGCCTCTGCCTTGGGAAAGGACCTTATCTTTGATGGCGAAAAATTTTCAAATGTACTTTGTATACCAGATGGACCTGGTATCGCTAATTCAATTTTATTTTTAAAACTTGACGAATCTGCACTCAGTAATGTTGTTAAACATTCTATATCTTGCGAACAAGCTGGATTTGGAGAAGGTGAAACAGTAATATTGTTAATAGTGTCAGGTAATAGATTGGTTGCTGTTTCGGTTGAATGTAGGATTTCATTTGTATGATTTCATTTTTTCACTTTCCATTTATTCTAAATTTTAAGTACAGCGTAGTAATTTCTAAATGATAGTCAATGAGATGAACATTAATACAGGATCTGATGCAAGTTGTTACATGTAACAACCTACCCCGAAAAACTGTAACAACCTGCCCCATGGTGTGTTTTTTAATTAAAATTAAAGCCGCCATTAATGGATATCAATAGCAGAATAAAACGCTATTACAAATTAAAACTCGATACATTATGAACGTTCGAGGCGAAAAGAATTTAGAGAATAACAAATATAGACAGCAGGAATCAAAAATTTCGTAAAAGATTTTGTTACGAACTTGATGGAAATCGAGACACATGCACACAAACTAACAGTTTGCCGCTTGGCGGGTCCCTGATTGTTTTTTTGCAACGCACGATGTTATAAGAAAACAAATGAGTCCACTTACGTCTACCAAAGAGTTAAAAAACCCGGTAAAAAATGCGTGTAACTTCTTACCCCTGTAACAACTGGCCCCCCGCTCCCCTACTTTTATTCTTAGTTCATACTTACGTAAAATATTATTAAATCAGAGTTCTATATTTAAATTAACTGATAGGTATGGATAAAAATTAACTGCTACTTATATATAGATAAAAAATTATAATAATAATACTTACATAAGTGCTGGAGCAACTTCGTAGCCTAGAACAGTCAATTCGGCTCCCGCGCCGCTTAGCACTAGATTACAAAAATATATTATTAATATTACTTTGAAAACAAAAATAACATAGACGAATAAAATATTCATAATCCTAGATTCACTTTGTATGAGTTCGAGAGAGTAAATAAAAAGCGTACTATTAAGTAATATAATAGAATTGTAATATATTATATTAATTGTTCCGTATATGCTACTAAGAACTAACTATATCAAAAGGGTCAAATAATAAAGATGGCTGAATTCAGTAATTACATAGAAATGTTGCCTATCTAAGATTAAATCACTTTCTTGTCTGGAATAGATCGTGCAAATGAATCCCATGTCAGTGATACTTTATCTTAACAACACAAGAAATAAGTATATTGAATAAGCTACTTTATCTTAACAACACAATATATCGAATAAGTACGAAATAGTTATATTTACTCGTCAAAATATCATACATTTCGTCATTATAGGCCAAATTTAACTTACCTATGGCGGTAATTAGGCCCCATAGTCTCGCGACTGGCTGTAAAAGGTCCCATAGTTTAGATTCAATGGACTTCTTCTGTGGCCTGTTCACTGTATTCCTCTTATTAAATTCCTGCGGCCTTGCTGGATCTTGAGGTGATTGATTTGTATTTTCACTCATTTTTTTTAATTAAAACTTCATAACCACACGATAAACAAAACTTTTAAAACACTATAATAATATTATCACATCCAATGTACGTGTAAACATAGTTTTACAACAATAATGCTGTTTCTTATATATTTATTCACTGAAACCGGGATGTTTAATATAAATTTAATTCCTACTGGCGTTTTGCCACCACAAAAATATAGCACCTTGGATGTTGGAACTATTCCTTGTAAATAAACTGACGTTGTATTTTGTAGTACGTAATAATAATATGAATAAGAATGTGTTACGCGTCCACACGCTACGAATCACTGTTCAACTCTGACGCGCCGTACTGTTTTCCATTACATATCGCAACGAAATATTTGAGTTTCGAACTGAATGAAGCGTCCGAACTATTATTATTACTTGTATTACGATTTGGCGTTAAATAAATGCATAGAAAGGTAACTATGATTTAGTTTGCAGTAACAAAATTGATAATTGTGGTAAATTTTTAATAGTTCGTGTAATATTTTTAGGTTATCGTAATGATAATAGATTTTTCTTTACTTAATCATCTTCAGAAATAGTAACAATTTGGTAATAACAACTAATAGAAGTGTAAATTTGTAAAAAAATCTCCTTTTGCCGAGCAAATATAAATTCATTTGAATGAAGGCCCCAAATTAATAAATTGAATGTATTGATCAATTCATATTTGTTTACAATCCACAACTCATGCTTCTATTGCCGATTTTAAGTACCAAATCTGTCATATTATAACATAACCAATTTGTCAATCACTTTAATTTATACATATAGGTACTTTCGCATTTAAATCTACCAACCAACTTGACTTTTTTTAGAGTAATTTCATTAAAATAAATCTTCTGTTCACAGAATAAATAAATCGTTACTGGATTTACATTCATTCTGCCAATGTTCCCAAACTACTTTAAGACTTTTTATTTTAGTGACATCGCATTTTTTCACATTTCTTCAATCGATCAATAGAGATGAGACCACACTATAGTGTAAATTTTTCCTCGTACTTCCTTTGCATTTCATCTATTTTAATTTTCAACCGATCTATCTAATTCTTCAATGGGCGAATTCATACTATTATGTAGATTGTAGAAGCAAACATTTGTCATTTTTATACCTACTGATCTTTCCTTCATGACTAAAACTATTTAAGAGGATTAAGTTATTTAAAAATTCAAAACCTTTTACATATCTTCTACGATATATAAAAACTGTTTTTGAATCATCATGAATAATAAAGAATATTAGGTTCACATATTTTTAATTTAAGAACACTTTTAATGGACTGTTTGTGTTTAAATTTTTTGGTAACTGTTATTTATGAATTGAATTAATACTTATTAATGAACTGCATTAAGTATCGTTATACTCCAAATATTTTATTAACACTCTATAAATATTGAAACATTTTAAAATTATGTACCTTATTGTTAATATTTAAAATTCATATAAATGAATAAAAAACGAAACCGCACCCTCTTCATATTTAGTACATCTGTGCCACATTTTGATTAGCACATTTACGACTTGCTAATCTGTATTAATTAATTTATCTTATTGTTATAAAATTAAAAAGTAATTCCTTTAATTTCTGTGAATATTACCCTTATTTTTACTGCAAGTCTTTCCTTCTTTTTATTGTATACAAAAAATATTCTTTATTTAAATTTATATCGGAACGTAATCTATAAGTATATACTGTAGGAAATAAAACAGCCAATCACTGTCAAAGTCAAACTATATTACTATAAATTCGTAACAAAAACGATATAAATCATATAATTAATATGAAGTGCATTAGATTTCTTTCTAGCCGGTTGTTCGTTCATATTATTAAAGCACGTCTCTCTTTATGAGCCGGATCTTTATAAATTTCCCGATAAGTCCACTCGCCACTCGCCACTCGCTAGCTTCCATTTATAAACTTATCTTTCATGTCTCTGAATGGCTACGCGGTAAAACTTTAGACGCCTAGTTGAAAGTTATAGGGTTTTTTCTTTGTGAAGTAAAAGCTAGTTTGTTATTACTTCATTTTTCTTGGGATTTCATTATTATGAGCTGTTGTACTAAGGAGAGTAACGTCAAAAATTAGCGTCTTCTAAATTCATTATTACAGTATAGTAGCTGTCAATTAAAAATAAAAAAACTACTAAATTACATTATTGTATTAAAAAATAATCTGTCAATTTATTTTAGGATAGGTATTTCTAATTTATTTAAACTATGCGATGACTGAAAAAGTCAACACAACGATTGTGTTAGATTAAAAGAATCTTGAAATAAATAATTTGTATTAATAATTCTTTCACGAAATAAGGCAACAAATCCTACTTTTTAGAATTTTATAAGTATAAATTACTTAATGTCTCCTCATTTTAAATTTGATTGATTGACGTAGGTACTTAAATCTACAAAAAAGACTATTAGGAATAAAATTAATTAATATTAATTGTTTACTGTACAACAAAAAATAATAAACTACTAGCTTGACAATTTACTGACAAAGTAATTAACAATTACTTAAGGCTCATTGTTTTGTGCGATTATTCAATGATTTGTGTATGAATTTGTTATATTAAATTATGTATTAAATGTATTTCTCGTAAATCAACTTCAATGAGGTATGAAGATGTTAGCATGATGATAAAAACAAAGTGTTAAATGTGAATGGCCTTCACGCTGTGCGCTTTGTGAATTACATTGACTGGATCCCAATACTTCGTAAGCGACGAAAAAATTTGTCAAATTTTAATTTTTATTTCGAAAATTATATTAAAACATTATTTTTTTATGTCGTCTCGTCAATGAAAAAAAAAAACACTCACATTAAGATATAATACTGTTAAAAGGTTTTTATATATTTATTTTTGAAAACTCAAGTTCAGAAAACATTTATTCTGTCTGTTTAGGTACAAACATCAAATAAGTCTATGAGCGCCCTATAAGTTTTGAAAGCGGTACAATTTTATATCAGTCAAGACAACGATATTTTAGAAATAAATATATATATTTTTTTTTGTCAAAAATCCTTAAAGACTGCCTCAATATGCGGTCTCTTTCGACTGCTTTTAAAGATTTTAATATTTTTCAAACATTTATAGCTTTACTTCGCTTCGCTATTAATTATATTCGTTATGTGTACTGTAAAAATAACTTGATTAACAAAAAAAACTCGTTTCAGTATAGGTATTCAGTGTCAGTTTAAGCTATATCTTTTTTTAAATGTTGTTACGGCTCTGGATACGAGTCCTTAAGAGAATGTTGGTTAAAGTTATTTTTGTATAATGTTGCAATATTATAGTGGTTTATATTAAAACAGTACTTTTGGGGTTTCGTCATAAAAAAAGAAAATCAATTGCTATAAAAATATGTAACATAAACTCCTGTAAGTACTCATTTACATAAATACATACGACATAATTATTAATATTTATTATTTTCTATAAACATATATCATTTAAGATAATCTTTAGCATCTGTCAAATATAAATGTCTTAAACCTAGCAACCCTGTTATATCATTAATGTTTAGTTTGAAATGTTCTAATGTATGGCTGCCATTTTGTAAGCTATTGCAATATTTTTAGTAGATTGTGGTATATTTCTAATTTTTAAGTGATTATTAATACGATATTAAAGATTAGAGTTCCTCTCAAGTTAATATTACTTTAAACAGAAAATGCAGACTGGTGGTGGAGCTAAAAATCCGCCATGGGCACGTTCAAATGTGAATACAAACATGACCGGCATGAATCCACAAATAATGGATCCGAATGCCGCTATGATGTCACAGCAAGGTATGATGCCGTTCCAACAGACTCAAGCTGTGTTTAATCCGAGTATGATGCAGGCACAAGGAGGCATGGCCATGCCAATGCCAGGACAAATGCCAATGAATCAAATGGCACAAGGTCAGATGTATCCAGGTAATGTTGTCGCTTACCCCACACCGCGGGCTATGAACCCTAACATGTATCAGAACAGTACACCGAACCAGAATCAACAATCGAATGAACAAAGAGTTTTCACGGGAACTGTGACAAAAACTCATAACGATTTCGGCTTTGTTGATCACGATGTTTTCTATCAAACATCGGTTTGCGCAAAAGGCGCCATACCGAAAGTAAACGATAGAGTACTCGTCGAAGCCACATATAATCCTAATATGCCTTTTAAATGGAATGCAACACGAGTACAAGTTCTCCCAAAGGGGGGACCTAACCAAAAAATGAACCAACCTAAGTCAAATAACTACAACGCAGTTCCACCTCCTTCTAATAAAAAGTCAAATATTATATCAAGACGAGACGATCGTCGGGATGAACGTAGTTCGCGAAGAGATGATAGGGTAAGATATTTACACATAAATCTTAAAATTATATTAGTTCTGATATATTAATAACGTTATTAAACTCTTATAGAAAAGATCCCGGACAAGGAGTCGATCTCGTTCACGTGATCGTCGGGATAGTCGTAACAGAAGGGACTCGCCTCCTCGCAAGAGACCTGTAATACACCAACCTTCGCCCGTCAAATATGTAGTCCGAGTACCTAGAATGCCACTTGATATGTAAGCATTTACTTTTATGGCATGTTCTCTATATAAACATTGAGTGAAACAATTTTATTCTCGTATAATTCTGATCTTTGTATAAGATTTTGTCAGATAATTGATATGAGATCATTTCTGTGTTTTATTAAAAATTTAGCTTAAAGTTTTATACAAACTCTCAATTGTGGTGAACTCCTTATAATTTGCAGTTACTAAATGTACAAAGGAGTTTTTGTAGAAAAAAATGGCAGCCTTTTAATATTAAAATATAAATTATCATCTTTAATCACATACGCAAAGTAAAATTTTATATATCAATCATAATTAAGCTTTATTATTTTTGTTTACAGATCAAACCTCGATGTTCCAACCTTATCTCAGAGGTACAGCAATCTCTATATACCGTCAGATTTCTTCAATGCATATGTTAAATGGGGGGAGACATTCCCTCCACAGTCACCATTTTCTTTAAACAATCCTTGTGCATACCACATAATGAGCAAAGACGTTCCAAATCCCAACCCAAATGAGGCTGTCTTGGAGCCTCCAGATGCTGATTATAGATTTTCAGCTAAGGTATAACATACTTATTAATGTTTTCATAGATAATACATATTTATATTACAGTTATATTGTATAAAATGTTTTCTTTCAGGTGATGCTTATAAGCATGCCATCTTTAGAAACTCTCTATCAAAAGTGTGGTCTCACAAAAGTAGATGAGAAAGATAAACGGAATAGCTCTAAAACGCCACTTCATCCGACTCGCTTGATTAAATTCCTGGTTGGGCAGAAGGGTAAAGGCGGGGAGAACTTCGCTATAGGCGGGCCGTGGAGCCCTTCATTAGATGGAGAACATCCAGAGACAGACCCTGGAGTATTAGTGAAAACGGCTATTAGAACATGCAAAGCTTTAACCGGAGTTGACTTGTCGAACTGCACTCAGTGGTAAGTAGTAAGTGGGTGCATGTGTACTAGATATATTAGTACTTTGTAGTATATCGTTGTTAAACCGGTGCGGCGTCCGTCGGCAGTGCAGAGTCAGTGAGTATACTAACCGGCTTGCCCGCGCAGGTACCGCGTGGTGGAGTTTTACTACTGGCGGGAGGGCGGCGGGAAGTCGCGACTCGAGTGTGTGGTGTTGTTCCTGCCGGACGTGTGGTCGGCTCGGCCGTCGCGCGTCGAGTGGACCACCGTGCAGGACCAGTATAAAGCAGCCCGGGATGCGGAACTGCGCAGACTGCTCGGCGGGGACTCCCCGGCACACCACTCGCCGGACCGATCACCAATTGTTTGTTCCCAGTTTTGTTTGGTTTTTGTTTCCGGCTGCGCGTATAGCGATGACGTCGCCCGAGCTGCCCGCTACCACACGATCTGGCGATTCATTTATATTTTAGGCACCCCTTAACATCTGTGTAAAGTTTGACTTAAGATTACATTGGCACGTTCAGTTTTGAGTTAATCGTCACCTATCTCTCGTATTGTGCCGATCGCCGTATACCGCCGGGCACATATAAAGCTGTTGATGATTTTCAGGAAAATTTGGATGCGAACGCTAGTACTATAACTATAGACGAGAATGATGACGATGATGACTGTAAGCCTGAACCCACGCATTACTCGAACATAGATCTGAGGACCATAAAAGTGGATCAGCTGCGACAGGAACTACGGGCACGGAACGTCAGCTGTAAAGGTATGCTGTGACATTGCAAACAAAATAAAATATTTCTTTTAAAGCAGCGAAAAAACGTATACTGGGGGTCCTCAAACTTATTTTGTGCCCTCCTTACTTTGAGAACAAATAATTTTCATCGCTCCCATTTTTCTAACTTACTGGAAATCAACTATAAATTATCTTATGTAATGAAATTACAAATGCCTCTACACAACGCCCCTATTTTTTTCGGAGTCTCTAACCGGCCCCCTTTAATCCGGCAGCGCCCACTAGAGGGCGTTATCGTCCACTTTGGGAAACAATGTATATATATATACATACATATGTAACTAATGTATATAATAACATTGCAGGACTTCGATCGCAATTAGTTTCACGACTATCAAAACTAATAAAGGCCGAAGAAGACAAAGATACAAAGAACGAAGATGTAATGGAAGTAGTAGACGATGAACAAGAGGATAAGAAAAATATTACAGACACGGTCGAGATTAAAGATGACGCGACCAGTGATAAAGGTATCTTATCTTTACAATATCAGCTCATTTATAGTATACTAGCTACACCCCGCGGTGTTACCCGCGGATTTCTGGGATGTAAAGTATCCTATGTGTTATTCGTGGACGTCAGCTTCCTGTATACAAAATCTTATCAAAATCGGTTCAGCCGTTTGAGCGTATAAGTAACAAACATACACACACACTCACAAACTTTCGCAATTATAATATTAGTATACTAATGGCCATACTACCACAGATAAGCCATCAGAAGAAAAAATCGACAAAGATGATGCTAACGACTCAAAACCAAACGATAAAACAAAAGATGGGGATAGCAAAGAAAGTGAGGACAGACCGAAAACAGAGAAGGAGATTGAAGAAGAAAAAAAACGAGTATGTAGAAGATTACTGTTTATACAGGGTGACTGGTGAATTACTATCAATATTTAAGGACGTGGTAGTTGACGATCATATATGACAAAATAAAAATTAATATGACATAAATATTAATAAACTTCTAAGTAAAGTTAACCAAAAGTTATGTAATTAATTACGGATCGCGTGGATACCCTAGCTGCGTTATCGACACAAAACAGTTATGTACGTAGGTATATGTAGTTATCGCGCGGTAGTTTACCTACATCCAAACGCCGCGCGCCGCCGCGTGTTAGACCTTAGATAAACAAAAATGATCCAATTCCCTTCATACTTTAATCCTGGCTTAGGACAGGCAAAAATACCAAGATATTTATTTCGTTTAAGCAACCAATTTATTGACTAGGTAAATGGTGTGACCTTGACACGAAAAATAATATGAACTGTTTACCTATCTTGGTATTTCCGGCGTATTTAAAAATGGAATCATTCTTATTTACAACAATTGTCAATCATTAAACTACCTATTTACCTACATAACTACACTAACCAATTACGCAAGTATTCTGCATTTGTGTATTGAAAAGCCATATTTAATTACTAATAAGTAATAACGGGTCACACGCACACACGACAGATTATTATTAGGTATACGCGTAAGATCGATCGCTAGGCGCGCGCGCGGGAAGACGAACGTACGGACCTTACGGCGGCGCTCGCGCGACTAATAGCCGACTAATGGCCCGTTAGCCTCGGGGCGGGGGTTGGGGAGTAGCGACACACTGGCGCCGGCAAGGCTGAGTACGTGTCCAAACTTTATTTATTTATACGGAAATTTGGTCAAAAATTAAGTACCTATTTTTTTTACATAATTCGAATGAGAATCATGTACCGAGTATGCTCCTTAAATATTGATAGTAATTCACCAGTCACCCTGTATAATATGGTATTATATATCAAATGAGGACAGCTTAAAAGTAAAAAAAATACGTATATCATAACATGGTCTAGAAAGACGTAGTTGTATGTAATTTTCACTTCTAGATAACCGGCAGCAGTTTTTAAATTTAGAAACATAATATATAGTCTTCATAAAAATAGTCATAAAAAATATATATTATCTGTATCACATATACTAGCTGCGCCCCGCGGTGTTACCCGCGGATTTCCGGGATGTAAAGCTGCCTATGTGTTATTCCTGGATATCAGCTTCACGTATACAAAATTATAATATTAGTAGGATTAATTAATTAACTGTTTGTCAGTTGGAACGTGAGCGTCAGTCTCTGATGACGCGCTATGAACTGCCCGCGGCTCCGCACGTGATTGTACACGCGTCGGGCTCAGCGCGACAAGGACGGTTCGCGTGTAGTGTGGCATCCTTGTCACTATTATTGGACTACAGAGTTACAGACAACAAGGAACACAGCTTTGAGGTAATATACTAGGTTATATTAGGAGTTTATTATATATAGTAGCTGAGAGACGGTGAAGGAAAATATGTGAGGAAACCTGGATTTATAAGTTCACAATTACAAGTTTGAAATCACTTACCCGTCTTGAGCAAGTGTGGTGATTAATGCTCTAACCTTCTCCATGTAAGTAAAGGCCTTTGCTCAGCAGTGAGCTCTGATAGGCTGATGACGACGACAGTAGCTATGTATGGTAGTAATCTATACATATAATTAAGGCTTTAAGAGGTGTTCACATAAAACCATCATATTTATGTTACATCTAAGGTTTAAGATACATACAAATAAGATTTTTATTGCAAAAAAAGTCCATTGCTGGCTCAAAATCCTTATGAAACATTTTGATCAAAAGTTTTTAATATAAAATTGTAAATATCTAAGATTCTCTTATTTAATAAACAATTTCTCTTATGTATATTTATTGAAATGTGGTTTTGTTACACGAAATACATTAAACAGAACACTATTTCGGAACTCAATTAATCATAAAGTTATTGTAATTAATCTGAATATATTATTTTCGGCAGTTGTTCGTGTTTGCGGAGCTCTTCAATGAGATGTTAATGCGCGACTTCGGTTTCTACGTGTACAAAACTCTATACACGTTACCGGAGAAGGCCGAGGAAGTAAAAGATAAAGATAAAAGTGTAGAGAAGACTGACAAGAAAGAAGAAAAGAAAGAAGACAAAAAAGAAGACAAGAAAGAAGACAAAAAAGAAGACAAAAAAGAAGAAAAAAAAGATGACAAACGTGATCCACGACGGAGTCACAAGAAGGTAGTTTCATAAAATTACTTTACTGTTTATAGATAACAAATTATTAAATCTAATATGGCATTTTAAGAGGCAATTTTATAATGGTAAGTACATATACAGTTGGAACGTGTTCACACTTTATTTATTTATACGGAAATTTGGTCAAAAATTAAGTACCTATTTTTTTTACATAATTCGAATGAGAATCATATCGAGTAATCTCCTTAAATATTGATAGTAATTCACCAGTCACCATGTACATGAGCTTCTAAGATATTAAGAAGCAAATTTAAGATTGGCGTAGATTGATGAAATATTACTTTAGTGTTCTCAATAGAAAGGAAATTAAGAAATCTGGCACTTTTAAGAGGCAATTTTATAATTTTTATATGTACATAATTATTTGATAAGAAACCTAATTTCTATCACTATACAATTTATACAAAGAGCTGTGATTGGAGTTTGATAGTAATGTTTAGATAACAGAATAATAATATACAGGGTGACTGGTGAATTACTATCAATATTTAAGGAGCATTCTCGGTACATGATTCTCATTCGAATTATGTAAAAAAAAGGGTACTTAATTTTTGACCAAATTTCCGTATAAATAAATAAAGTGTGTACACGTTCCAAGTGTTCCAAGTGTGAACGCGTGCGGCGGCGTCCTGATATAACACCACGCCGCCGCACGTGTGTGTGTGTGTGTGTGTATACCTAATCTGCAGGGTGTTCATACGATGCGTAATTAATTACATAACTTTTGGTTAACTTTACTTAGAAGTTTATTAATATTTATGTTATATTAATTTTTATTTTGTCATATATGATCGTCAAATATCACGTCCTCAAATATCGATAGTAATTCACCAGTCACCCTGTATATATTTTTTCTGCTAATCTCTTAAATATCTAGATAAATTATGGCGTTAATTTCTACAATCGACATCTGAACTAATAACTAAACCTACATTAATTTGGAGGTTTTTATTCACTATAATCAATACAAGTAATAAATACTGTTTTAATATAAAGCAACAGACAAAATAGTTACCTAAGTCATGTATTGGCAACCTGTATAAACTATATGGAATTAAAACATAATATATGTTAACTAACTATTCAGATAAAGCCACAGGCAGAATGAACCTAATAGTCATGTATTGGCAAACTGTATACACTTTATGGAATTAAAACATGACATATTTAAAACTATTTGGATAAAGCCACAGGCAGAATAGTTACCTTATAGTTTTGTTACCTGTATAGAATTAATTAAATAATCTGAGAGTATTTAGATATCACTGACATATGGTGAAGGAAAACATCGTGAGGAAACCTGGACTTATAGTTTCACAATTATAAGTTTGAAATCACCAACCCGTCTTGAGCGAGCGTGGTGATTAATGCTCAAACCTTCTCCATGTGAGAAAGAGGCCTTTGCTCAGCAGTGGGCGTTTGATAGACTGATGTTAGAATTAATAGAAGTAAAAATAATTATATTCCATAAGATTGCATTATTTTCCAGGAATGTATGAGTGATGAGGAGCGAGGTTGGTCTCCACGTTACCGCGGCGGGCGCGGAGTAGAGTTGCCTCCCGACCCTTACCTATTATTATCATTGGCCTACTTCGACACAGCCCGAGCAGGAGTCATCTCAAAGAAAGACCTTCAAAGCCTGTTTGTGAGCCTCGGACTACAGCTGTCACGATCACAGATTAGGACAGTACTGGATAAAGTCTGCATCAGAGATAACTTCAGCTACAAGTGAGTGATACTAAAGTGAAAGGTTTCTTAAGGTTATATGTATATATATTGATACCTCCAACATAAGTTGTTGTATCTCCAAAACTGTAATTTTACAGTAGAGCGTTTCAAAGATTTAAATTAAACCAAAGTCTTCCTTTTGTTGATGCATCTTTTTAAAATTTCGTATTTAAATTTAACAATACCTGGTTACCGAGCTTTGCTCGGTATTTAGGAATTGTTAGTATTTATTTTGTTTTTTTTTTCTTATTTCCTTTAAGGCATTTTAACTTAGAACACGTAAAGAAGACACAAAACAATATAAATAAACAATTAATTTCTTAGTCTAACGTCAAAACAAACACTCAATGACTTCCTGTTGCTTAGCAACGCCATCTGCTGTTGTGTGGTTTACCCTTAACCACCTATTTTTGTCCTTTAACCACCTACGTGCGGTCACAGAGACCGCTCATAAATTTCTATGATTATTTTGGGATCTATGATAAGAAAGTAAAGTTTAGTTAAATAAAATACATAGCTATTTGCTTAATTGCTTTATTTATGCGTCACAAATTAACAAAAGTAATTAAAATGATTTATAAAAATAATGTAGGTTTATAGGTAGTTTACATTCAAAACAAAGGTAAGCCGTTTTGTGTTTCCTTTTTATATCATACGTATTGTATTTTGATTTCATTAGTCCTTATTTCATTATTTGTGTTTAGTAAAATTGTGTCAAAAATCTCATCCGTAAATAAGAGAGAAACTCCAAATATCAAGTGGTCCAGCAGAATTATTAAGAATACTCACTTAGGTGGTTAAGGGTTAAACAATTATTAAAAGCAATTAGCAAAAAGAAGTATTACTATTCGCCAATAGATGTCAGGAAGAGTCATATTTTAAACGCCTCCTTTTTGTTATTTTTTTTTCATAAAATGTCGTTTTCTAAAAACGATTCTCAGCTAGATCCTAAACCCCCTACATACTAAATTTCATGAAAATCGTTTCTGAGATTCAGATTATATATATAAGAATTGCTCATTTTAATATATAAGAAAATAATCTTAACTACGTTAAAAGATATTTTAATTAATATGCCTATTTGCGAAGATATTGTTATTATATTGTTCATACGACATTTTGCTCCGTAGTAGAAGCTAAAAAAGGTGTTGTATCTGATACTTACAACATTATACCGCGGCGCCCAGACAGCATCACTTGTGGTATATGATAGTTACAACTGTATGCGTTGAAAAACATAAGTCTTACTCTTTTGTATGTAACTTATACGCGGCGCGAGCGAATGATTTTACCCACCTCGCGCCCCGCGTCCATAATCGCATAGGCATATACACCAGTTTAATCCGTTCGCGTTTGTAAATTCCAACATTATGCGTCTGACAAATCCTTTAAAAAGAATGTTTTTGTTGTTTTTTTTTTTTATTTGAATGGATGTAATGATATATTTCATAAAAAAAGTAAAATAGCATTTTTGTGGCATACAACTTACGTGGGAGGTATCGATATGTATGTATGTGTTGGCTTGCCCTTATTTATTAAGCCTATTGGAATATATAACTTGTGAGGATATTTGTAGTTTGGTACCGGAATCGGCCTCCCCCTTAAGAAGTTTTTGGGATTATAATATAAAGTCTTATAAAAGATCTTACATAATTCATAAAATAAAGGCAGGAATATCATGTTTGATGGAAATTATTGTTACTTGAACCGTTTTGTTCAAATCGTTTTGTACTATATGAAATAATACAAAATATGTATGATTCTCATTATAGCATTATATATTAAAAAGATACAATGCCTTCAAATATTTGATGTCTTGTTTGTAAAAGTAAGCTTAATATTAGTGTCTTCTATAAATGAATGAAGATATCTTTAACCCACACTTGTTTAAAGTTCCCTGTTTAATATAAGGTAAACATGTTATAAATTTTCTTTATATTATCTAATATGTTTTTGTTTGTATATATAATATTTGTTATTATTTGTAGAACTCTCATCCAAGCTATCAAAGACCTGGCATCCGGAGCGCCAGAAGCCATACAAGACTTACCATTGGACAGTACTATTGACAGTAATGAAGTACCACCACATGTTAGTTATATTTATTATTATATATGATATTTGATGTACTAATGTACTATAACTAAACAATTTCAGCTGAAAATGAGAATTTGCCGTATTATACGACAATTAAACAATAATGCATTTGATAGATTTTAGTAAATATCGATCAGAAATGTAATTTAAAGACAAATAGTCGCTATCACTTCAATTTCACCTCGGGACCACATTTTGCTATAAATATATACATTAATTTGATTCCAGATAATATTAGAAATGTTTAAAGTTGATATATTAATATTACAGATCGCAGAACTAGAAGCGACTATAGCGGCGGGTAACAGGGAGCTGCTGCCCATGTTTAACAGAGATACGGGCGGGACAAGCGGTGGGACACGCGACGTGTCTGATAACGGTATATACATATACTACTACTTATACTATACTACTACTACTATACTACTACTACTATACTACTCCTTATAATATATCGTCGGGGATAGTGCAAATCCGTGTAACTACCGATAATAAATAAATTAAACACTAAATAATCACTAATTGTGAAAAAAATTACCTGAAAAGTCGTTAATATCGAAAATATTTCAGCTTAAACTTTATTTTGATAATCTGCTTCATATGTAGACACGCGGAATTATCTAATGCTAGTTATGCGCATTTGCACTATCACCGACGATATACTAGTTATAAAAAGGAAAGATTGACGGTCGTACTCCCAAATACTGTTAAACGGATTTTGATGCAACTTAACGCTCATGTAGTTTACACATGGGAACATACTGCTGCTAAAAGTAGGGAAGATTGACGCTCGTTCTCGCAAAAACCGTTTAGCCGATTTTGATGCAATTTTCCTTTATGTAGTTTACACATCAGAATAAGCCATAGATATAATATAACCGAAAATTCCTTGTAGTTTGTTATGGGGGCAGTTGTATTGTGTATGAAATATATGACACAAACCAAACGAATTGTTGGTACCCATACTTATTATATCTATTGTTTTAACACTGAATAACATCTTGAGATCTATTCCGAAGTTCGCGGGTGAAAACTAGTACATACTGATATAATTGCATGCTGTTTTTGTCCTACATGTAAAAACAAAAGTACTAATAATGCATTGTCAAAACATTATATCTTTCAAAGCTGTTCTGTTCACCAACTCGCTTTCTAGAACTTTCTTCAGTTACAATGTACCTTTTACACTTATTATGTATGTTTCTTATGATAGATTGAGGATGCTATTGAGTGAATAAAACAATAAAAAACCTCTTCAAAGTTTGGCTATAGCTGTATGAAGTATAAAAGTATTAAATTGTAACTGTTACCAAACTATATATAATTATAAACCTGTGGGCACTATACATATGTTATACTGAATTACTTAATAAATAAATACCCTCACATTACATATAATTGAAGCAGCTACACCCCGTCTCGTACGATCAGATGCTGCTACATAATTAACATTTCCTATATATTTCCTTTCATCTATTATTGACTAATACTCATATCCTATTATTGTCTTTCATAACACTGTCGCCTCCACATTGATTCTTCAGTCACGTTGTATCATGTGTCAATCCAGGTATGGTATTATATAAGGGTCGCGTCATTTCCTGATTGTACTGATACTGTTGACCGATACTAATATATAGTATATTAGTTTAATATCATTGCCATTAATATTTATCTCTACACTGATCTTTAAGTCACTATACTATATATTATTCCAGGCATGGTGTTATACAAGGGTCGCGTGGTGGACGTGTGCGCGTTAGTGTCAGCGGCCGGTCGCTGGGCCAGCACCCGCGCCCGGCTGGAGGCTGCGCTGGCGTCCGTCACGTCCCAGCTGCGCGCTGCGCGGGCGGCCAGTGCGGCCACGCAGCGCGCGGAGAGAGGTGCGCAGGCGCAGCTCGCGGATCTAGTAGCCACACTCGCCGCCGCACGCGCCAGGATCACCTCGCTCACGGTAAACACTACTACTGTACTGAGATACGTCTTCTGACACGTATATAAGTGGCTTATCAACTGATATTGAAAAATGAAAAATACTTTTTTACCAGCAATAACTCAATGTTAACATGGAACACAATTACAAACATAACAATATTTTGCTGAAGTGATAACATATTGTTGATAGAATTGTGGAACATGATAGGTCCATTAAAGTCTTTATCATCTAAATGAAAGATTTATTTAAATGAAACTAATATTTTTCGGATATACTACGCGTGCTTTATTTTTGTGAAAACCTACATACTACCGGCGTTTCGGTTACTTTCCAGCAGCCGTGATCACGGGTAGATGAGATGATTTCTTATATCGTATGCGATAAAGTTTATTTATTCACACTTCACTTATAATTTTTCATGATGATCTTTCATAATGTATATCATTCTAAACGTAAGCGTTATGTTCGTTATATAATCATATGTTATATTTCTATTTGATGTATGTTTCAGGCGAGTTCTAAAATCTTCCATTCAGCGTTGAAGAGTATACAGACGAAGGTGGAGGCGGTCGTTAACATCAAGTATGAAGATGATGACGTCGTTGAAGTCGTGAATGGTCCTTTCAAGTGAGTTATTATAATATATTATGAAATTTTACAGAAATATAATAGACTCTTTAAATTATACAGACACAAATCCTTAAAACTTAAGTGTGATCATTCTTATATTAGTAAATCGAAAGTTTTTAAGCATGTGTGGATGTTTGTTGCAAATAAAAACTTCTAATGAACATTAACAAATAATAATGTATTCTATTGATCAGAATACTTCATATGCTGTTATTGATTCAAAAATTACTCCCGGATCATTAACACTTGTATTATGTAGTATTTAAGTATAGACAAAGTCTTATATAAAAATTTATGTGCCTTTTAATTAGATAATAAATATAAATAAACTATTTCTTGAATATAACTATTCATACTATATTTATGTTTACAGAGAGGAGAATATTACAAAGGAAGAAAAGTCTGAACAAGGAACAGAGGAAAAGAAGGAAAATAAAAGTGATGTTAAAGAAGAACTCATTAAAATAGATGATACAAGAGATGTTAAGGAGAATGATACTACTGAGAATATGGACATAGACAAGGAGTAGCACTTGTTAACAAACATATATATATACATATATACAAGTGCATTTTAAATTCTCACAAACGGTTATGACAATGGAAAGTGTGAATGAGACTATATATATGCAGTCAGTTCCGAATAATGGTTGAATACATTTCGTTAGTCCGCTAAGTATTCATTGTTTCACTGGCCACGATTCTTCGAATCAGTGGCCGGTGGAGTTTGTATGGGCGTGTGATATAAACTACTAGTTTATAAGAATCGGCAATAAATGTACGTTGTCACAATGAGGTATTATTATTTGTAACATTAACGACCCTAATATTTGCTTGTTATTATAACTTAACTTTTTTGGAATTTTGCTAGTATCTTTAACCAGAGTTCACTTTGTTCTCACTTAACTTGACTATTTCAGTTGACTTCTCCTTAAGTTAATTTTGTTATTACTAAATAACTTAATTAAGCAAGGAAACAGAATAAAAAAAAGTTGGCAAGCCAATTCATAACAATATGTAACTGCATTATTTTTTAATACACTCTAGAAATGAAACACTTGTTCAAATTGAAATCAAAATATAATTCTAACAATTTATTTGATGAAACAATATACAGTTATCTGATATTCACATCTTAAAACTAAAAATATATTACTATTGCTACTAGTTTGGGAAAGGAGAAAATAATTAAAAAAACTACATACTAGAAATATACTAAAAAGGAATATATTGACAATGAAGGTGAGGTAGGGGAAAAGGAGATTGAAAGTGCCGGAGGTAAATTGGTAAGTAAATTGTGTAAGTCTTGATAGCAAAAAGAGATAGATATATAATGGTATTGTGTCCGTAGTGCTTAAAAATATGCCTCAGGCGCCTGCCGAACATAGTTGAGGTTATTCCTCACAGCAAAAATATAAAAATAGTAGAGTTAGCCAGAGAAAACCATGTTCACTCGCTGTCACATTTAAACCACAAAATAAACAAAAAGTACTCGAGTGAAGATACTCGAAAATACTAAGGCCCGATTTTTCAATCCTTTGATAAGTCCCTAGATAACTAACTGACGTGTAAAAATAACTGGCTGTTTAACAAGGGAAGTTGCCCAAACTTTTGATAAAATTGCCGAGTCAATTCTGATAAAAGTATGTTCAACAAACGCAACAGAAATACATTTAATTTTTGATCGCTACTTATCACCGTCAATCAAAGATTCAGCGCGTGAAATCAGGAAAGAATTCGATATTCCGTACAAAATTTCGGGACTTTAACAAACAAGACCAAAAAATTTTTTACAAAGCCTTAAAAATTATCGTTTTAAAGAGGCTTTGGTGCTGTTTCTGGCTGATTATTGGGAGAACGACCATTTGCCAACAATAATCCAAAACAAAAAAATCTTTTTAACCGTCGATCATCAGTGCTACTCTTATCAAGTTCACGAAAACTCCGTAAGAAAAACTGAAGAAACTAAATATGAATGTTATCACGAAGAGGCTGATACGAGGATTATTTTTCATGCTTCTAAAGCAGAACCAGGCTCAACAATTTTAATTAAGGCCTCTGATACTGACGTTTTGATTATTATGTTAGGAAATATGCACAAACTGATCGAATCTCAATTTTGGCTTGCCAGTTCGACAGCAAAAAATACCAATAATCAATCCGTGGATTGCATTAATTGCACTGATTTAGCATTGAAGTTAGGGATCAAGCTATGCCAAAGTCTTCCCGCCTACCACGCGTTTACAGGTTGCGATTACACGGCAACATTTTATAATAAAGGAAAAGTGAAACCTTTTCAACTATTATCCAAAAATGAAAAATATCAAACAGTTTTTGCGTCATTAACAGATGCTGCTGATATTTTCATTGAAGATAAAATGAAAATAGCCCAAGAATTTACAGCTTGTATGTATGGGATTAAGAATTGCACCGATGTAAATGATGCAAGATATCGCATTTTTATGAAAAATTACTCTGCTAAAGAAGACAATGAGCAGTTTCAAAAAAAATCAAAGGCTTTGACTCTATCTCCATACCTCCGTGCTGGATATCATTAACGCAAAAAAATTTACGAACTATTTTCGTAAATTCAATGTAGCTGAATGCAACAGATCCAATATGCATCAAACTTGAACCTGAGAGCTGCGGTACTTAGATGAATATTTAAAACAACGAGGATACAAAAAAAAATACTACTATCGATTTACCTGTTTATACCTGGCAACCCGAGAATTATGACCGGAAAAGAATAGGTAACCTAACGTTGGTATATACCAACTATATATGGCTATATATGGTTAGTATATATAGAATATACTATGGGCTTTATACTTTCAATTGGAATGGAATTTGTCTAATAATCAAACCGGTGAAATATTAAAAAAAAATCTTTTTTTAATTATTAATTAATCGTATCCTGGACTGAAATTTATTAGGCAACCCATATGTAATATAATTATTGACATATTAAATTGAATATAAAATATGTTTCATCAAATAAACATCTCGGTGAAGGTCGTTTTATATCGGGATCTTAGACTATTAATTTAAATTTTAAAATATATCAAGAAACAATTCAAGATAGTGACATACAGATTGTGACGTTGAATCAAGAAACTGATGGTATGTATTTGTGTTGTCAAGTACACAAGTTTTTTATTTTATTTATTTATTAGGTATTTCTATTCCGTTTGTTGCCTTCATCATAATAATACATAACAAACTTGTCTTTTTTTTTAGAAAAGGACTTGAATGAAAGCGAAAGTCAAAATGCAAACCCAACAATTATTGGCACTGAGAATGGTGGAGGTAGGTTATATAATATTATACAGACTGTATCGTTAAACCTTTTCATCCCTTTGGCCACATGTTCTATACATCACAAACATGGACAAAGTTCACAAAATATAAGTACTACATAGTACATATATTAAACCTTTTATTACTTTTTACAGATTCTTATAACAAATGGGGCACATGGAACCCAAAAGCATTGAAAAGTAAAATTAACCCGGTTTTAAAACCAACGAAAGCCAGCGTTACTGCAAAAATAGACGAATTAATTGCTGCGAGACTAGAACTTGTGCGTCTTCAACAAGAGATAGCAAAAAAAGAACATTATTTTGTTGAACAAGAGCACGAGTTGAAAATGACACACCTTCGAAATGAAGATATCAGGAAACAAGAGTTACATAATTTGATGCTTAAGACAATGCAACGGAAAGATTAGTGTAAATTTTTTTATTATTGTTTAGGCCAGTGGCCAATAAAAAAGTGAAATAATCAATACATAGGTACTTTTATTTATTACTCCAAATTAAAACAAAAGTTATACAGCAATCAATAAGCAGCCAGGATTTCTTCACATTATTGTGTTATTAGTGATTCAAAATAGTTAATTATGCCATCCCGTGTGCTAGAGGTACTGATTATTAAAAAATATACACAACCTCAAAATTTCATAGATGATAGCTAGATGAATCCACAGATAAATCTCAACCATCCCTTGAAGCAGCAGATAACTTTATCCTCCAGTTACCGCCTATATTCGACAGATAAAATTCGCTATCTGAGGATTGAAAAATCGGGCCTAAGAATACAAACTCGAGTAACACCTTTTGACAAATTGGAATTATTTGGTCTAGCCTATTTACGAGCTCAGCGTTTAGATTTAGTTATTAGCAGTTTTCGTGCACCTAGGAGATATTCAATTAATATACATCTATGATGATTAGACCTTCCAAAAGTAAAGGGGCCATCTAATGATCCAGAGATCCGAATAACTGTTAATATCATTTCTGGCAACGTGATACCTCAATCGATGCATGAAACATTATCTGAGAGCGGTGAACATAATAATGCAATAGTTAGTCTTCCTACATTTAAAGTACAACATATTTTGGGCAAGGCAGTTGTAGTATACCGCGTTTAAGATAAACTAGCATAAGTAGAAATGCCTCCACGCCCCTTATTTTGACATTTTCATCTTATTACTGTTTTCAAGCTTTCTTACAATTTTCTCACCATAACTAACTACTACTGCCTAAAGAAACTATTCCATTATTTGGATCTAAAAGGACGTAAAAGAAAGAAATCTATTCTTACAGACACTCCAGAAAAAGGAATTGTTTTCTCATCGTAATGTTTTTTAATATAATACCTACTTATCTACCCATAAGGTTATTTTATAGTCAAAAGAACAACGAATATATGTATTAATATTAAAATTCAAAGTCTTATTATTATCCACGCCACAGTATAAAAGAATTACTTGTTCTAACAAACTAGGTATATACATTATAGACTAAATTTGACAAATCTGAAAGCCTCTGACTTTCGATACTCGTTTCACCAGAACAAATAAATATTTATCCTTAACGGCACTTTAAACTCCGCTCTTCCCTACACATAATGTACTAATTATATTATCGAATATACTTATACTTATGAATATAATTTTAAGATATAAAATACAGTTTAAGTTTATCAAAATAATAGAAACCTAAATCAATCATAGACTTAAGACTAATACAGGCTTTTCTGGTGTATGCAAAAACTGAAGTAATCTTTTTGTTTTCTGTTTAATCAACTATATTTTCTATGAGTCCGATTTAAAGTAAGTCATAGAAATAATGTGTGACAAAAATATGGAGAGCCTGTTTTGAATAACTATCATAAGCTATAATAAATATCAGTTTTAAACATGATTAACATTAATACATTTTTCATACAATTCCATTTTGATTCATTGAATACTTTGTACACATATGGAATTAATAAAGTTTAAATTAAATTACATTTTCATTAATCCAGTATATTCTGCAATCTAAAGTGTCGTGAGATTTATCTTTTTATATTATTATTTTAGAAACAAAAATGCATATACTGAACTCATTCCTACGAAAACTATTCAAGGAAACAAACTATGTAACCATTTCTTTAATATTGTTTTAAGAGTTGATGATATAAGTATTAATAAATCATTTAGAATTCGTATTGCATTTAATACACGTTAAAAATATACAACATAACAAATAATTAGATTAGATAAAAAAGACAGTACCTAAGCTTCATGGTGTTTTTTAACCTCATAGATGATTTTGATGCGACGTGAGAATTATCTTCTAATATTTTTTGTTACTTTAAATCTACCTTTTTTACGCCCTTTTATGGGCTCTGTAAGCCTAATAGTGGGTGGTATGACATCCAGTTATTCTAGGACCTTTATGTAAGAGTTCTGGGGGGTGATTTGCAACTTCCATTTAGATAGAATGAGTTATAGTGGTTTTCATTACGTGAATAAATGGGGCGATAAAAAATATTTTTTTCTCGAAGTGCACAATAGACAAAATAAGTTTAAACAGTAAAAATTAAATCTGGCAAAATTAAATAATCGTCTCCGATGATTAATTGATTTTTTTTTATTTACTCCAAATTTTTGACCTCGGAGGCAGTTATTATCACCAAGTTATTATATCGAACAAATTTTGAATATTTAATACAATGTAAAATCTTAAATCCCACCTAATATATTAAACCGCGGTGTACACGCTCGTTTCGTTCAATGTATATGTAAAGCGCAGTGTACAAGCACGTTTTCTATCATGTAAATGTAAAGCGCGGTGTACAAAAGCACGTATCCTACAATGTATATAGAGAGCACAGTATACAAGCACGCATCCAATAATATTAAACCACGATGCACACGTATCCTATTTTGTACATGTAAGTGTAATGTACAAGCATGTATTCTACAATGTATATGTAAAGTGCGGTGTACACACACGTATCCTACTGTGTACATGTGAAGAGCAGTGTACAAGCACATAACCTACTGTGTATATGTAAAACGCAGTGTATACACGTATCCTACTGTGTATATGTAAAACGCAGTGTACACACGTATCCTATTGTGTACATGGAAAGTGCAATGTGTAAGCGCGTAAACTGTTATGAATATGTAAAGCGCGATGCACACACGTATCCTAAGTGTACAAGCACGTATCCTACAATGTACATATATATAAATCGCGGTGCACACACGTATCCCACTGTGTACAAGCACGTATCCCACAATGTATATATAAAGCGCTGTGTACACACGTGTCCTATATAATAAAGCGCGATGTACACGAGTATCCTACAATGTAATCGTATAGCGGTCCGTGCACGCTGTATTTTGTGTTCGCTACACACAAGGCTCGACGTAGTTCCCTGGGAAGAGGCCAGTGACCCCGTCCATAACTCCTTCCCACCAACCATCATCGTTTTTCTTCAGCACATATATGACAGCACTCTCTTGGAACGACAGTTCGTCGTCTTTGTCCGCGTAATAGTCGTATATCGCCACCACTGTAATGACAAATATATATTAATTTGGGTAACAAATATTAAAAAAATAATTCATATTACAGTAGAACTCGATTATCCGGCCCTCAGTTATACGGATTCCCGATTATCCGGACTACGGACAAGTAACGACATGAAAAAATGTCAAAGCGTAAGAGAGTGGTGTTGTTGAGAGTGGCGTACGTCAAATGACAATTACCAAATATTCTAAACCAAATTAAACTTATTATTTTAATTCATGATCACCAATTGCAAATTACCAAATACATATTGTAATTTATTTCATGATTATCTGTTTTTAGTACATATGCATGTATATGTAAGAAAATATATTCTTTAATTATTTATTAATAAACACTGATTTTCGTTAATATGTATTTGTTACTTTTTTAAATAAACATATAATATTACATGTACTACATATGCACAAAATTGGCTTTTCTTCATACATTCGATGATCCCAATGCCAATCGACAACAATTAGTCCGGTAAATCGAGTTTCTACTGTAATTGTAAGAAAACAGGAACAAGTGTGGTTTGCTCCTCACATATCTCTAAGAAATAGTAATGTAATACTTGTCTTCATATAAATTTTAATTTAAATATTAAAATTAGGTAATTAATATTCAGTTACATACCTTTCTCAATATAATTCTTGGGAACCCAGCCAGGCAGGTCTTCTTCATCAGGTACTATAGTCGGTACAGCGCTTGAGTACTGGCCCCCCATTTTAGCCTAGAAACAGTTTTATCATAATTAGATTATTCAACTAAAACTATAAGTATAGTCTGTTCTACAATAAAGATTCCTTTGATATAAAACTAGCTTCCCGCCCGCAGCTTCGCCCGCGTGGAGTTCGGTTATATCGCGTTTGCAAGGGAACCTTTCAAAAGTCTGGGATAAAAACTATCCTATGTTCTTTCTCAAGGTCAACTCTATGTCGGTACCAAATTTCATTAAAATCAGTTCAGTGGTTTAGGCGTGAAAGCGTAACAGACAGACAGAGTTACTTTCGCATTTATAATATTAGTAGGGATATGTATATCATGACTTCAGTGGACTCATTAAAATTACTATTCTATATCAGCCTCATATGACCTTATCTACTCTATACATGAATATTATTACAAGTGGCGCCATCTGAGATGTACTAATCAGTGGCGGCTGTACCTTAAGTGCACTCGTGCGCTGAACCACCAATTCAAAAGATTTAAAATTTACAAAATATTACTTCATCTTTATTTTTAAATTACCATTTTAATATTTATTTTCTAAACATACAAAAACGTATAAAAATTAAATTTCTAATTATAGTCAAAAAGTTTGAGCGCTTTAATACATTAATATCTCGTGCGCTTCGGCGAGTGCACGAGGACTGCTAATACATTTTGTATGAGATACGCATTAATACGCCTGACGCGTGAAACAAAAGATAGTTCATAGAAATGTACCGAGTAATGAGTAGGTTCTCGAGCGCCGCACGAGCGGCCGAAGATTACCGAGAGCACCCGATATATGACGAATTGGAATTGAAAAGAATCAAAACTTTTCTCCGAAATACCATGCACTTGCAAAATGCACTTTCTGTGCTTAGTATTGAAAAAAATAATTATACAAACAATATGTATCCGATTTTAATAAAAATTTGATTGAATATTTCGCTTCAGAAAAATGTCGTCGCATTGATTTAATGTATAATAAATAAACATAGTTTATGTCAATTGGTTTTTTGTTACATTTTCTAATTTAATATTTTACTAAAGTGCACCACCAGTTCGATAACCCACCAGCCGCCACTGGTACTTATTATAATATACTATAATCCTCAAAATTATTTTTTATTGATGATTATAATTACAATACCAAACCCATGTAATATCGTAATATTAACATTAAGTATCAACTTGTATATGGTAACTATAAATACTGGTTTCAGCTATTTTGTAGTATAGTAGAAGCTCCTTATTCGCGCTTCCTTTATTCGCGTTTTCACTATTCGCTGATTCAAAAAATTGTACCCAAATCCCAAATTCGCGACTAAAAGTTTCTTTAATCGCGGATCTAATGTACTATGTATGTATGTACTATACATAATAATAAAGTTATTCTAATAAGTATCTAACACAATATACTTGTCATATGGACTAATAAAAAAGTAAAATAGATCTTATTACAACATTACCATAAGTAGGTTGTTAAATGATAGAGCGGTGTTTTTGAGAATGTAAACAAACAGAATGAAAGCAACCTTATAACTCAATAATAAACCGACTTGGAGGAAATGTTAAATTCACAGCACCTTGAAGAAGAGGCTTCAACAAAAACTGGAAACGTGACATTTACAAATTTGTAAAATCTAAGTGAAGGTTTAAGAATGGGAAATGAGTTTTGCGATTTCTTTATGATCATTGATCCGTCTATGGATCGAAGTCTCATTTTTAAGAGGCAAATTGCTAATGCGGTTGCTGTACATAGTATATCAGTCTGAATTGAAAGTGCTTTTGAAAACTGCCAAGCAAGAAAAAATTACAAAATTCTTCAAACCATTGCCTAAGCCTTAAGATAATTAATTAAAATGTTCAAAAACTTCAATTAAATATTTTTTTTTATATATTTGTTGTGTTTTTTTTTTGTCACCTAGGAACGTATCCCCTATAATCCCAATAAAATTACCATTCCGTATTCACGGTTTCTGTATTCGCGGCATATTTATGGAACATATACAACGCGAATAAAGAGTTTCTACTGTATATAATTGGAAGTAATTTTGAACATCATATCAAATCTGTAACTGTTTATCATATAATATCATGTATTACCTGCATGTGTCTCGCTCCAAAGGCGTCGTGTAGTTCATCCTCTAGCGGCGGCGGCGGCAGGGGAGGGGACACGGACCCGCCGCGAGCAGACCCTGACGCTGATGATGAAGACGCCCTCTAGAGGACATATAGACAGTTAGTAATGAGTGAAACACTACTTAGTATTATAGACCGGGCGCTGGAGGGAGTTGAGTATGCAAAATATGAGGACCAAATATATATATTCTCACTAAAACAATCTTTATAATCATATCAAAGTATGTGTCCAGGCCATTTACTACGTGTCTAAGGGAGCGTTCAAGTATTACGTAACGCAATTTTGGGGGAGGGGGGGTCTCGTAAAACGTTACGGTGCGTTACAGGGGCGGGAGGGGGTATCTCTCACAAAACGTTACGTAGCATTGTTTCTAAAAAAAATATTAATAAAAACCCCCAAACTAGCAACTCTTTTCATATACGTTACATTATCTTGACCAGATTGTATTAGTCTGGTCGATATTTTTATTTGTTATTCCAAGTTTGCAAACCTCTTAATTGATATTTTACGCGAAATACCTAGATTGCATTGTAAGTCTTTTAATGTTGCTTCATACTGTAATTTCTTCAAAAGAGGGAGATTTATGTCAATGACCTTTTTTCATTTAATAGATTAAAACTATACCAAACTATTACATATTGTTTTACGACTTTGGATGAAATTGATCACTTGAGTGTTACGTAACGTTTTGAGAAGGAGGGGGGGGGGGGTCTACAGAAAAACGTTACTGTGCGTTACGAAGGGGGAAGGGGGGGTCAAAAATCTTCGAAATTGCGTTACGTAATACTTGAACGCTCCCTAAGGGTGTGGGGTGTAAAAAAAATTGGACCAATATGGCACCTGGCAACATCCAGAATCGTTATCTGCATGCTTTTCTGAGTACAAAACCATTCACAGAATGCGGTCCTCATATTATGCATACTCAACTCCCTCCAGCACCTGGACTATTATGTAGTCAGGTTAATAACTTCAAAACATATATATAATATACATATCATCAGGGATAGTGCAAAATCCGCGTTACAAATACTGGATACTTCCGCGTATCTGCACTGGAAACAGATTATGAGATGAAAGATTAAGCTGAAATATTTTCTATATTAATTACTTTTAGTAATGTATTAACCACTAAATAATTACTAATTGTGAAAAAATTACTTTAAAAATCGTTAATATAGAAAATATTTCAGCTTAAACTTTCTTCTGATAATGTTTCCAATGCAGATACGCGGAATTATCCAATGGTAGTTACACGGATTTGCACTATCCCTGACAATATATGATTTGTTTTGCATTCAATATTGTATTTGATACAGTCTTTGTTTGTGGAAATTTAGAATTATTATAGTCTTTTTATAGATCAAGAGTAAATAGTCCAGAGAAATAACATTGCATGTTGATACTTCTTATAAAATTATTTTGTTTAAGTACATTACTGGTATATTTGATATTAATCTATGTAAATAACTCACATGTCCTGGTAGTACCATGGAATGTTGACTGTTTTCACCGTCTGAACCAATCAAAGGACTCGGTGGAGCTGAAATATATACAATATAAATATATTATATTGACATAATTTTATAATTTTTTTATAAGTTTATACAGTTATACTTGCTTAGTATTGTTGAAAAATAATGAGATGTCAGATGTAGTGTAAATAGATCATTTTATTACATTAGCATATATATCATTAAGTTGCTACTTACAATACATAATTAGAAATTTAATATAGATTTATATAATACTAGTTTTCTTTCCGCAGCTTCGCCCGCGTGGAGTTCGATTATATGGCGTTACTAAGAGAACCTTTCAAGTCTGGGATAAAAACTATCCTATGTTCTTTCTCGAGGTCAACTCTGTCTGTACTAAATTTCATTAAAATCAGTTCAGTGGTTTAGGCGTGAAAGCATAACAGACAGACAGACAAAGTTACTTTCGTATTTATAATATTAGTAGGGATTACATAATATAAAATAAAATTTTGTAAACTCACGTGGCATACTGGAATGTAAGTCCTGTTGTGAGTAGTTCGATGGAGATTGATGCTGATTGGGGTGAACCATTCCCACCTGGTAATAATTCATTAACTTTACTACTTCTAATAGTTTGAAGTTAAACTTCTTATGCGACTCTCGATAGGTTGCGTTAAACATTTAACGGTCGGGGGGGGGGGGATAGAAAGAGACAGAGAGAGAGAGAGAGAATACGAGCAATCAATTGTTACTTTTAAGTAATGTTAATAATAAAGTTTGTTTTGAAGAAACACTAAAAAGTCCTTAAAAATCTATTTCTAGTCCTTCCTATTTTCGCTCCAAAGTTACGAAGTTTTACACACAATTATTATTTTTTTATTCTACGTGTTTAAAGTGAATCATATAGAAAATAATCGTTGAATATATTTTAATGTGTACATGTATGTAGCCCAATTGCGTAATTAGTACCACATCCAAACAATTCTTACATTTTTTCTGTTTTATAATGAATTTATAGATTGGAAGGCTTCTTGTCTAATATGGGCAATAGCCGAAAACATAGCAGTCATTACCGATCAATTCATAATTACAACTATTTCATTTAGTATGATAAGTTTAGTTTCAAACAAATATTAATTAATTATACATACCGCTAAGTAAAAAAAAATCGAAATCTCATAAACAGATCGCCATATAGATTTTAAAGAAGCGATCTAAATAGTTTGAATAATATTTCTTAATGAGTACTTAAGCTATAACTTGCATGTTTATAGCTTATGTGGGTAATCTAGGTAAATAGATCTAGGTAATCAAAAAAAAATAAAAAACATCTAGGTAAATAGATTATAAACCATAAACAATTATGGTTTATAATCTATTTACCTAGATGCCAAAGACCGTGCAAAGTGGAGGCGTTTATGTAGGAAGGCAGACCCTGGTTAAAACTGGGAAATTGCCAGGAAGAAGAAGAAGAATCTATTTACCTGTGGTTGTACCGGGAGGGCGGAGTACCCCGGCGGTCGCGCGGCCCGAGGGTAGTTCGGCGCATAGTGAGAGGGCACTTGAGGGGGCGCGACGGCAGGGGGCGTGCGGTACTCACGAGAAGATTTGCCTGGAAATGTACATAAACATATATACATATATAAATAATTATTAAACTAGCAACCCTTTAGCCACCTATCAAAGCGCCATTACTGATAATCTGACATTTTTTGTTCTCAATTATTGTCAAGAGAAGAAACTCTGCCCTAATTAGTCTCGAATATTAATAAATTGTACCTCTGACGGCGAACGTTTGTTTTAAAAATCATTACGTGTTTTTCATTTCTAACATACTATATACAGGGTGACTGGTGAATTACTATCAATATTTAAGGAGAACACTCGGTACATGATTCTCATTCGAATTATGTAAAAAAATAGGCACTTAATTTTTGACAAAATTTCCGTATGAATAAGTAAAGTGTTGACACGTTCCAAGTGTTCAAGTGTGGACGCGTGCGGCGGCGTGCTGATACAACAACACGTCGCGACACGCGTATGTGTGAGTGTGAGTGTATACCTAATCTGTAGGGTGTTCACACGATGCGTAATTAATTACATAACTTTTGGTTAACTTTACTTAGAAGTTTATTAATATTTATGTTATATTAATTTTTATTTTGTCATATATGATCGTCAAATATCACGTCCTCAAATATCGATAGTAATTCACCAGTCACCCTGTATATATACTAGCTTTTGCCGCGACTACGTCCGCGTGGAATAGTGACTTCTGGCAGATTTTTGGTTCTTCCCACATAGTTCCCGTTCTTGCGGGGTTTTCGGAATGGTCGAGTTCCCGTAGAATGTTCAGGATAAAACCTATGTTTTTTTTTTATTCACAATGAAGTACTCTTAACCAACAACATATTTATTTGTTTAATTTGAATAAAGATTAATATTATTATCTTGATACAACTTTAACAAAGTATTTCGACCAAATTAGGTACCATAAAAACGGTTTTTGTGAGTTAATCTTAAAAGATAGACATATACTGTCGCGGACTGTTTTTTAGATCATTAAAAGTTTTCACGGCGCACGCAACGGAAGGCTTTAAAGATGAAATAATTTCTCCCGTTTTTTACACATTTACCACTATATCTTTGCTCCTATTGGTCGTAGCATGATGTTATATAGCCCAGCCTTCCTCGATAACTGGACTATCCAACACAAAAAGAATTATTCAATTCGAACCAGTAATTTCGGAGATTAGCGCTTTCAAACAAACAAACAAACAAACTCTTCAGCTTTATAATATTAGTATAGATATCTAGTCTGTTCGAAATACATAGTACTTATAAATGACTTTATGCCCTTGAGTATATTTTTATATAAGAAAAGTGGCAAGAAAGCAGATGCTGTACTTGCTAAACAGTAGCCATCATCGCCTATAGACATCCGCAACTTCTCTGTTGCGGTTTGCCAAACCTTGGTTTTTAAGGAATCTACTAAGGTTTCTGGTTGATCTGCTTTTTTAGGAAATTCCTACGGTTTCTGTTTAATCTGGTTTTTAAGAATTTCCTATGGTTTCTGGTTAATCTGTTTTTAGGGAATTTCCTATAGTTTCTATTTAATCTGATTTTTAGGGAATTTCCTATAGTTTCTGTTTAATCTAGTTATTTATGGATCTCCTAAGATTATCATACCCAGAGTTCCTCGTCCTAGTGTTCCAGTATTAGCAGCGTTTGCTGATCGTACGGCCGGTGGTGTGGGTGGTTTAGTTGTGGGTGCAGGCAGAGGACCGGGCGTGGAGCCCGAGCGACGACCTCGAGGTGTTCCAGAGCCACCTGAGCCGCTCCAACGAGCTCCATGACCGATATCATCCAACGCTGGAAATATAATACACAATATTAACTCAACATTACACTATTATGTCCTTCTACTAGCTTTTCTAGCTTTTCCAGGGTCTCCCTTACATGTTATGAATAGTTTTGGCTTATTGTTTTTATGACCATGCCTGGCATCAACCCTCTTTGGGAATGCATTAATCAGTGGTGTCTAAATACTCTTAGAAAGTACATATGACTGAGAAAAATCATAATGGTACTTGCCAGCATCGATCCCGCATCCTCATGCATGAGAGGCGGGCCTTTTAACCACTAAACCACCACTGACTACAAAATAGCGGCAACTTAACACTTATGAATTTAATGAAACTAATAATTTTCGGATTATAATATTGCTATTTTATTATTGTAAAAACTACATACTTTCAAACACTTTTTAGCAACTGTGATCATGGGCAAACAATATGTATTAGTTATACTTGCTATACTGTTATGTATTAGTTATACTTGGTCAGTATTATTAAATAATAATATGATGTCAAGTGTAATGTACATAGGTAGATTACTTTATAATGTTAGTTTCTGTCATTCAGTCTTGATACTTAGCACAATATATACATGACCTATTCAATATAATGAGATCGAGAATTTCCCGAGTACTCATTTAAATGAAACTAATAATAAAATATAGTTTCATCTATTCAATATAGTGTTATCTAATACTACACAAACTATAGGCCAGTATTTTTATTTAAAACTAGAAGACCTGGCGAACTTCGTATCGCCCTATAATCAAGAAATATCTATTACGTTTTTTTATTTATATTTTTGGAGTTTATCTGTAAGCCATAAATCTCCGTGTTTTGAAGTGCGACAGGATGATTGACATATTAGTTAGTTGTCAAATCTAATGTCAAAAAAAAATGTTTGTATGGGAAATAGAAAAGGGCTGTTTTTATGGTTTTCCCAGTATGAATCAATTTTTTTCAGCTTTTATACCTTCCCTGAACCTCCACGAACATTTCAAGACTAAGATAAGATAAATCCGTTCAGCTGTTTTCGAGTTTTAGCGAGACTAAGGAACAGCAATCCATTTTTATATATATAGAAGATAGAAGATAGAAGATTGAATCATCCATCAATCTGATTGGCCCTTCTGTTCAGGCATAATGATTCAAATAGCATAATAAACTCAAGGGGAATTTGTGACTCATATTTGAATGCTGGCATAAATTAATAACATCCTCATAGGATGTAAGACAAAATGTTGGAGTATTTACATGTATTATGATACTAATTTATCAGTTAATACTATAATCACATAACTAAATGTTTACTGGATCATACAATATTTGTGAATATTCTTTTCATTCTTATACAAAATTTCATATTATACATATAGAAATGTACTGAATTTCAACATATTTCTTTAAATATATAGCAAATTTTAAAGTTACCTGTATAATCAATACTCTTCCTCACATACTTTATAGGTTTCTCTGGGTTTGCCGGTGCAATAATTTTATACTGTCTATTGGTGACTTTATTAGCCGTCAGAACACCTATTTCCCGTCTTGCAACTTTTTCTTTATGTATAGCTACAGTTTGGGCGATATGGTTCATTTGACCTTCCATTTCAGCCAACTGCATAGTTTGTAGCTCTAATAGTTGCAAGAAGTTATATGCGAGTGTATTAATTTGATAAGCAACACTTGCTAATGACTGTGTTGTGTAGTTCTTGGTACTGTCTAAAGCTAATCTCTTGTTTTCGGACTGAAAGTAATTAGCTTCACAGTATTCTGCAACTCTCTCGAGGTTTGTATGGCTGTCTGTGAGATGATTACGCCCTTCGGGTATGTCTGTTTGAAGTAAGGCTGCTAACTCCGCCATGACGCTGAAATGTATAATTATATTTTTAAACTCAGTTGATAAACACTATTTCGCTACCATTTGGTCCACACACATTTTTGACGATGATTAATTGATAAGAAGATAATGCGGTTACATTAAGAACTTCATATATTACGAGACGATGAACTGAGAAAACTACCATATAATACATTATAATCTAAACCGAGTATAAACCGTAAGGTTTATCATAATAAAAACAGTTGTAACGTTTAATAGACAGCTTCCTTTTTCACAAGAGAAAAAGTGCACTATAACAGTATAGAGGTCTAAGAGACTGTTCGATATAAATTATCGTTAAATAACGTAACAAATATTTACCAGTATTTCCTTTGATAAAGATAAACAAATTGTCACCAGAAATTCACTTCAAACCGAGAAAACTGAATACAACACACCCACAAACATAAATAGGTATTCGTTACCTACTCCTTGGTCAATATTATAAACAGAGTGTACATATAGATAACTAATGAGGCTTTTAAAAAATCGCACTATAAAAAAATAACATAATAATAAATAGGCCTTTTACTAAAACTCAAGTTGACCGTTATTATTGTATTTTCTAAAAATCTTTATTTTTAAAGTAAAAGCAGAAAATCTAGGTTTTTTGACAATGTCCGACATGTGTGCGAAAGATAATGCTTGTTTAATCTGTTACAAGGGAACTGCCAAAAGTCGATAGGATTTCTGATTTCTTTATGTCTATAATTCTTTTACATGAATGTAGCTATTTTGTTTTGACTAAAATGTAATAATTAGCTTCAATTCAAATTTTATTAACATGGGTACTAACGGGAACGGTCGTCGCGGCGGCGCGAAGCTGCCTGACGTTCGTCGACCCATGGAAGAAGGAGACTGTGTGAACGACATGGAAAGTCCTGAATTGGATTTCGTTTATGATGATTGTGATACGCAAGCTAACGAAATTGCTGAACTCTATAGTTACACTGAACACCCCGAATTTCAACTGAATGTAAAAGCTTTTGAGGACATTATGGAGGAATTCAACTTGCCTCCTAGTTGGCAAAGACTTTCGAGCCAACAACAACGCACTGTAGTGATGAAGCTACTCGAGCATCTTGATGTTGCAGTTACAGAGATACGAATGCGAGCGACGAGATGTATACTCTACCTAGCACAAGGCTGCTGGGCCGAAATGCAGTCCGATGCCGAACAGGCGCATTGGGCACGTATTAATATTATGACACTCTACGAAATGGGGACTTTCGCTGCATTCGTTGAACTTTTAAACTTGGAAATAGTAAGAAGTAACGCAGCTGTGGCGTCAAGAAAGCTAGCAGAGTCGTTAGTAGATTCAACCAACTTGAGAGTCATCCTATCAGTATTATACCTAATTACGGAACACATGCGAACTGAAAAAGATAATCCAGATTCTGAATATTCAGATCTAGTTAAAAACTTCAAAGAAGAAATAGGAACTCCTTTCAATGAGGAATTACTGCCGGTGAAACTCTTAGGCATGGTAACACAGCTGTGTGTTGGCACTACACCCCATTTTCCTATGAAAAAAGTACTTTTACTGCTCTGGAAGATATTACTCGTGTTTCTCGGTGGTTCTAAGGAATTGAAAGAACGTAAAGCCAGATTGAGAGAAAAATATGGTTTACCACCTTGTACTGAAGATACTCTTGAAATAATAAAAGGCATGCGATCAAGTTCGCCACCACCGAGTGCTGCTGACATGCTCGAAAACCAGAATCCTGGACAGAGGAAGTTAAAAGAAAACGAAAGAGCTTTAAGACGGCAGACATTTATGAAACAAACTTCTCTTGACGAATCTGATGAACAAATCTTTGTAGACAAAGAGGAAACCAGTAATGGATCTGAAGATTACTCTATGGAATTCCAATCAATGTCAGCCGAGGGTGTTCAGAATGCTAATACGAACCAGAACTGCCCTTACTACATGTATATAAAGAGATTTGACAGCCCCCCACCTCCTCCACCACTTCCTAGAAGCCTGCCTTGGAGATCAAAAGTCCGACAGAAAGACATAGACACATTTCTTGATAATGTCAGAGTCAAATTTGTTGGTTACTCCCTGCCCGGTGATAGACAAACCATTGCCGGGCTTCCACAACCTATACATGAAGGAATCGAGATATTAAAAAAGCATACATACACAAGTCTCGCTGAGGTTCAAGCCGAGAGGGAGCTAGAGATTATCCGGAGCCCTCTCACTAAAGGTGAAAAAGAAGTAGAGGAAACCGAAGCAGAGATCTTATATAGAGCCGTTCAGCCAAATCTACCACAATATATAATTGCTCTACTTAAAATTCTCTTAGCTGCCACACCCACATCAACGGCGAAAACATATTCCATGAATATAATGGCTGATGTATTGCCAGAAGAGATGCCAATGACCGTGCTACAATCACTCAAACTGGGTATAGATGTTAATAGACATAAAGAAATCATAGTTAAAGCTGTAACAGCCATCCTACTGCTTCTATTGAAACATTTCAAGTTAAACCATATTTATCAATTCGAATTCATGTCACAGAATCTCGTATTCTCTAACTGCATGCCACTCGTTTTGAAATTCTTCAACCAGAACATCTTATCGTATATAGGTGCTAAGAATTCAATACCCATATTTGATTTCCCCGCTTGTGTTATCGGAGAGCAACCGGAATTGACAAGAGATTGCTTGGACATTGGAGACTCTTCAGTACCATACTCCTGGAGAAACGTGTTCTCATGTATAAATTTACTACGAATTCTGAATAAACTCACTAAGTGGAAGAACGCCAGGATCATGATGCTCGTCGTATTTAAAAGCGCTCCGATATTAAAACGTACACTCAAAGTTCGACACGCTCTCATGCAGTTTTATGTATTGAAGCTGCTTAAAATGCAAACGAGATATTTGGGACGACAGTGGAGGAAAACTAACATGAAAACTATTAGCGCCATTTACTCAAAAGTCAGGCATCGGTTGAACGATGATTGGGCATTTGGTAATGAAGTTGATGCTCGGCCATGGGATTTTCAGGATGAAGAATGTGCATTGAGAGTAAGCGTGGAAAGATTCAATCAGAGACGATATGGGAACGCCAGTGAATTAGAAACTGAATTAACTCCGGTAGACACAGATATTAATAGTGTTCTTGATAGTAATATTGAGCTTGATGAAGAATTCAAGTCTAACTATGAATTGTGGCTGGAACAAGAGGTATATAACAATGAAATCAACTGGGATGTTCTACTCTCCACATAAATTTGTACTACGTTTGGTTTTTATAGTGTAATCAAGTTTTTTATATAGTCTTATTTCCACGGTTTATAGTTGTGTATGTGATTTTGTTTATTATTGAACATGTATATAGTATTTAAAGACAAAGTGTTATCTTAGTACAGTGTGTCTTTATATCAAGGATGGCTTTGAAAATTTTTATTGTTACAAAAAGGAAAACTTTGCAAAAAGGTTTTAATGTTTACTTGCATAAATTATTCTACTATGAAATACAATAACTAATATTTTTGTTTGAGAACCAAAATTGTTTATAAATTTTATTAGCATGTATTTTTAATTCATGGATTAAAAAATATATAAAATTGATCTTATTGATACACTAATTATATAAAAATATTTTTGTTTTTTAATTTAAAGTGAAGGTCATATAGCTATACAGTTTTCATACATTTTGACATTTCTATAAAAATAACCAAAGCTTATTTCGAGAAAAAAAATATATAATTCAGTCATTATTTCAAAAATAACCAAAATACGAGTAATATAGAGTAAATGTTATAAAGAAATTTGGATATATTTATATGGGATTCTAAATCTTTAGTCATTGTATAAGTTCTAGAAGGATTGGTTTTAAATTATTATTATTCTTTTTTATATATTATTATATAACAGAATCCAGTAACGAAGATTTTTTCAGATTTTAATATTAAATTTAAGATACTTTACTTTGTATTAATTCGTACATATTTAGACTAAATAAAAGAGTTGTACATTACTGAAGTTTTATTGTTTCTTTATAATAATATGAGCAGTTACAAATATTCATTCAATTTACCTTTATTAATTATATTTTACATATAAATTAAATATTTCATAAAAATTTCAAAAAGTGATATCGAATTTAGTTCTGTATGCTTACCCATCATCATTCGTCATTCACATACCTAAGGAGACTTAATAGTTTTTCTTTCATAGATTTTTGCTCATTTATACAGTATTAATGTTGGTTTTGAATGTGAAACGAGAAACGTTTTGTATGTAGTATGATGATGAAACCTTTTTTTTTGATGATGCAGGGAAACTCAGACTAGACGTGGAACCGGCCTTGGTGGGGCCGGAAGGGATGTGTGAGACTCGACCTGGGCAGGCCCCTACTCACTAAAACCACTGAAAGCCATCGGCCGCTATGTCGGTGAAACCCGGATCTGTCAGCGACAGGGCACACCAGCGACTGGCCGGTCCTGGCAAAGACCGGACCTACTCCTTCGGAGAATGGGGGCGATCCCGGCAATTAGGACCGCCCCGACGACGCCGGGCTTTCACTGGAGCCGGGTTACCAAGTCGACATCAGCCCGGAGCACAAGGGTGCTATTGGAGGCGTTAGCACCCTCCCACCTCCGTCGCACCCCCGTACGTCCTGATGATGAAACCTCGTGCTAAGCGTAACTAAACCATTATAGATTTTTTTAATTTACATGTTAGGTATATTACGTTCATGGATATACCTACTCTATTTATTTTGAGTAAAAATAGAAAGCTATCAATTTTGCCTATTGTATGCATATATGAGTTGCAACTTGCAACGTATATACGGAAAAACTAGAAGAGCTTCATGTGTGTGTGTAGCTACACATGTGGCATTAATTTTCCTAAAAGAAAACCAAAGTCTACTGCGACACTTTTCAATATGTTCTCATTAATCAATATATAACTATTCTCCATTCAAAATCATCATATATATACTACTTACTATAAACATACTCATTATTTAGTTATATACATTATTCTAAAATCAAATACCTAATGAGTTACCAAGTTTAGAATCAAATCAAATCTGCTCTCGAGAGTAGATAATCGATTATCATATATTAATCGCGATATAAAAATATAAATGTTATAATAAAATTTAACCTTACTTTACGCTAATATTTAAATAATTCTACATTATCCCGCGGACCCTTCTTATAACAGATAAAAGGTTTTTTATAACCGCGGGCCTGTGTTTGTTCTCACGTCAAACGTCGTCGGTGTGACATTTGAACATTAGTAATATTCTGTGCTATAATGGATCCCTCCTGGTGAGCCACTTAAGGGCGTATTATAGATTTACAACATTTCGCGGGTTATTCCAATTTGTAATGAATTATTATGATGATGATTTTGAGATTTTTGTTTTTATGTTGGGTACTTTGGATGTTTTTGTTTTTGTTTTTATGGTAGGCGATGAGGAAATTGTAATATATTTCAAAGCTTATTTAATCTATCTTTATAAAAAATACGCCATTTATAGCTAGGTAAATGTATTTCACACATATCTTATATATCTGACAATTCATACAAACTTACGTTCACCCACAAATTTTTGTTTATTTAAATTATAATTTTAATTTCTTAAATTCCTTTTTACTGGCACATAATTAACTAAGCTAAATTCCTGTGTAAGTGAAATAAGAAAACATATTAATTATGTGTTATAGGTACAATAAATCATCCATTAAGTTATTTGGTTAAGTGAGGAATTAATATGTCATATTTAATATAAAAATATATATATATTATATGTTTAACTATATTCTAACAAACGACTTTTAACTAAACGTAAATTAAAGTAAACACCTACGTAAAAACAACATTTTTAATTTTGTTTTGATGGGTATTCACTCGCAGGTAATTAATGTCTTAAAGAGTAACTTAGGCTAGACTTTAACCGACTTCAAGAAGCGTAAGTTTTTTATTCGGCTACCAATAGATAGTAATCAATAAAGACAAAGCAGACACATGATGATTAGGTAAATATTTTTATTACTTTGAAAAACCTATAAGAAGAAAAAAAATAAGAATATCCTCATATTAAGAGCATGTTAACAGTTAGAATGATATTATCTCAACTCTAAAGAATTTTCTGCTCTATAACCCGTGTAATCTCGATAAAATACCATTCAAAAGACGTCTAACAGTCCTGACTAATGCCAGCATACAAAATGTATAGAAAATTGTTGTGTATTACATTTTTGTTGAAAATAGTGACTTCAAAAGAGGAATTTAATGTCAACGATATATTAAACGATGACTTTATGCCGACGCATTTCTTCATTGATGAGTACAAATCTAATAAAGTGGATAAAACGAAGGCGGTTAAGCAATATCCATCTGTGAATGGATCGGTGGATGCAGCGTTTTCTACTTTAAATTTTCACAGGTATGTATGTTGTTTTAAAGAAAAATAGAATGTAGAAACAAAATACCTTAAAATCGCAAAGAAAATATAGATAGGTATAGGTATTTCATAATAGAAGTTAATTACTTAATTCTGCATTGTAATAAAAAATATTTAATGAATTAAAAAGGTATGTTTAAACTTAAAATGTACTTGATTTCTCTTAATTTCAATTATGTGTACCCTTTCACTATAGGAAAAAATATTATGTAAGAAAAGATCTTATATTTTCGGACCTAATTTAAGTGTGTTTTCTTTTAATTGTATTCTGTACCAGCTTTTATTTTTAAAGGAAAATGATGAACGAATATCAATGTAGAAACTATGTAGCGGAACAAATCTTGGAGGAAATGGGTAAGAATGTAGTGCAGCGTAGGGTCGGGAAACCTTTTGAGGGCGTGTTCTTTAAACGATCACAGGATATGAGGAACAGCCTGCTGTACGATCCCGGATCTGGAAATTACCAGGATTGGTTAGCCAAGTACGTGCTTCATATATATTTATTAAGGCATTATTAGGATTCTTTACTTAAATTTTCTAACCTATAACATCTTAGCTATAATTTTCTATGATTGTTTTGCATGCTAGTTCTTTTTCTTATAAAAATATGAATAAGTATATGAATTTGTATCTTATTCATTTTGCTTAGTGAAAAGAATAAAATTTCTAAGCTAAAGTAATCTAAGCATAACAAGATAACGATTTTAATGCTCCGTTTATTTTGCATATTTCGAATTCTTCGCTAAAATTACGAAATTACTATGCAGAAATATTATGTAGCCTAAGTACAAAAAAATAATTATATTGTGTAAATATCAATTAATATTTATAGAATATTTGTAGTTCTTAAATTAATCATAACCTTTATCGATGTATTGGACATTTTTCCAACGACGAATTTAGATTGCCTTAGTGTTAGTTTTTAGTATTTTTAAGTAGGTAATCTGGTAATTAATTAACAAGATTATTGCAGATAAATCGACATCGCTCGATCTCTTTTACATCAAGAACCTATAGAATCTCTTCAAAATGCTTTAAAAACTATAAATAATACGCTTGCATTATTAAGTTTAATTTTTTTTTACGTTAAAAACTATAATTTTTCTTTAAGAGTGATGGCATTCAATGATCTCTATCGTCAGTACAACACGACAGTCAATACATCTCAGTTTGAGGGTCAACAGAGAAGCGGCTATGAAGTAAGGGAAACAGATCTGGGTCTTGGAGACTCTGATGGACTCATGTATGACGTGTCCAAACATGGTGAGATGACTTCAATTCCATTTAAATATAAGACTAAACTTGAAAGTACTAATAATTATATTGTAACTGTAGGTTTAATGTAACAAGTTAGGTATGTTAATTGCCAATCTAAAACCTTTGTTATTATGAAATCTAAGACTTTCGTGAGTATTCAAATGAAAGTATTTTTCGTATTACTTTTTTTCGTAATACTTAAGTGTCGGTTAATTTGCAGCAACCGTCATCACGGCTGTTTTGTAGATTTTTACAAAAATAAAGTCAAAAATAAATCCGAAAACTATTAGTTTCATTCAAATTAATAAAACTCGCGAAATTCTTAGATCTCATTACGGTGAGAAGACTTCAATTACGGTTAAATTAAGATGAAACTTGAAAGAAATAATAATTGTATTATAACTGTAGTTTTAAAGCAATAGGTTCGGTATCATTGTAATTGATAGTCCAAAACCTTTGTCATAATGAGATCTAAGAATTTCGTGAGTATTCAAATGAAAGTAATATGTTTCGGATTACTATGTGTATTTTATTATTTTTAAGGAACTACATACTCCTTAAGTTTCGGTTAATATACAGTAATCATGATTACGGGCAGACGATTTGTGAATGGACAGATATTCACATCTCGTCTACCCGTGATCACGGTTGTTGCAAAGTAACCGAAACATGAAGTGTAAGTACACTGTGTAAGTGTAAGTACATATATTTGAAAATGTTATACCTAGTATATTTAGATCATGACTTACTACAGTGTTTATTGAATCTATCAAACTAAGTCAGTGTTTCTCAAAATTCCACCTTTTTTGTCTGTACTTGAATACAATGGTATGTCTTACTTTGTTTGTTATATCCAGTAGGTGGGTACGAGTATTCAATGCAGCCTCCACCGCCTCCTCTCTATCATCATCCACATGAGGTTCACGAGGAGTACGGAGTAGAAAGAGAGTCACACGGTTTGGGAATCGCTGAACTTTTCGATATTTCCCTCACTGGGATCGCATTTTTGTCTTTCGGCATGTTTATTTTGCAAGTCCTAATGTGTATAACAATGGTACGTTAAACTTTTTAATTCAATTTGACTTTCTGTGTCCCATTTTTCGTGATTAATTCATTGATAACACATTTACATATGTAGACATATATGTTATTCAAAATCTGGGACTAGAGTTTATCAGGTAAATTTTCCTATCATAGGTAATCAAAATTTCTTTTGTTATTTTTTCCTATTTTTAATAGTTTATATGTGTTATTTGTTTTTGCTTGTGTTTAGCTTGATTTAGTATATATATAGTTCATACATTAAACAGATAATATATGTTTTTAAAACGAATTGTTTTCTAAATCTAAAATATAGAAGTTATTAAAATCAAGAATAAAAATATTTCGCTAACAATAATAACAATGTGAAAAATGAATCCGGACACAAAATTTAAGAATCAGTCACGTCCCATTAGAATACTGCGAACACATAAATAAACAGAAATCGTATTTATATTTGAATAGATATATATATATAAATATATATATTTACTTAAGTATAACCTGCAATCTAGCAAAATATTCATCTTTTTTGTGATTAATAAGTATGGCAACAGTACGTCCAAAATACTGAAATCATAATATAAGTTGATCAATTTAAACGTGGCCTTTATCCGAGCAAAGACGTGCACAGGATATTCTGCTAATGTCGTATAGAAAGGAAGAGACGCGAGCCGGGATTAACTTTTAAATGAAATAAAATTTAATAGTTTCAACTGAAGTCACAATTAGGAACTTTGTTAAAAGATCTGAAACAACACAAACTCAATCAAATTCAAACATAGAAGATACGTAAAATCATAATCTAATAATGACAAGGTTCATTGAAATATATTTGACCTTGACGTACGTCATTAGTGTGACTTTTTGGTTTAAATTTTTAACTGTTTCCACTTTCCAGAACCATCCACAGCCTCAAGTAATGCAAATGGTTGATAACACTGACAATGTAAACGTTGACGACGTGTTCAGAGTTAGACGAGAGGCAGAAACGAAGTATTCTATGAGAAAACTGAATAGTATCGCTCGATACGCTTTAATGGCTATCAAACCACAGTCGCCGAGTTGTTTGTACCGTACGTTATGCTTAGGAAACAAGCAAGTGAGAGAAATGAACGACGGTAGCAAATATTGGTTGCCTTTGTGGTAGTAAGTATTGAATATAGTATCCTATTCTAAATTCTAAGTATTAAAGTATTTGCTTAAAGAATATTCTAGAAAACCTAATCGTTGTTAATCCTTATGATATTATTATAAAAATATCAATTCACGCTTAACGTTTTATATGTATTTTGTTTAATAACGCAATTCCGAAATATTAGAAGTTTTCTAATTATGACTGGCTTGAAACGAGTAATAATTAAAGCTGCTTTTAGCCTGAAAGATTTATTTTATATACTTTACTCATAAAGAATGAATTTCTAGTTTGTGTGTTCGTGATTTTATAATTATTTGTTCATCTAGTGCTGGTGTGTCGTGGATTCGTAGTGGGGCTTCTCTGTCGGGCGGCGCGGGAGCCCTAAGAGCCGCCGCCCTCGGTCTCGGTGACGCTGACTGTCGGACTATATACCCTGAAGACTGTAACTAGATAGTCTTTATGGAATTAGGTACTCTCTTATAGTTTAAGTAATTGGAGCACTAAAATGTTATCATGTTTTCTATCGCTTCCTTTTTGAATATTTTTGTAGTATCGGATTTTTTTTCTTAAATATTTCATGTTATTCTAAACATATAAAATTTGTTTTTAAAGTCAATAATTAATCAGTGTCTTCACTATGTGTTTCGTAACGCCACCTTGTCAAATATTCATGTTAATGCTATCAAAATTAATACAAATTTGAACGTTTTTGTGTTTTGTATTATTTGTTGTGACAGAAAAACTCATTGCAACTTGTCTATTGTAAAACTACGAGTATGTTAAATATTTGTTAATATTGTGATATAAAAAAATCTTTATTTATAAATATCTTTCTGTGGTTGGTTAAAATAATAGTTTTATTCGGTTTGAAGTCTTTTATTAATAATTCTTTTTATCCAGTTAGGGGGAAATCTTTTAATTACGTGAATCACTTAGAAATAAGTTGGGACCTGACCACCATTTGTCACGCGAGGGAGATGTTGCTTTCGCGAAATATTAGGTATTATTGTTTCTCTATTATTACTATTTTACTGTAAAAAAAAATGGTTTTTAATAAATTAATGTATCTTTATCAAAAAACGGATATTCTATAAAAAGGACTGTTTTAGTATGTGCGAGCTACACCCGAAATCTGTTTAAATTTAATAGATTCAAGTTATTAAAGGATTTCCCACCAAAAAGTTACTTGTGATATTGTATTCTTGGCTGTAAAATTTAAACTTATTATAACATATCAAGAATTATAACCTACTTAGTCTAGACTAGCCAAATAATTACAGCAACATATTATAAAAATCATTAGATACTTATTGCTTTTATATCAATTTTTATAACTATTCGTAAATTTAAATACACATTTTACTATCAAACTCTTACAGACTAGAAAGTTCTTTAATTTTTAAATAAATATGAACAAATTCAAGTTAAATACATCATGCATAATTAATTATTATCAATTTAAACAATTGCCCAATAACGTCTTAACACATGGACCACCCACTTGAAGTGAGAAAAGTAGCGCGTTACAGCATGTATGTACACTTAACACATCAATTAAAACAGTAAATGACTCAAAACATATCAAACATCCACGAGCCAGTAATAAATGTGGAAGAAAATATAGATTTAGCTTAAATGAAACTAATATTTTTCGTATATACTACGCGTGCTTTATTTAAAAAAAAAACTACATACTCCCGACGTTTCGGCTACTTTACAGCAACCGTGATCACGGCAGACATATCTGTATGTAGTTTTTTATAAAAATGAAAATGTTAGTTTCATTTAAATGAATAAAACTCACAAAAAACTTAGATCTCATTACAGATTTAGCAATCTAAACTTATCAAAATATTGATAAATTTGATTTGATGCATATCAAATTATAAATAAATCACGTCTGTGAAAACGTATGATCAAATTATCAAATCATTCGTGATAAATTTGATTTGTCTACATATATTTTTGTCATATAACGCAAGCACGTTTGTAAATAGATTAATGATATAAAAAAACATATGGAAATCGTAGGATAATGTTCATGGTTGCGACGTCGGTAGCGTTACTGGAGTAAACATGCAGCTTAATGGACTGTAAGTGTAAGGATTTATAAGTGAATAGGTTTGCGGGGCGTGTCCGAAGATATGTCCGGGGAATAATCCTTGACGCTGGGCGATTTTAAGACGTGATGTGAGTTGTTTCTTCCATTTTGTTCTTCGATTTTGGAACCACGTTTTTATTTGAACCTCTGTTAGTCCGAGCGCTTTGGAGAGTTCCAATCTTTTTGATACGCTCAGATATTTGTCTAACTTAAATTCAGCTTCAAGTCTTTCTAATTGTTTCGCGCTGTACGCCTGCCGAGGTTTCCTTTCTGGCCCGGTACGTCGCTGCCTCCGATTATTCTTGTCATCTGCGAAGAATGATCGTAATGAAATTATTTTGGTAATTTGTCGATATAAAATATCGAGTTATTAACGGTTCCTATGTTATATTTACAAATAATTGCCGACTAACTGCAAATAACATCAGCAATTGGGCACACGTTAACGCTATAGATATATTAATATCTATTTCTTAAAGTAAACTTATTAAACACGCCTCAGTTTACAAAGTAGCTGCTCTCGCTCAGAACAAATAAACGGTGAATTTTTTCTCAAGTACTAATCGGAATTGTAGCAGTCTCTTGTTAAGTGGCTATAAACACAATCAGGCTGTTTGCGTTGCGCCTGCGCAATTTGAAAACTGGCGTGTGTGCTGTGTCATGAGGCAGACTAAGCATTCATTTAATTTTATCGTTGATTTATTTTATTAATTATAAATATAATATAACAATTAATCTAACTGCGAAGCTTGGTTATGTTTTTTAATCGCTATTAAAATTTGTCGTAAGTATAATCTAAAAGTCGCAATAACACCTTCACTTGATATAATTCTAAATGATTATCACTTATACGTTTAATCCTGCTATTTGCGGTCTAATTGTAGGTGCTAAACGAGCGCATGCCCGGCATAATATATTTGTATTTATTGGTCCGTGCCAAATAATGTTTTATTAGTAGCAATAATGTGAGTGTGGCATTAGCACTGTTTGTGATCATAATAAAGATCGTGTATCATCTCTACGATATAGTTCCAAGGGTGTTAAGGCGGGATGCACACACCAGCATTGTTGGTAATTAACGCTTCGGCAGCTGTTTACTGACACCTTGGTGCCAAGTCTCGACCACCGAGCAACCGATGGCGACAATTCGCCGAATGTATCCACAGCTTTATCCCACTAAATGGTACGACATGTTAACGATATTAGCTTTACCCATTATATGAAGGGACAGATATTTTTCACTTTAAGTACGTAACTATTATCATAGCTCAAGTTTTATTTATAATGACGCGACATGTTTTATTGAATTACGTATGATTTTTTCCTGTATGTTTATATATTTGAATACTGTATCGCCTTGAAAATGTTTGATTGTATACATCCTTATGTAAAAAATTTATATTTAGTTCTTTCAAATCTAATTTAGAAAATATTGTTGCTAATATTTTATAGGAAATACATTAATATGTATAAAGTATGTATGAACGTTATATTTGTTAGTTACTGAGTAAATGCCATTTAAAATTTGACATAAGGATAGTTTAGCTCGACTCATGTTTATCAAAGCTATATGTATATTGTTAAATTCTTAAATTTTATACAAAAATAATTAGTTAAAAATCTTCTTGTTCTTTCAAGTGCACTGATTTTATTGATATCAGAATTCTAGATGTGTTACAAATGTTAGCATCTAAAAATTATTTAAAATTTATCTTTTAACTAATACTTAGCAAGAAATTATGTATGTATTATAAATATAAAAAAAATAGTATAAGTCTTAGATATTTACGGAAAACATTTATAGTTTAGTTTGAAAGGTATAAGATTAGTGGGATTTTATTCTTAACGGCAGCAAAGTTGAGGTTTGAGGTAAATAGGTACTTATATTAAAATTTAATTAAAAAATATAGATTATGAGATGTCATGATGTTCAGCAGGTTGCAGGATTGAATCTTATGCGTGTTGACGAATTCTTAATTGTATATTTTATTGGTATATTTAATTTAAACAACAATATTTAACTATAACTTAAAAATATTTATGTTACCGAGATAGTAATAATAGAGTAGAGATAGCAAAAGAATGGGAAAGGACAAACTGAATAATAAAATAAATAAAGAATAAAGATAAGTTGAGAAAATTTCAGAAGAATATATTCTGGCGACATTGTCCTACAATGTCATAAACAATATTGTAATAATATTAAACATATAAATCAGAAAAAAAAGTCCTGAATTGAATACCTAATTAGGAAGAATTAGAGATTCAGATTATATTTGTAAATTTAATTTAAAATATCCATCTACCTACGTATTTCAATATACCTATATTACATAAAGTATTAGTGACTGAAAAAAATTTGTTAAACGGTTTTCTTGTAGTAATTTCCCAGATAACTGTACTAAAAACTAAAAAAAAAATTGATAGCGTGGGTACTAATATTAAATATGTATGGGTACATTTGTACATCTTTAAAATAAAATAACTCATAACTTATTCAGTTTGTGGATATAACTATGATAACATTAATTCCTGAATATGCAATGCACCTACTATAGATTAATGTTCATACCTCCAAATATTATATTTTTGAAACATACAAATATTAAAGATACGCATTGATTAGACTATAACAAAATCGCGGAACACTAGAGAATGAACATATTAATCGATTATTGTAGATATTTGACTTGCCTCACGTGATTAGTTGGAAACAAGTACTTTTTTAACGTAATACATATATTGTGTTTTTGTGGTATAATTATATGTATTATATTAAAGCAATTTTGTGATAATACTGGAATTAGAAATAAATATATAAACAAAAATATACCAACGGTATTAAAACCTGTTAGCTCTCAAAATCACCATCCATTTAGTTGCCTCTATTAGTGAGACTTTTTTAAGACCAACATGTTATGATTTATATATATTTGTTTAATTAATCAATAACAAAAATATATCATAAAATTACTCTTATTGTTATTCTATTTAATACACGTGTAGCGTAAATATCGATCCTGGCAAGTACCAATGTAATTTTTCCGAGTCATGTGTACTTTCTAAGAGTATTTAGACACCACTTACAGACGGTGAAAGAAAACATCGTGAGGAAACCTGGACTTATAATTTCACCATAAGTTTGAAATCACCAACCCGTCTTGAGCGAGCGTGGTGATTAATGCTCAAACCTTCTCCATGTGAGAAGAGGCCTTTGCTCAGCAGTGGGCTTTGATAGACATGATAATGATAAATTTCAATTATAAATACAAGTCGTCTAATATATATCATCTGTATGATACAGAACCAATCGCAAGGGATGTAGTAATAATAATTTAACGCTTTAATTGTACGAAATAGCAATTATTCATAAGGGATGCGTGCGAACACTCACACCCGACTAGGACACGCGAAGTGTTGCATGCGATCTTAAATTGATGCTGGATGTACCAAATATCATTATGAAATAATATTATATTGTAGAACTAATTATATGACTATTGTGTTTTGTTATTTTGTAAGCATTTTTATGTATATATGTTTATTGATTAAAAAGTTTAAAATAAATAGAGCCGTTTATATTTAATAATTATGAACCTTAAATTATGTGTTAATATTTGTATTATGCTATAAGAATGTTGTAAATAATATCTAAGGTTTTCGCGTGTACTAATTGAAATGGAACTATGATTTTAGGATGGTAGTCGTTTTCTATTACTTCATGTTTACATTATCCCGGCGTTTCGGTTTCTTTACAGCAACCGTGATCACGGAGAGATGATTTGAAAGTGTGTAGTTCCAAAGTAATAAAAAGTCGTAATTTGCGGAAATTTAAATATAGTAATTTGTCGAGAGATTTTATATAATAAAAAAGTTAGCTAACTTAAATAAGATATTTTTTATGATTTACTGCGATTATTTTTGATACGTTAAACAATTATTATTAAACAATATTTTTTTCACTGGTAACGGGCAGACGAAATGAGGATGACATTCTATCTCGTCGGGAGTATGTAGTTATAACAATAAAAAACATGTAGTAAATCCAAAAATATTAGTAAAATGAATATTCGCGAAAGTCTTAGATATCAATTATAATTATTGGTTTGAGATTATTTTATCGATGTGTATACTATAACCAGATTACGTATCTCGTGTAAAATATTTATTTTAATTTATAAGTTGACTTACGTAAAGAGATATCTTTAAAACTATTTGATAAAGTTTGCAAATTTTGATTCCTTGATTTACATATGTATAAGTATAATGAAATGTATTTAAAAACTTATGTTTAAACATTGGAAATATTTCAACAGTAATATAATTTAGTACTTTGTCTTTTTTAGAACCTATTTTCATTAATGCCACGAAAAAGATTTAAATCCATTTTAAATCAAAAACGTGTAACGTTTAATACAAGTTTGAATCCCACAAGATAAACATAGCGTTTCCAGTTTCACATTTAGGTAATACACGTTAATATAATATAGTGTTAAGAATTATGGATAACATACTGTTAACGCTACGTATGTAGTGTAACGATGGAAGCTTATGGTAAGCATATTGAGTTTTGATCGCACGAGCGAGGAATATATTTCTTATAGAAATACTTTCTCAACTAGCCTTATAATTAAAGAAATGTCATTTTACTCTTGATCTTTTTTATGCTATGGTTCATTCGAGCTGGTACCGTGTAATATTCTGCAAATGTCAATATTTTTATTTGTTGGACGAATTATAATTTTGAGTACTGTGCGGAGGAAACACGAAGGAGTTTGTCGAAACGAATAAAGACGCGTATTTAATTATTTTTTTATAGAGACTAGCTATATTTTTACCAGTAGCATACCCATTTTTCAAACTTGTTAATCGCGACTTTTAGAATATATCGGAGACAATCATAGTCATCATGTAGTCATATAGAGAACTGGAAAAGTTATTAAAGAGTTATAATATCAAGCATAAAACACAAAAATCAAAACTTTAACATTTTTAGACAATTTTACAACAATATGAATTGTTAGTAAATATTTTTCTTTATTCAAATATAATTTATTTTTAGGGTGAGTGTGAACAGGCTTTGACTTGTATATTTTGTCATTAACCGTTTCAGGACCACTTACGTCCATAAGCTCTATAATTAACGATTGAAAAGAAATAATGTTAATGTCATTTGTAATGGCCAAATAACTTCTTTATATCTAACTAAAAATAACCCGTATCTTTTTCAAATTTCTTATAAATAGTTATTTAGTCACTTTTCATGTATATTCTTATTAAAAATACACTGTGAGAATGCAAATGTATTTCAGTAAATGCACGTATACATTTAACTTTTGTTCGGATGCATTTTTGTTCTGTAGAAGCATTTGTATAAAATCTTCCTGCACACATTGTATTAAAATTACAATTTAATCTTTATATATAAATTTAATTATACCTTCTATGATGTCTTGTAGATGAAATCAACAAGATTTGCGTCGTAGTTATTTAAATAAATATGTTTCATATCCCTATGCTATATTCTGTATTACTTTATACGTTAAGTAAGTAGATAGTCAATCATATCATTGTTATAATTTTTAGTGAGTACCTACTCGTAAATATTGTACTAAACCTTTCTATACTATGCCAAAAATATTGATATTATAATTTTATAAGTGATTTCTGTTGAACGATGTTGTCACAATTGATTTCTATTATCAAATATAAACAAGGGATAAACTATTTAATAGGACATTTAGTATAGTACATACTAAGATAATTTTTTTACTTTACTGCTGTATTTTGAATTCTTACCATAAAAAGTAGGTTGTTGTGTAGCCAGCCAATGCGCGTACGCATGTCCCGCCAACACATCAGCGCTGTTGATGGAGAGGTCTGCACATGTTGAAGTTGATGACACTAATGACAAAATATTAATATAATAAATTAACGTCAATATTTCGATCGGATTTGTTCCAAAAAGTATTTAATCAAATATCAAGTAGAACCTCTTTTTGCGGATGAATGCTTGACATTAAAAAAAATAGAATTTCTTTTCGCGGCATTCAATGCTTGATACTAAAAAATACATTATTAGGTATACATGTTTTTTTAATCAGTTAATATTATGTATTCATTAAGGTTGTGGTATATGTTTAGTTATTATTTGTGGTATAGTTTTTACACCTTTTGAAACGAATCAAATGATGTCATTACTGTTTCTCAAATGTAAAATGTATTTATATGAAATATAGAAGAAATACAGCTTTTTGAAGTGTTTATATTAATTTATAAGGCTGATGAGTTATTAATTTTCCGTCTTCAAAATCTTGGAATATCGGAGCAATTAATGAAATAGATATTACAAAATGATGAAAAACTAGATGAATATAGACAGACAAGTGATGGATAAAGAAACGTTATAATATATATTAAAACCATTTTTAGATTTAAATTCTCTTTGTAAGTTTTTATTATAGAAGAAATATGATTTATAAATGGCGTAATATAGAATGATGCTTTAATGAATTATCAGCCTTTTTTATGTTTTTTAAATTATAAAACTTCATGGATGTTGCTTTGTTATTTTAAGAGAACATACAAGATTTACATTTAACTTTATTAATCTAGAAAAATTTTGAATATTAATATATATTATTTTATACCATTATGTTCGTCTGCCGTTTCCTCTGAATTGTCAGCGTCTTGGATGACTTTACTTTGAGTTTTATTTTCATCATTGCCTAGAATACTGTCTATAAGAAAATTCTTTCCCTTCGCTTGTAATAAACTGTTCGCGGAATCGTTAATAATTTTAATTTGTTCACTATCACACACTCGTTTTTTCACTGTCATTTTGTTGGCGTATAAGTTTTTGGAGTATATAACACTATCGGCGGAGCTATAAGCTATTGTATTGTAATTAATATTATTCATATGTCCACTGTTCTCACATATGACATCAATAGTTTCATTTTCACTGTCCAAATCGCTATCAACATATGTCTGTTTCTCCGTACTCTCCACAGTCAAATCATTCGTGACACTGATATTAACGAACTTCTCCGTATTATTCACACTGATATTATTAACAAACTTCTCCGCATCATTCTCACACGTGCTAGATATATAATCTATCGAGTTCATTATTTATATAATATATTAACACTTTGAAATATTTATAAATTACATAATATGTTTAGCGTATTTAAGTAGATAGCTAAATGTTATAACGCGTCTCGATTTAATTGTTTCGTATAATAGGTAGAGTAGTGAGTTGTAGGTATCTGTCGGTTGGGATGCTGGGTTGCTACTGGCTGATAATGGACCGGTGGGGATAACGCCATCTTAAGAGGTGGGGCCTCGTACCCGATGGGAACATTCACACCTTTCTTTTATTTGATAACAAGTTATATGAGAGCTTCTTACAACACAAAAGAACCCTAAAAGCTTATGATGGAGGTCTGCGGGGTGGATAGCGGTTATTATTTGGGTGTCATCAATTTTATAGGATGGATGTTTTTAGGAAATGGAACGGAATTAAAGAATTAGATATAGGAATGATTTTTAATTTGAGATCTATTAAAATGTTGTTGTATGTTGAATGAATTGTGAGATATATTTAGGACTAACAGAACAGATGCACTAACAGATTAAATAATCTGTTAGTGCGAGTATAGTTAAATTAAAAGCGGGAAGTAATAACGTATGTTCGTTGGTAAACGATATGATAGGTAATAGAAATATATAATTATAGACGCTTTAATGAAGGAAATACAGGTATGGCAAACTATTCGGACTATATAGAGCTATAGGACTTTACAATACAGTGAATATGTGGGTAGTATGAGGACTTTTCAGCTAAAAAATCGTTTGCCTATCTTCAGCACTGGGTTCCACTCTTCACGGAGACATAATACTAATTCACTACTACTACTTACTAAGTCACGGAGACATAAGTAATGTATCAAAAAGAGTTGTTTATTAACTCTATTGAGTAGGATCTAATCTTGTACATCTGCAATTGCTAAACATCAAATAATCTCGAAAAATTCACCTGCTGATAGATATAATAAAATAATAACTATAAGATATAATTTTACTAAAAAAAAATCAAACATAATTTTAAAAGTTAATGTACGCACAAATCAATACAAAACTTTAACAAATTATATATTAAAACCTTTCTCGAGAACCACGGCATCGATGGGTGAAAATTGCTTGGTAATTGGTCCAGTAGTTTTTGTGTTTATTGCGAACAGACAGACAGACAGACGCGGCGAAAGCCTTCGTTTTATAATATGTATAAATGATTGATAGGTAATCGAATAGCAGTACTAGTCGTGTTGTTTAATATACAAAACACATAATATTTTAATAAACGATAATTATTGTTTATATTGACTTTGCTCCAGTCAGTAATTAAGAAGATACGTCTTAATTGTTAAAGAAAATATAAATATTAGTGTTCTTCTATATTAAAGGTAGCACCTTGACCACGTTGGTTACATAAAAAATAATAAGTATTATGAATAACAAAGAAAAGTTAAATTAATCCTCTGGCTGTCTCTGTGTTTCCTCCCAGTCATAATTAGGGTTAAACTTCAAGAAAAGGTTTAATATGCTTTAATGAGATAGTGTGTTCACCATCTAACACTTAATTTCCAACTCCCAAATAATCACGCATTATCTAGTGGAAATCCAAAAAAATATACAGTTATTGATGTTTTAAAAAAATGTCAAATGAAATTTCAAACAGTTGATTAGATTTTTCAAATCTTATCGTATAAATTTATATATATTAATGCAAAAAATATACAATTATATTAATTGTCCTGTATTTTAGAAAGATTTTATTAAACATGACGTGTAAGTACAATTAAGTATAATTGTTTCAAATTAATTGACATCATTAACTCGACACGATGGTCAGCCAAAGACGTACAAATGTAAAAGACTATTTCACCTTCAGCGATACTAATTAATACTAATATGATAAAGTTGTTAATTAGTTTGTAAGTGTATGTACATGTATAATATTGGGACCAATCCCGACTAGCAAATAACTAACTTTATCTTTATGTTCAGCTTAGGTACATATGTACGTAGGTACTTGCACTTGTTATTGAAAGGATTTGTTTTCGTGTATTCGTTAATAATAGTCATACTAAAGTGAAAACATCACGGTTTTAACAAAAGAGTTACTTTATATAGATGTAAATAATTAAAATAATACATAAGTTAAGTAGTATAGTAGTGTAATAGTTTTATTTAAGTAGCTACAATTGTAAAGCAGTATTTACCATATAAGTATCATACCATAGTCGTATTGAATGGTCATCATTCTAAATTGCTCGCTCTTCGGTGTTACAGTGGTAGAATCTTCGCTTAATTCTTTTAGACAATTACTATTAAGAATTTTGTTAGAATTAAATTTGTACTAATTGAGTGACTTGAGTAAAGGTTATGTTGTCTTTAAAATCGAAAACCGTCTTTCATCACTGGTCTAAAGGGTTAAACCACGAGACTTGAAGGCTGCTTCAAATCAGAACCACGAGGATTCTTTTCCAATTATTTTGGGCTCTGCATAAATTTTCACATCTGTACCTAAATTCTATAAAGCATTAGAAAAGCTAATAATTTTCTTTCAATGTATATATACCTATCTGCGCTATCAGAATTAATGAGGGATGCGACATGATAATTACTTGAGCCTGTCATCAATTACTATTACAACTAATTAGTATTCAAGATTATTGTTAAAAGTAAAATGAAATCAAAGACTGTTTAAAAGAAGAATAGAATTAACTATGTCTGAATTCGAGTATAAATATGACGTCTGGAGTTATTTCTTGGAGTTATATGAGAGTTCAGTTAGTGCGGACCATTGCACAATGTGATTATGAAGAACCTTCGAGACATAGGTAGGTACATGAACATTAAGAACAATTGAAGATACATTTTCAAATATCATGAAACGTTCTGAAAGAAGTGACGATAGCAATGCTGGCATCTCTTTAAAAACATCGAATATTTACTTAATCCGATTCTTATATACATATATATAAGAAAATCGTGCTAATTACACTATTTATAACTCAAGAACGGCTATGCGGATTTGGATAAAAATTTGTGGGGTCCAACCTACTTGGGTTGGAATAATGACACGAACATAGGTTACTTTCAAATTAGTTCGACAAAAAAAAGAACAAATAAAAATTAAAAATTTGCTTAATAAAACTGCCTTTAAATCGAAACAGTTTTCATTTCGAGCTATAATTTTAATATTATGAAACTAACGCCTACAAAGTCGCGGTTAAAAGTGGTTATTACTATAAAGATTTATATCTCATATTTTTATATACATTTTACAAACAAATAAGACACATTTATTTTTCAGCTTGTTTTGAATCAATATTGAAAAAGCAGCCTAACTTTCAATCGAAAATTCACCCTTCAAAATATGACCTTTTTTCAAAAAAGCTGGTATATTTTCCGTTCGTTGAAATCTCTAATTTCCGACGGTGAAAAAAAATGACATGGTAAAAATGTAAAAACATGTATATATTGATAACTGACTATATTATTGTCTTAATAATACTAACGTGAAAGATTGTGAGCTTGCATGAAGGTATGTATGGGTGTTTGTAGCCCTTTCGCTTGCAGTGATTTAGGTTAGACATCAGAATAAGACATAGTCTACAGTTTATATGTACCGTTATTGTGTGTGATTACTTCGAGATTAAGAGATAATACATATATTGTGCACAGCAGATAGAAATCGCTAAAGGGTAGTTGTCATAACTATTCACTGGAATTTGGATACACTTCGTACTTATCATTTCATGACCAAGGCGACGACGATGAAGTCATAGTTAATACCGAGTGACTTATAGAAGCAAAAGTATAATGAGTTTTTGTTATTTTTGTAATAACTTTGGTAGAATCTACGTAATGGAGGCTAGTACAAACTTTTATATTAATTAACTACTTTATTGAGCCGTATTCTTAGTAGGTATATCTAGAGATGTATGTTTTTATTATACCTTTACACATAAACAGTTTTAAAACTATATCAAAAACCCTAATAAAACTTACAAGTATATGCTACTAAGTTGTGAGGCCAGTAGGTAATCTTAGTCTAAGTTTGCATCGTTACACTACAATTGGGTTTTTGAATATTTTTTTTTTGTGATAAATGGAAAGATCATATATAAGTTTTATAACAAAACTATTTTTATTTTATTTTTTTGCAATAATTAAAAAGTTATATCAAAATAAAAATTAAATTTTAAATTCAGTACCGAAGACCCGCCGACAGCTCGCGAATAAACCCGAGCGCGTGTGACGTCACAATGTTAGTTTTTGCTCATTGTAGCATACAGGGATATAATAATTAGTACAGTGTTTTGAGTTTTTATCTAGTAAATTCTGTTGGCATTGTTAAATAATCAAAAGTTTTGTACCATTATGTACAAAGACTACAAAAACAACTCCTGAAAAAATGTTTTTAAATGTTCCACAAGACCAAAAACGCCGAAAGAAATGGTTTCAAGCAGTGCATCAAGATTATTCAAAAACAAAATCATTTTTTTTTGTTGTGAAGATCATTTCGTTGTAAGTATTCATAATAGTATTGTTATTAATTATTATTTATCTAAGTGTATAAATCGAATAAGTATAGTTCAATAATTAATTTTTTTACCTGGGCTCCAAATCATAACCTTTAGAATCGTAGCATTAAAAATTTTTAATTGATAATTCAAAGCGATTAAATAGTAAATCTATATGTATGTTTGTCTACTAATTGGACTTCAATTAATAGATATTTTCATAATTTTATAACATTCTAGGTTCTGTATCAGACTACATTTAAATTTTTAAAGTATATGTTATTTTGGTTTTTTATAATGTTATAATAACATTTTATTAATAATGATTTAATGAAATAATTATTAATTATATTTAATAGAGAATAAATACTTATTTTCATTTAGAATAGTATTTTTTAACAGACTTACCTTGATGCCTTATCACCTCGAACTTCAGCAGAATTAAACCGAACGTCATTTTTTAAAAAAATAGTTATCATAAATATATCAACATCAGGTATATTATCCGATTTTGCTTTTATAAATCCTTTATCA